TAGGAGCAGAAAGTGAGGCATTGGCAACTTTATAAGAATAAAAAATGAAGTTTAACCAGCTGTCCCTTGTCCCAGCTGCCCTTTGCCCCAGATATATATATATATATATATATCTGGTCACAGCCGCCCCGCACTATGGCATGCTTGGTGACTTTTTATTTATTATTTTTTTTATTAACAACTATTTTTAGATTAGTTTTGAAATGCATTGATACCAATGTTTAAATTATTTTTAGACAAAATTAATATTATTAAAAAAATAATTATAATTAATTATTTCTGAACATTAGTATTTGAACTTTTATTTTTTTTAAATTAAAACGATTTTTTTTATTGGTAGAATACATCTGAATAGGTTATTTTATATACATATGTAAGTAACTCTCACATGTGATCAAGTTCTTTCTAGTGAGATCCAAATCTCATGCCTGAGTGACCATATCTGATTTGCCGGTGCCAAAACTAGATGAATAAATTATAAATTAATTATTCTATTTTTAAGAAATGAATTAAATAGTTTTTTTTTATAAAAAAAACTAACCATTGAGTTTTTTTTTTTACTATTTTTTATTGTGTTTAATTTAATATTACTTGATTTAAAAAATATATCTTTTTTTATTAATTATTTTCTTTTTTATATTTACTTGTTTATCTATTAAAACAAAAAATCAAAATAAATTTTTAAAATATTAAAAAATTTAAATTACAAAAAAATTTAAAAATATACGAATTAAATAAAAAATTTTCAAAATATTTATAATTTACTCAAAATAAATTAATAAATAAAGCTAAGGGGAAACCTTTTTTTTTTTTTTACCACTAACAATCATCAATGTTTCGGTTCTATCCATGTATTTTAAACCTCTTTGATGTTACTCTTATAGTTTTCAAAGGACTCTAATATTAACCTAACCATCAAATAGTTTACTTTTTGAATTAGTTTTGAGTTTTTTTTTTCAAAGTATTTTGTGAGATCATATAACATGTATGATGATTATAGAGGGGAAAATAAATTAAAAATATGGAAGAGAGAAGAGAGCTTTTTTGTTAGTAATTTAGTAATAAAGAGTGAAATTGAAACGTATTAAAACTTATAAGAGTAACATTGAAAAACGTTAAACTAATTGAGCAGCAGTGAACATTGATAAATCTAGAAGGGTAAGAATATAGTTTACTTTGGAACTAAAATACGAGTACAAAACACCTAAATATTAAAATCGTCCTTGTATTTCATTCTGGTCCCTACTAGCATATATCCCGCATATTGCTGTGGGGTGGGTTATATAACATTCTTATACATTCATTAATATAAAATTTAACATTTACAAATCATTATTTGATAATATCATGTGAAAATATTTTTTTTAAAATAAAGCATATATTTCATAATTTGCTACTCGGGTTAGTTAAATGAAAAATCTCCAAAGTTGAGTAATATAATATTGTTAATTTGATATTATTTGATATAAACGTGTATTTTATTAATAGCCGATAATTAAATTAATAACGTGGTAGTTTTTTTAATTTTTGATGATTAATTTTTACCATATATTAATCATCCGTAATTGTTAATAAGACAGAGAGACCATTCAAAACAAAAAGATAAAAAAGATTTGTCAAATCGAGAATTCGACAAATAAAATAGAGATAAAATTACACACGATAAAAATTAAATGATTAAAACAAAGTAAAAATTATAAAAAGGATAAAAATAAATAAATAACTTTTACTAAAAGCATACAAAAAATATTTATAAATAATAAGACTAAAAAAATTTCATTATGCATAAGGCATGAACAAAAGTAAACATTATAGAATTTTAATGACTAAAATAAAAAAATTAATAAAATAAGAATCAAAACAGAAAATTTTTTCACTAAAAATAAAAAAAACTTAGCATAGTTAAAATGTATTTAATTTTAATGTAAAATGAATAATAATTAAATATAATAAAAGTTGAATGGTCAAAATAAATGAAAGATCATAAAATAAAAACCAAAATATGATAAAAAGTTTTACTAAAAGTAAAAAATTGTTCCTTGTAGGAAAAAAATTTAATGATCACAATAAAAAAAATTATAAAAAAAAGACTAAAAAAAAATTATACTAAATTTAGTGACGAAAAAAAGAAAAAATAACAAAAGAGACATTAGAATAGAAAGAAAGAAAGAAAAAAAACCCTAGGATAGTAAACTTTATTTAGTTTTAGTATAGTAAGGATAAAAATTAAATATGAGAAAATTTTAATAACTAAAATAAAAACATATTAAAAAATAAAATAAAAAAGAACATAAATTTCTACTAAAAGTTAAAATTTTTTTTATTATAAGGATAAAAATCACATATAATAAAATTTTAATATTTATGATAAGGATAAAAATCAAAGATCATAAAAGTTTAATGACCAAAATAAAAAAAGAAAGAAAGAAGGGACCAAAATAAAAAGTTGTTTCCTAAGTTGAAACGGAAGGAGAAAAAAAAAAAAAAAGAGAGCCAGTGCCGAGCGACTCGAGGCTTGGGTTGCCGCTTAAAAACAAAAAGCTCGCAACTTCCGACGAATCAAAGTCGTCGAAAAGTTGGGGATCAAGTTTCGGACCCCTAGAAATTGAATTTTGACATCACTTTTTTTCCAAACACTTCTAAATGATCGAAAGCCAATAAAAATATTTAATACCTTGAAAATCATTTTAATGCACACAAAAATAAAAAAAAATTACACAATCAAATTGGAACTTTGTTTCCTTTTTGGCTCCGATCTACCTCCTCTAATTGTTTCATGGCTGGAAACAACTACGGACAAACTCATCTTTCAAAAATAAAAAAATCTAGTGGATTTTCTCTGGTCAAAGTGACCTAAATAAGCTTGGCTGGCAATTTCTCTCTCCTCATGTCTCTCTCTTCCCTCCTTCCTTCTCTCTCATCCGGAGATCAAAATGGATGAAAAAATGAAGATATGGATCGAAAGATGCGTTGAAAAAAATCGGGAACCAAAATGTAAAAATACTAATGAATAGTGAAATGTTAGCATATATCCCGCGCGTTGCCGCATGATGAATTATATATCATTTTTATGCATTCATTAATATAAAATTTAACATTTACAAATTATTATTTGACAATATCATGCGAAAATAATTTTTTTTAAAATACTAAAACATATATTTCATAATTTTCTATAGGGTTAGCTAATGAAAAATCAGTAAAGTTGAGTAATATAATATTGCTAATTAGATATTTTTTTATATAAACATGTATTTTATTAATAGCTAATAATTAAAATAATAATGTGGTATTTTTTGAATTTTCGATAATTAATTTTTACCATATATTATTCATCCGTAATTTATTAATGAGACAGAGAGACTACTCAAAACAAAAAGATAAAAAAGCTCTGTCAAATCGAGAATTTGGGAAAGAAAATATAGATAAAATTACACATGATAAAAATTAAATGATTAAAACAAAGTAAAGATTATAAAAGGATAAAAATAAATAAATAAAATTTTCACTAAAAGCATACAAAAAATACTTATAAATAATAAGATTAAAAAATTTCATTATGCATAAGGCATGAACAAAAAGTAAACATTATAGAATTTTAATGACTAAAATAAAAAAATTAATAACATACGAATCAAAACAGAAAAATTTTCACTAAAAAAAAAAAAAACTTAGGATAGTTAAAATGTATTTAATTTTAATGTAAAATGATTAATAATTAAATATAATAAAAGTTTAATGATCAAAATAAATGAAAGATCACAAAACAAAAACCAAAATATAACAAAAAGTTTTATTAAAAGTAAAAAATAGTTCCTTGTAGGAAAATTTTTTAATTATATAAAAAAAAATTACAAAACAAAGATTAAATTTTTTTTTTACTAAATTTAATAATGAAAAGAAAGAAAAAATAACAAAATAGAAATTAGAATATAAAGAAAATTTCAGAAAAAAAAAACCTTAGGATAGTAAATTTTATTTAATTTTAGCATAGTAAGGATAAAAATTAAACATGAGAAAATTTTCATAACTAAAATAAAAACATATTAAAAAACAGGAAAAAAAACATAAATTTTTACTAAAAGTTAAAAAAAATTTATTATAAGGATTAAAATCACATATAATAAAATTTTAATATTTTTGATAGGGATAAAAATCAAAGATCGGAAAAGATGAATGACTAAAAAAAAAAAAAAAGAATGAAGGGACCAAAATAAATAAGAATTTCCTAAGCCGAAATGAAGGAAAAAAAAAAACAACCAGGCCTGCGCGTCAAGCCCGGCTAAGCGACGCGGCTCGGGCTGCCCAAAAAAAAAAAAAAAAAAACAGGGGCTGCAACTTTCGACGATCGAGGTTGCCGGAATCTTTGTCGGAAAGTCGAGGTTCAAGTTTCGGACTCCTAGAAATTGAATTCCGGCATCATTTCTTTTCCGGACACCTCTAAATGATCGAAATAAAGCCAATAAACATATCTAAAACCTTAAAAATCATTTTAATGTATAGAAAAACAAAAACAAATTACACAATCAAATCGAAATTTTGTTTCATTTTTAGGCTTCGATCTATCTTCTCTAATGGTTTAATGACTTGAAACAATCATTGATAAACTCATCTCTTAAAGATAAACAAATCTAGTAGATTTTTGCTGATCAAAGGGGCCTAAATAAGCTTGGTCGATAATTTTCTCTCTCCTCTCGTCTCTCTCTTCCCTCTTTTTTTTTCTCTTATCTAGGGATCAAAATGAATGAGCAAATGAAGATGTGGATCAAAAGATTAGTTAGTACATATCAGGGATCAAAATGTAAAAAACTAATAAATAATGAAATGTTAGTATATAATGGTGTTTGGAAAAGTAAACCGAGATTTTGTTTTAGATTATTTAGTTAATAGGTAATTAGTTAATAGAATCTCAATTAAAGGCCACTATATAAGCCTACACTCGCATATCTCCCTCACCTTAATCTTTCAAGAAAGAAAGGAAGGTAGTTAAAAGCAAAACTATGGCTTCATTAACTGCAACTGGATCATCATCATATCCATGGATCCACTCTTCTCCTTCTGCTTTAAAATATTCAAAATACCAATCCTGCCATCCTCCTCCTTGCCGCGTGGTTTGCCATGGAGGAAGATCAGGACCTCCTCCTTCAGTAACAGCTGACTTCAAATTTGCTTTGCATGATGCCTTGGATTCTTCTGGAATCGACACCACTCGTGCCAGAGTAATTATCATCAACCCCTTTTGGTTTCTTCATATTTTAGAACCCTTTTTTTGTTTTTCAATTATGAGAAAGCTTTACAAGATTTATTGCTAATTTTGTAGGAAGCAAGGCAAAATTTCATGAAACAAATTGAAGGGTTATCAACTATTGAGAGGGAAGTCAGCATTAGCATTAATAGACAAGTTGATTTGGCGAAAACAGCTATTTATATATCAGCTGAGGACTTTGCTCTCATGTCAGAGTCTTCACTTCCACTTCCTGTGGATCCTTTTATGGAAAAACTGTTTGACCTTACCATGGAGTTCTGCAGAAACAACAAGGCTTTGAGGTTACCGCCAGAGGCTTTTTTGGATAGCTTACACAAGTTTTTGTATGTCAAGAAGGTAAATAAAGACCATTAATTTCTTGCAAACCTAAAATTTTCCCTTGGTACCAAGGTCCTGTTCTCCTGGGATAGGTTGAGCCTTCAATCCAAGAGCCGGTGTCAGTGGAGGACTAGTTGTTGTGTACCAAAAGGGATCCATAGAAAGCCCCCGCTTGTAACTTAAAGAAAGATTTTTTTGAATAGATTTTGTAGGTTTCATTTCATAAGTTACTTTCCTGCTCTTTACTGCTGTTAGACTGTGGATTTATGCGATATGGTTGTTTCTAATCAGGGTTTCCTAAGGAACAATGTGAGAAGTCGATTGGATCCGCATCCTTTGTATCTTCACTCTGTATGGAAGTTTGCCTTCTAGCTTATGGTTTCAAATTTCTGTGAGATAACATGGAACATGTTTTTATTTTATTTTGATTTTAATTTATTGAGCAGGTTCTGACATATCAGTCAGGTTCACCTTATATGCTTGCACTTATATACTCTGAAATCCTGAAATCGCTTCGATTTTGGAGCCTTTTGGACTTTGATTGTGAGATTTTCTTCCCACACGACCGTTACAGTCTTCCGAGGGGCTATCATAAGCAGAAAAGTATGGAGTCTGACCATCCACACATATTGACAGTGCAAACTCTGTTAGAGCAGGTGAGTTGTGTGGATTTCTATCGTCATGATAGAATTGAGTCACCCTTGTCATTACTGAGCCCGCTGCAATTTCATACTGTTAGTCTTGAATGGGTTTATTTCCAGCGGTTTCATTTGTTTACTGTTGGTTGGTTTGAGGTACTACATGTGATGTGTTTCTGTGCCTTTTATTTTGGTGAATGTCTTTAGTACATTAGGTTATGTACGAGTCTGCCTGCTTCATTTTAGATATGTCGCATTCCTAGCTTGATTTTTTACTTTGTCTTTGAATTATGTCACTTGTGCAGATTTTGAAAAATGTAAAGGAGGCTTTCTGGCCCTTTCAACATGATAAGACCGAGAGTTTATTCTTGAGGGCAGTGCATTCAACCCATTGTACTGATAGATCAAACATTCTTGAAGACAGGTATTGCCAATATTGTACCTCCTGCTTACGTTCCATGAAGCCTTTCTTTTCCTCTTTGTGATAGTTGTGTTTACACATGTTGATTTGAAATTTCTTTGAATCGTAGTGGCTTTCAGCTTAAATCTGCGAAGGCTACTGGACGTAGGCTAGACCGTGGCAATTGGACCAGTTTACAATTGGATGGCATAAGGCTTGCATTTTCTGGTACACATGTATAGGATGATGTTACTTTTGGTATAATTCTTTTTTCTGTTTACTGTTGATGTCGAAGACAGCTAGAAGGGAACTGAGATTTGAGGTGCTTGGCTAGTAATCATTTTTTGCTTGTTGAGCATGCTTTCATGTGAAACCTTCTTGTGATTTTGCATTGAATTCCTGTTGATGCTGGTCCATGGTATCCTGATTTTTAGTTCAATTGCCAATCATTTTATTGAAGTATTTTTAGGTGGCCTTGCTGATCTTCGGTAGTACATAACGATGGCTACTGGTGATGAGTGAATGTTTTGAAGATTTTTGTTATTGTGTCCCACTTTTCTTTCCTTGGTTCTGATTCATACTTGTGCAATGCTTTCTCACATAATTAAACATGGAGAAAAGATCCTCTCCACAGTTTTTATACCTGTATATGAATGAGGAATTGTTGCTTTTGTTGCAGCATGTGAGCGTCTGATACTCCTGGAATTTGATCCCAGGGAATTAAGAGATTACAGTGCTCTTCTTTATCACTGTGGATTTTATGAGCAATCCTTGCAATATCTCAAGTTGTATCAGGAAAGAAAGGTATGATTTCTACATGGAATACCATTGAATTTTAAATCAACGAACTAAATAAAAACCTAATTGAATTGTATCGTTGCAGGATTCTTCCTTACAAAAGCGAGCATCCAAAAAATTAAGCATCTTGGAGGACGATGCTGTGGAGAAATTGATGATGCGCCTCAGCCTCATTTCAATGGAGGAAGGTTGGAGCAAGCCCTCGCATGCTGGAAAGTTTTTTTCTAAATAACTCTGAACCATCCTAAAGGCTCATCAGACAGCACAGCAACAAAGCTTCAAATTCCAGCACATGCAGCATGCATATATGAGCTAGGAAGAAGATGGTTTCTCAGGTAGTATTCTTCATGTCCACAAGGAGAAAGGAATCTAAGAAAGGGCTTCAGTGTTTATTACAATATAAGCACACTCAGAACTTCAGACAATTGAATCTCAGTGTTTATTACAATATAAGCACACCCATGCCTCCATTTTTGTGCGCTGGCACTCATGAGGGAGGTTCAGCCCCACAGCCAAATTGGGAAGAAATTACATTTTCAAAGGAGGTAGCGTTTAATTCATCCGAATGCTATGAAAGATCTAACTAACCTGAGAGCTAGTAACATGTATTATATACTGATGAAGAGCACTTGATCGACGAACTTGGAATGATAAATTAAAGGCATAACTCCCAGCAGCATCTTGTGAGTGGGATGAGAGTGGAAACCATGGTGCCAACGTCCTATATGATTGGTGATGGAGATGGGTTTTTGTATGTTGTCCAATTGCTCCATGTTTTTGGAGTTTTGGACCTCTGTGTTGGTTGCAGAACTTTAAACTTGTATAATATTTTTTGCTTGGAGATCTCCACTCATAATTTGTCGTTTTAGTGCTCTCCGGCATTGATATTGTATCACATAAACTGGTCTTGAATAATACACTTATGGTTGCCATGCTTTCTTCCTTACGATCTCAGACTCGTGTAGTGATTGAGAATGACTAGATGAAAATCATTTTTATTTACAAGTAACCCTAATCCCGAAAATTTATCAGCTGGAATGAATCGTTTGTGCTCGATAAATTTTATAATACATAACGAGTAATTAGTGATAAGTATAGTAGTTATTCTTTGAGTCTATTTTGAAGAGGGAGATAGACACATAAAAAGAGAGAGAAAATAAAAATATTTAAGTAAATATGAAAATCTTCTTATCACTTTTGATGGATATGCATGTAATTTTTTTATTTTTTATGTGTCTATCTCTCTCCTCAAAATGAATCTAAAGAATAACTATTATATATGTTAATAGTTACTCCTCGTGTATTATAAAATTTTTCGTTCTAAAGAATAACTATTATATATGTTAATAGTTACTCCTCGTGTATTATAAAATTTTTCGTTTGTGTCCGGAAGAAAAAGAGCATGACTGTGATTTGCATATTCTTGATTTAGATGCAGAAAGAATCTGTTTCTTTGATTGGACGCCATGAAAAATCCATCCCTAGGGAAGGACCTCACCTCTTCTTGGTTTTAACTTTTTAAACGTTGAAAATATCTTATCTACGGATTAATTTACAAGTGAATCGAAATTAATTTTTTTAATTAGTTTTTCTTGGTAATATCTTTTTTGTAATATGTGTTTGTTTGAATATTGAATTGTTACTTTTATAAAAAATTTGGATCTTAAGAGGGGAAATGGAATGAACAAAGCTATTCCAAGAACATTTGGATTAATATCCTCGCATATTCTTACATAATAAGTTAATTTTTTAATTTAATTTTATATTTTAAAATATTTTTAATATGTTTTTATTATTTGATCTGATATCTAATATATTTTTTTAATTAAAATTTTTATCCATTCATAAAAAATTAAGCATGTAATTTACACATAATATGTGATTTGATAAAATTATTTTTATTATTTGATACAAGTGATCTATATTTATCAATGTAAAAATTAATTTTTGATGAATTGATTATAAATTTTGATATAAATTAGAAACCTAACACAAATAAAAATGACAAATTGTAAATGTTTTAAAATGTAGGGACATAATAAAAAAATTAGTGTATTACATAAGAATACTAATTTCTCATTTTCCAAATTAAAACCCCTCTCATAAAGCAATAAAAAATAAAACCACTTTTGTTTTATGAATAAATAAAACCCACTCTTCTATATTTATCACTTCATTCTCTCTATTGAAACGGTAGGTAATATAGTTACTCACCCAATGGCTCCAATGGCTGCAATTATATCAACAACACCACCACCATCAATACCATCTTCTTCTTCATCATCTTCGATATTTACAAAATACCAGTCCTGTCCTTCTCCTCCTCCTCCTCCCCGTGTGGTTTGCCGGGGAGGATCCCAACCTCCTCCGTCAGCAACAACTGACTTCAAATTCGCTTTGCATGATGCCTTGGATTCTTCTGGAATCAACACTTCTCATGCCAGAGTAATTATAAATACCTTCCAATTTCATTTTCTTTTCCTAATTTTGTTAAAGTTTGTGTTTTTCTGGAAGTTAATAGGAAGTTGCTAAATGGGCTTTTCTTAGTTACTAAATTTGATGCAATTTTAAGGAAATATGAAATTATTATTTATTTTTACATGGGTTTTTTTGTTAGAAAATTTTAGAACTCAATTTTTTTTAATCATGTGAAAGTGTACTTATTTATCTGCGAATTTTGGACCTTTTTCACTAAATGTTGTTTTTTTTCTTCTCCTTATTAGCTAAAATATTGATGTGGGGTTTCTGAAATGGTGAAATTGATATATAATTGATTGTTAATTATGTAGGAGGCAAGGCAAAATTTCATGTCACAAATTAAAAGATTATCAAGTATAGAGAGGGAAATCAGCATTAGCATTAATAGACGTGTTGATTTGGGGAAAACGGCACTTTATATAGCAGCTGAGGATGATTCTCTTATATCACACTCCTCGGTCGCTCTCCCAGTGGATGCTTTCATCGAACGACTGGATGATCTTTCCATGGGATTCTGCACTAATAATAGCTCTGCGTTTAAGTCGTCACCAGAGAAGCTTCTGGGTAGTTTGGAGAAGTTTTTGTATGTCAAGAAGGTAACCATTTATCTTGCAAATTTTTGTTTCGTTTGAGGTGTTTAGTTGGTTGTGTATTTAAAAAAAAAAAAATTATTTGAAAGACCGGGTTTATTTAGTGTACTTAGTGTAGTGAGTCCCAGCAATGTGATTGGTTTGCTTGGTCGACATGGATCAGGTCCGTGTAATAAATTCTTGTATTTGAATTGCTGTTTAAGTTAAAGAAAAGGAATAAGTTGTTGATGAAAAATTTGTTTAGGAAAATTTTGTATTAAAGATGAACTGAAACTGGTATCCTAGTTTCATCTTAAGTAAGTTTTTACTTGATTTGTCGCTTTTCATAACCTACTTTCTTTCCCTTTGGTGCAATGCCATTGTTATTTAAACAAGTTGGTTCTTTCTAATCAGGGTTTCAGAAGGAGCATTATGAAAAGTCAATTGGAGCCACGAGCTCTGTATCTTCACTCTGTATGGAAATTTTCCTTCTATGTTATAAATTCAAACTTCCTATGAGAGAAAAAAATATCCATATTGGATTTTTTTTCACTTTATTTAATATACTGTATTGAGCAGGTTTTGACACATCGATCAGGTTCAGCTGTCATGCTTGCACTTATCTACTCGGAAATCCTTAAAATGCTTCGGTTATGGAGCCTTTTGGATTTTGATTGTGAGATTTTCTTTCCACATGACAATCATGGTCTTCCAAGAGGCTATCATAAGCAGAAAAGTAAGGAGTCTGATCATCCACACATAATGACATCGCTTACTTTGTTGGAGGAGGTGAGTTGTGTGTTTTCATCCTGTTGTCTTTTATGAGTTCCCCCTGGTATGCATGACAAAAGAGTGTAGGATGAGACACCCATATAGTAACGACACAAGTCCAAAGTGATAATTTTAACTGATGAATTTATGAATCTTGTATAGTTTGTTTTCAGCAACTTTTTTCATTTACGGATGATACGCTTCTGTGCCACGTTGTTATTACGGGTGATTGTCTATGGTAAATTTATTATGTTATGTATGAGGTTGTCTGCTTCATTTCTACATATGCGGCATTTCTAGCTTGATTGTTTGTTTCTCTTCACATTTTATCATGTGTGCAGATTTTGAGAAACTTAAAGGAGGCTTTCTGGCCATTTCAACATGATCAGACCAAGAGTTTATTCTTAAGGGCAGCAAATGCAGCCAATTGTATTGATATATCAAAAACTTTTGAAGAAAGGTATTAACAGTATCTTGCAATGAATTTTATACTTTGTGTATTTTGCACTTACAAACTTTATGAAGCCTTTCTTTTCCTCCTTTTGTGGAAGTCATGTTTACACCTTTTATTTTAATTTTTCTTCCTATTGCAGTGGTGCTCAGCTTGCATCTGCAAAGGCTGCTCAACATAGGCTAGACCGTGGTATTTGGACCAGTGTACACTTTGGGGACATGAGGCGTGCATTATCTGGTATGTATCTATAAGATGAAGGTGCACTTGTTAAATTCCTTTTCCTGTTTACCGTTGAGGTGCCAGGCAGTTTGACGGGACTTCACATTTGTGGTGTCAGGCTGGTATTTGTAACATTTTGGCATATGAAACCAAATTGTTCTTTTGCTCTGGGTTCCCAGTGATGCTGGATCCAATCCATTCTAGTCATTTTTTATTCAGTAATCATTATTCACTAAGGCTGAAGTTTCAAAATCTGGTGTTTTCTTCTTCTGTCTGTGATTGGGGGGTGTGCACTGTCTTAAATTTGTTCGAAGAAAATCCGAGTCCTTGCATAAGTTGGGTGGTTCTAGTAGATATAAAATGGCCATTTAAAGTGAGCAATTCATTTGAAGAGCTGTTTTCGTTGCGTCTACCCAGTCCTTCTTTGGGTCTCTGTTTCTTATTTGACAATGGAAAAACTTATGCAATGCTTGGCATCCTGTCTCCCTTTATTAACTTTCTTCCTCTCCATTTTGTTCCTATGATGCTTGGAAGACAGTAGTTTGCCTCCCCTCTATGAATCTATTTTGCTTATTCCTCTTCCTCCTCTGAGTCATACAGTTATGGAGTGTGTTGCTGGAAAGGTGTGCCATGAGACCACCTCATTCCCTTGATGCCATGCTTCATGTGCTAATCAACCCTTCTGATTTCTCAGTTTTGAACACATATTAATGGACTGCTGATTTGGGATGGTTACAAGATCAGTGAGCTATATCTGATGGAAGTTATGGCATAACTGCCTCGTACACCGCTTAACTTCCCACCTGTGTGGTATCCTGACACTAAGAACTTAAGAGAGAGAGAGGGAGGGATGGGAGGGAGGGAGGAGGAGGGGTTGTAGCCATGGCACAGACTAAGATGCAACATTATTATCCAAAATGTTAAATTATTATTGCCCTTTTTCATATAGAAAAGTATTACACAAGTTGAGTTATTTCTTCCCCGTTACTCTTTCCATTCTGGGACAGAGGAACAGGGACAGAGGGAGGAGGGTCTAGAAAAGGCACAAGCTAAGATGGAGCGCAGCTGTTCAAAATGCTAAACTACTATTATCTTGAGTGACGAATAGAATCATTACTTTTCATTACCCTCAATGGAAAAGAAAAAAGCCATGGATTCTAATACGGTAATACACAAACTATCACATATATTACTGGTTCAAAGAACCGGCATATAATTAAACAATGAGGAAAAGATCCTCTCAATGCTTTTATTCCTATATTCATGAGGAAATTATTGTTTTTGTTGCAGCTTGTGAGCGTTTAATACTCCTTGAATCTGATCCTAAGGAACTAAGAGATTACAGCGTTCTTTTATACCATTGTGGATTATATGAGCAATCACTGCAGTATCTGAAGCTGTATCGAGAGAAGATGGTATGTTTTTACTTGGCATGCCATGAAACTTACAATGTTCTAACGAACTGAACAAAAATTTTCTTGAACTTTGACAGGGCCCTTCCATACAAAAGCAAGCATCTGATAAATTAAGCAGCTTGGAGGAAGGTGCTGTGGAGAAACTGATGATACGCCTTAACCTCATTTCAATGGAGGAAGGTTGGAGCAAGCCCTCATATGTTAGAAATTTTCTTGGAAATAACTCGGAACCATGGTAGAGCCTCGTATCATACAGAATCTCATGGTTTCAATGGAGGAAGGTCGGAGCAAGCCCTCACATGTTAGAAATTTTCTTGGAAATAATTCTGAACCATGGTAGAGCCTCATATCAGACAGAATCTCGTGGTTTCAGCACACTAAGCAAGATATTCGAAATTGGTTCATGCCAACCAGGAAGAAGATAATTTGTCTGACTTGATTCTGAATGTTCACCAACAAGAAGCGGGGAATCTTTAGGGTTTCAGTGCTCATTACACAACCACAATACTCTGAAACTCAGACAATTAAGATCCAAATTCCGAGTGCTTCAACTCATGCTCCAATCTTTGAGACCTGGCATCCATGAGGGAATGGATTCAGCTCAACGGTCAAATTTGGGACGAACTTACTTTTCGACGGAGGTACTGTAAAATTTTTTTTCTTGCGTTGCAAAAGTTCTAACCACAATACTACTAACACATATCATTCGCTGTATAATACTGCTTAGTTCTGTCAAGGGTAGCAAACAAAAAATGCAATGTAATATGTAAATGAAGTTGTCGTTGAAAAACTGACAAGCTTAATATTTTAGTGCCTGTGTGTGCATCATTATCGCATAAGATGCTCTTATGGTTAGTTGTAATCGGTATGTTGGTTTTTATTCCCTCGTACTTGTAGGTTTTGGTTGCTTTAGGAACCTCAAAAGGCTAGGTGTGAAGCTTTGCTGTGTGTACATAAATCTCCTATTCAATGTATTTTTTGGATCAGCTTTTGTGTTGTGCAGCGATACTAAATCCATTAGGCAGCGTTTACTGACTTTTTTTTTTTTTTTCCCCTTATAAAGTGCAAGGACATCCATAGGATTAATGGGCTCTAGTCGCTCATGAACCCTGTTCTAGTCAAACAAAACGTTCATTGTTCTACAAACAAGATTAAATAGGAATTAGATGAGTGTTTATCTAGAAATTAAGAAGTTTGGAAGGATTTAATCAAAATGGAGGAGAAAAATGCAAAAAAGGATTTTTTTTCTCTCTTTTTCTTCTGAATGAATAAATACCCAATCCATTCCATCAGGGGCAGCACCATATATATATATATATATATATATATATATATATATATATATATATCCATCAGAGGTAGAACCTCATTTTTTAAAAAAAAACATTAAAAAAACAACTAAAAAGATATGATGTTTTATTGTAGCTAAGCTTACGCTACGGTGAATAAATTGATGCTGTTTTTTCTAAAAAATTTAAGTGATTTTTGAAAATTTTATGTATTCTTTTACATTTTGATTCTTAAGAGTTATAATTTTGTACGAAATAGTTTCTAATTATGAGTTTTGATATTCAAAATAAGTTTTTACATGTCTTTGAAATGATTTTAGGTAAAAATAGTGTTGAAATTAAATGTGGAGGGTAAAAAAAACCGTTCTCATATATATGTTCAAAATAATTTTGTTTTCGATAGTTAATGGCTATTTTAAATTTTTCATAAATTCATTAGCCAAAACTAAACACTCTTTTAATTTGATTTTTTTTAATAAATATTTGTTTTTTTTTCCTATCAAAATCAAATATATCCATAGGATACATTTAAATACAAACATAAAATGCAGACATTTATTAAATATTACACAATACGTATGAAGTTAAACAAATTCTTACCATTAATGTCGATTAATTTTTATCTTATATCTAATTTTTTTAAATATCAAAACATTTTACATAGATTTACCTCGCAGCTATTATTCCACTAGATTCCTATAATCATACTCGGAACATCATCAACATTGGAGCATTCCTGGCTTACACACAAGATTCATAAATGGGAAGGGAGATTCCATCTGACACGGGATTGGGTCAATGCTCAGTAGCAACCAAGCCCACATGCCATGGCCACCATGGATGAAGAAGAAGAAGCCAAAAGAAGCACAGCCGTGCAGCACTTCAAAAAAACACTGTAATGATGTCAATCTTTCAACGTGTCCAAATCAAAAAGTATAAATAAACAAATGCAAAAGGTATACATGCATATCCATAGAGATGCCTATCATGCTACCCTATATCTATGGAGCCATTAGGCTTTTAGACTCTAAGTTTGGACTTTTAGACTAGGTCAGGTTGGTCCACACCTCTCCTATAATTGCTAGACCGTTTTCCACGTAAAGGACACCTCTTCTGTACTGCCTCCATACCTAACACCTACCCCTATCTTCTCTCCAAGAAAAAACAAAAAAAAAAAAAAAAAAAAAACGTATTCTCCTATCTTTAAAATCGAGTAAATTACACGCAATATGTTTGTTTTGTGTACAAGAAACTCCATTGGTTTGAATAATTGGTTTTGTATTTGCATTTTTGTATAGTTATTGCTTGTGTATAAGATAAAATAACTAAAAGTTAATCTGAATTTTTAAATTTAGAAAAAAATAAGTAAATTTTAAACTAGACAGTTGAATTAATCCTTTTAATTTAAAAAATTAATGATTTAATATTTTATATTTCTAAATTTTTTTACAGCTTCATAGTTTTTATTTTTGTAAAATTATTTTGAAGAAATAAAAAAATTTATAAAAAAGAGAAAAATTGGTGAAAAATAACAATTTTTTTGAAATAAAATAATATTAATTTAAGTACGATTAATTATAATAAAAATAATAAATGATTAATCTTGAAAATAAAAAACTAATTAATTTACTTTTTTTTAATGACTAATTTATACATTCTTAAAATCTCAATGACCCCCTAATTAAGTACTAAATGATGTGAATATTTTCAATTGTAAGAAAAAAAAAAGTCATTATGAAAAGTTAATGTTCAATATTCAGTATTCAGCAAACACCAAGATTTTTATAATTATTACTTTGAATTTTCTAGTTATATATATATAATTATATTTCTCCAAAAAGGACTTTTTGTCATCTATGAACTTAATTGCAATCTTTCCATGTCATACAAATACGCAACATCATGCTGAAAATTCCCAATACCATTATCCTCGTCACCATTCGGTGGGAGCTTTTTTCACTGCCTCACCAAACCCGGCCACTACCACCATCTGCTTGGCCTAGTTGGTACGACAATCGAGATAAAAAAATTTCTTGGTTTTATCATAAGAATATATATTTTATTTTCGCGTAATGCATTGAATAGAATTTAGTAAATTTTTTTAAATACTGAGTATAATATATATATTAAAAAAATTTAATAGCCTTATTTCGAAATCAAAAAAATAAATATGTCTTAGTACAAAGCATGATGATAATTGATGAGATATGAAGGATAACTCGATTTATCAGACTTCAATAAATATCCATTAAAAATATCTAATAGATATTAAAATGGATAAGAATAATATATATATATATATATATATATATATATATATATATATATATATATGATTTTAGGATATGGATATCAATTCTTTAACTTATTAATACTTACTAATTTATTTAATTTTTTTATTAACATGTAGATATTTAATTGTATAAAATTTAAAAATTAAGAATCAAAATATTACTTTTTTGAAAATTTTAAGGACAAAAAAACTTATAAATAAATGATTAAAAGTAATAAAAAATTAATTTTTAAGGATTAATTTTTTTTAAAAAATATAAGAATTGAAATGAATATTTTTGACAAGTTAAATTTGATGGGTATTTAACGAGTACTAAATGAATAAATAAATTAATATGAATTGAGTACGAAATAAATAAAGATTTATATAGTTATTTTTTAATAGATAATGAATAAAATATTTTTTTAATAGATAAAATAAAAAATTAAGTTAATTGTTATGATATCCCTCGATTGCCATCCCAGTAACAAAGGGATGCATGCACCTAACAATAGTCAAAATCAGTTGATTTTTGTTTAATAACACATTAATTTGTTTAAAAAAACAATTATACATCATTTATTTGAGGTCAGTGACGCCAAATGAGGGTTTGGCATCATCTTTCTTTTTAGAGCTACATGGCAATGATTCCTTCACAAAGAAGAGTGATTTAAAGTTGGAAATAGAAGAATTTCTGTACACAGTAGGCTGGCTAATCTACTCGTAGCAAAAGCTACTCTGCAACAAATCTCTCTCTCTCTCTCTCTCTGTCTCTCTCTCTCTCTCTGAGTAGCAATAATTACCACCTTCATGTTATGGAATATTATTGTTGTTAGCTAGCTAGGTAGGTAGCTCAAATCCATCGCTTCCTTGCCATTGCAACTCTCTTCTTTATACTATGCACAATCAAATCATCAATTGTGACCACTTCAACTCCTAGGATCCTCACCACAACCAAAACATGGCCGCCAGCACCACCACATCCAGTCATCACCACCAACAACAACTTCCCACCTGATCATACAAACATGTTAGGCCTTCACAACATTCTCTTTATAGCTCCACCATCTTCTTCTTTTCCACACCAACAGCCACCACACATTCCCTCTGCTCAACAAATAATTGCCAATACCAGCGATCAGTGTAACATTGCAAACAACCAAGAATCTTGGACCACTCTGAAGAGATATCAGCAAGAAGCAAGTTTTCTTAAAAGGGGTGCTTTGAATGTTGTTGGGGATAACGATACTTCTAGGAAGACAAATACTGGTCCTGCAAGAGCTTGTAGGGACTGTGGAAACAGGGCGAAGAAAGAGTGTCAGTATAGGAGGTGCAGGACTTGTTGCAAGGGTAGAGGGTATGATTGTACCACTCACATGAAGAGCACGTGGGTGTCTGCTGCGAGGAGGCGAGAGAGGCTTGGTTGTAGTGGTGGTGGTGGTGCCTCTTCTGCTTCTTCTGGTGGTGGCTGTGTTGGTGGTAAAAGGCCAAGAGAAAATGTGACTACTACGTCTAATAGTTTTAGTACTTCTAATAACAATGCTGCTGCTTCTATCAATTTGGATACTGGCTCTAGTTACCAAGGTACCTCTTTCTTTCTCTCTCCCTCTCTCTTGTTTGTTCTATGATTTGTAAATTTTAGTGAGTATTGAGGTTTTGGCTTGCTGAATGCTGATTTGCAAGATTGAGTCTCTCTTTCTCTGACCTTCATTAATTTTACTTTTTGTTTTTTGGATGATATGTTTATTATCTTGCTGCAAAATAAGTTGTATTTGGTGACGGAGTTGATCTGTTTTGTGAACAGAACAGTGGAAATCTTGACCTTAATAAATGGATTAATTCCAGTGATCAAGAGATGACTTGGACTTCTTGATCTTAAATTGAGCCTTATTATTAAATGCAAACTAGAGTTCAGACATTATCTAGATGGCATGTGATTTGGTTAACTTGGATTTGTTGAAAATTGGGAAATTGGAAGATTAAGTTATATATATATATAAAAATGGTTAGTTTATTGAACTCCAGACTGAAGCTTCATTCTTTATGTTCCCTGTAATTTATAGATGCAAGCTTCAAACAGTCTTTACCAGGTCATGTTCGTGCACCGGCAGTTTTCAGGTGCATCAGAGTAACAGCCATAAATAGTGGGGAAGCTGAGGTTGCCTATCAAGCTGAGGTGAATATAAGTGGCCATGTTTTCAAGGGCTTTCTTTATGATCAAGGGATCGATGAGAAAAACCTGTTTCCATGTATTTCAAAAATGCCCTCTGGTGAAAGGACTAGAGACTCTGCTTCGCCAATCGTCAAACCATCTGAAGCCTACGCAGCCTCTCGGAACCAAAGACTGCTTGAAGGTACAAATCGCAGCACCTAATGACTTAAATTTTTTCAAAGGGTTAATGTTTGATTAAGTATTAAATGCATTTGTAATTTTCGATAAGTGCCGCAAGAACAGACGGTGATTTCAGATTAGTAACAGGCAAGAAACTGTGAGAAGTCTGATCTTAACATTTTGCGATCCCACAGTTGCATAGCTGAGCTGTCTAGCATTCGCATTCCTCACTTATTATTCCTGAGTTATGCTTAAATTTACTGTCGGAAGTTGCAGTAAAAAGAGGAATCTCAGTAATGTAGAACAGCTACTTGGCTACTTCATAGCCAGCTAACTGCAAAGAACTAAAACATCTTGTTATCTTTCACATGACATTGCTTCATAACCTAGCAAGGGTCATTGTTGCAATGTCACCATCATCTTGGGTAAAAAAGAAAAGGCATGGCATGCAATAAGAGCATTACATCCGTGATGTCCTTTCTTTTACTTTTGACTGGAAAGAGACGGTTCTTCAGGACTTTTGTGATAACAAACTGTTGCCTAGTTTTTTTTTTTTTTTTTTTCCCTGTTCCATCATCCATTTCAAGATATTTAATTCCATTGGAAAATTCTGCTGAGAAGCATTTATTTCATGGCAAGAGATCAGAAACATGCTCATCTGACTCTTTCGTTCTGTTCTTAAGCTTATGCTTTTCCCAATTGATGGAGTGGAAGGATATTTTGCTCTGCGTCTTGTGTTTGGTACTTTACAAGCAAAACATGGTCTGTTTCATGCAGTTGTCAGAATTCTCAACCATTTAGTCATTGCCTCATAAGACATATTTTGAGCCAAGATTCTCGCTCACGATCAAATATTTTTTCTGCGGCTTTTCCACATCAAGTTAATTCTGAAATGAGCATGCGATTTAAAGTAAAAATTATCAAATATATATATATATATATATATATATTTTTTTTTTTGCTTTATAAGTTGATATTCTTTTAGAAAATGTGACTTGACATGGGACTATGTAGGGTGATAGAAGGATTATGACTGTTGAGGCTGGGAGAGAATGCATGACTGGTTATGATTTCTTGGAAGGATTGGCATCAAACAGTGTGAAATTGAACCTAAAATGCTTAGGGAATAATGCCAATAGAATATGAAAGCTCTTAAAAAATCTCTCAAATGTTTTTTTCCTCTCGTTTTTCTGCAGAATCATGCATTTTCAATGCCTATCCATACTAACCAGCTTTTCTAATTTTCCAGGTAATGGATGAGATCCACTTCTGCAGGTTTTGGCTTTAATGCAAAGGGTGTTAAATTGTAATTACTAAAAATGGCATGTCATTCTCTTCTGTAATTAAAGGGATTTCATAGTTTTCCTAGTTTTGCTTCTGAGGTGAAAATCCCTTGGCTGTTCTTAATGCCTTGCTCAGTTTGAATTATCCTGTTCTTTAATGGTGGCCAAAGAAAATTTCTTGGAAGAACACAGTTCTAAAAGTTCATTTTAATGAAACAGTGCCTGGGCCGTTATTGTATTTTTGCATTTTCAAGTTTTCAAACTTTTTTTTTGGGCTGGGGAAGGGGGTGTCGGGTGCTGGGGAGGGTTCAACAGAAGGCCCAATGGACCTGATACCACCCTGTCTAATTGGTGGTGTTCTTAGGCTTTTTTTGTTTGGGCCTCTTGGCCTCTTTTGTAACAAAAGAAAATGAGATATATATATATATATATATATATATATATATGCAGAAAAAAATTAATTTAATTGCCATTTTTTATTTTTTGTTTTTTATTCTTACAAATAAATTCATGTTACCAAAGGGTGATTTTGGCCGCATAAGATATATTTATTTATTTTATTTTATAAGCCATGGATCAATCAAGGGTGGTTATACAGTGCCGTTTTGGTAAGAAATATGCATGACAGGATCCTACGCGTAAAAAGAAAAAGAAAAAAAAAAAAACACCATAACTAATATGTATGCAATCCTATCCATCGAAAAATAATTGAATGTTAATTTATGATCTAAATATTATCTTTTACTTAAGAAGAAAAATACTAAAATGACCTTTCTCTCGTACTACTGATTAAAATATGCTCCGCCTAGTACTGTTTATATTTTCTTAACACTTTCTTATTGAAATTTAAGTTATAAAAGAACATAATATATATTATTTTATTTATATCTAGTTTATAATTATAAATTATTTTTTAGATTTTAAAAATTAAATTATCAAACAATATAACATCATGACTATAAAATACCCAATGGCAATCTGATGCACTTCAAGAATTTAATGTAATTAAATTAAATATGTTCCCAATTCCTTTTTTTTTTTTTTCTGAATTTAATTATTGCTTCTTACCTTCATATTGTATTTATTTTTTCAAGAGAGAGAGAACTAGGAAGATAACGGACCACCGCCACTGATGATTAGATTTTTTATTTTTTTTCCGAAGTCAGAAACAAGAGGGAGAGAGATGCCAATCTCGCTATACTTTGGAATATAGTAATTAACTATGAATTATTGAATTATATAATACAATATGTCTCAATAACTACAAAATGACAAAAAAGAAAACGAGATGACATAATCCTAGATTAATCAATATAAATCTCCAAAACCCTAAACAAAAATAATAAATGCTCATACCAGTTTAGAGTCCTATTTGTATACTAAAGGCTTCTCAATGCAACTCCCCAAGTTCATCCTTTATAGATTTGATCCGATAAACATCAAACATTAATTCATCGAAATAAACAAATTAATTGACGAAAATAAAGTTGCAGCACAAGTTGTTGTCATGGAGCAGCCGGAGGGTGTTCCTGTGATCAAGAAAAAAAGGAAGGGAAAGCAAAAACATGTTACATATCAAGACTCCCCGATCATATCATCAAAGAAATCTTATGCAAAGTTCCATTCACCACTCTTTTGAAATGCAAGTCTGTAAGCAAGTCATGGAGAGATATTCGCTCCGAACCTGGTTTCTCTAATCTAAGAGAACCCACTACGTACTGTCATCCTCTGCCAGAAAGAAAAAAGCCTCTACTGGCTTGAGCTTCAAGGGATGAAATCCCATTACTATAAACCTGCAGCCAAGCCTGTCGACCAACTATTTCAGTTTCAGATCATCAATTCCTGTAATGGCTTGCTTTGTGTGTGTGAATACAAGACATCGACTCCTTGTCATAGGATAATGATGGTACGATCATCATTATTGCACGTATTAAATCCCATCACAGGAGAGTATATATGACTCTCCCAGATTGTGAAGTGCCAAAGAGGTTTAAAGAGGGATCGTGGGGACTTGGTTATTGCCCCAAGACCAACCAGTTTCAGGTTGTTAAAGTATTCTCCTTGAAGCGTGATGGAAATGGCAAGAGATCAACTGATCTGCATCGCATGGTATCCACAATTGGGACTGGCACTTGGAGGAGCATTACGGCTGTAAGGAAATCTTTCGTTACAAGTTGGCGGACTAGATATGATTCAGCATTTTTCAATGGATCACTTCATTGGGTTGTGTCGAGTGGTCTTGGAAATCTAACGTGCACTTTCAATTTTGAAACCGAGCAATTTGGATCGTGTCCATCGCCTCCTTCTTATGCTGGTAATAACTTACAATTGGTAGCTAGACATTAGGGTATGTAGAGACTCTCTTTGTTGCTTTTATAGATACTTTTATTCTATGGAGATATGGCAAATGAAAGATTATGGTGTTGTGCAATCTTAGACTAAAATTCATGCGATGCTAATCAAAAGTTGCACTTCTGGATAATTGCGAAGTGATAAATGTCTTCGAAAATGGGGATATGCTGTTTTGCTCAATGGAAGTCTGCTGTTATATAATCTCGTGACAAGAGTTTTCACAAGACTGGACCATCGAGGGATTCGATCAATTCAAGCTATTGTTCCCTCAACTACATACTGAAGGGAGACTGCTTGTGTGAGATCAAGAAACTGAATTGAAAAAAAAAAAAAAGAGTGAAATTTTTGCTACCGTTCTTAGTTATGCTGGTTTCATAGGTAGTTTAATTTTTTCCTTTTTAATTTTTTAAAATTTATGACTTGAATGTTAGATTTTAATTCCTTTTATTTTGGGAAATAGGTAGTTTTCTTTAGCTATTGTTCTTGATTATGCTAGTCTTTCCTAATGTTAGATTTTTGCAAGAAGATGACAATGATTAGATTTCTTTTGAAGAGGAAGGCATGCATTTTTATTCTTCTTAAGATCCTCAGTGTCGGTAACCATATAAAAAGAAATGGTACTGTAGCGCAATAGTGAAAGTTTAAGCCTATGGCACAATGACCAATTTGGTAGGAGCATTCTATAAATGTTCTATAAATGCCTCAGTTCTGGCTAGACAGTAGAACTTCTTTGACATGCCATGTCTGAGAAACAGGATCTTACAATTGGTCAAGTTTCGTTGAGATGGTAGTGGTACCTTACAATCTATGAGCCCTTAATTAGTTTGTTTCCCATAACAGTCCATTATTGGAAATTCTGTCGGACTCGACACAAGAGACTGATGTTATTGGGCCAACTATGTTGTCTACATTCTGTAACATGATGTCTTTCTGTCCAGCTCTGTGCTGCCAAGGCAAACCCGATGTCTTTGCAAAGTTGATAGTAACTAGAGACGGATAGTTAGCCTTGAAATGAAAAGAACTACAGAAATGCAGCATTAAATTATTCTGTGTGACAATAAATTATAGGCAAACATGCACATGCGCACTCACCTGACAGGTGAAAGGATTGAGCAGTTCAAGTACTAGTAAGTATTAGTCACACATATCAGAAAGGAAAATGTGTGGATGGATAGGATTGCGAAATTCATTCTGCTTTAATCTCTTGATTTGTCAATTATGAGTCTAGCTCCCAGAAGTCTAAAGACCTTTTTGTGAAATACTTTATAGAAATGACTTTACCCTGAATATGTAATGGTTAGTTTCTTGCTGCTAAAAAAAAAAAAAAAAAAGATCGAGTTGATGAAAGAAGGAAACTGAACTTTGGCATGACTGTGATGTTTAAACATAGATTGAAAATCGTTTTCTTGGAAGTATCCACTTACGGATTTTGAGAGAAGTCTTATAACTTCTGATAAAATAACATGTTCACACTTGACGTGCACTGACCAAACTTTGCAACCTCACGAAAAAGAATGCAGAATCCTCTGATGAGGGTGTTACCAAAACGCAGCTATCATCGCTAGATCTTAGCCATAACATCAATGCAACTATTATCTTCCTTAAGAACATGTTGTTGGAGCTGGCAGAGACCCAATTTCGACTAAGTGAAGCACATATGTCCTCTAAAATGGTTACAGGAGGATTATTTAATAAAAGTGGTTACAGTTTATCAGAATATTTAGTAAAATCCATGTCTACGCTTTCTTTTCTGGGGATTTGTTTCTTTTTTCTTCTGCTTTTTCCTTTGTTGTATTTTGTACGTATTTCTGATCTGTAAAGCATGATCTAGCCGCATTTTATGATGTGATTCTACATAATCTAAGAATGACTGTTCATGTGCTGACAGAATATCTGTCATTAGCCAGAAACTGTAATTCTAAGAATGACATGATCTTAGCCAAAATGCAACGACCAATTTGGTAGTCGTAGAGATCCTATATGTCTCCTTTCTGGCTAGACAGCAGAACTTCTTTGACATGCCATGTCTTGAGCCAGAAGGATTTTAGGACTGGTCAAGTAGTGTTGACATATTACCTTACCAGCTCATAGTCTTTAATTAGGCTGTCTCCCAACACCTTTCTTTAAAATGCAATCCAACTCAACGTCAGAGACTGATATCCGTGGGCCAAATATGCTGTCTACATTCCCTAACATTATGTTTCCATCTAGCTCTTTGCTGCTACAATAAAAGAACAATGGGTGAATTTTGCTTAGATTGAATTAATGATTAATCCAGCTTTTCATAGGTGAAAGAGTAAGTAGGGTTCTTTTGCACGGGATAAATTGAGGAAGCGCGATCAGTTCCCAGGATCGTTGATATTCATAAGTCAAGTCAGGTCATCGTGCTCTATGAGCAAGCAGAAGTATCTGCTCATCGATTTCGAGCCAAGTCTCGTACCCCTGCTGTTTCATTTTTTCATTCCTTCTGTTCACTGGACTATCGTTTGATTGGTATGAACACATTTACCTCCAAAAGATTATTGAATACTTAAAATCCCCAGTTTCTCCTTCAAAACATTCTAGGATCAAGCAGTTCGGTGGTCTTAGGAAATAAATTGTTGATTTTTCGTACTGAAAGTGGATAGACAGGATTAATAATAATTTTCATCACAGAAAGAAAATTTTGGCTGATGGTCCATCAACATCAACAAAGAATTTCATTTAAAGATTGAAAGGCCCTAAAGCTAGTTCCATTTCGCTTTTCTTCTGTACATGTTATTTGATTCCGAACCCAGAGACTTCTCATCTTCCGGGGAAAAAAATTAGGTACAAAAAGAATCAATTTCAATATAGGTAAGTGCTCCACCTGGTTAACTCATTTACATTTGAAACAAGCTCGAATAGCTTTGGTATATACCTTTCGTATGATACATCACATGTAACTAAATTAACAGTTATGATGGTGAGGAGGGAAACGCGATGCCGATTGCAAGCACCGATTCCCGGCTGCAATAAGTCATTCCCAGTGGCCAGCTAGATGGTGGAAGCAGTAACCTTTAGCCTACATTTAAGTACTCTCATCTCTAGCAAAGAATGTGTATGCACATATATGGCGTCAGGTTGCAATATGAAGATCCTAATCAATCTATACTCTTCAAGCATCTTCTGCAAATACTCTGAAGATGAAATCCCGAAAGCGTTTGGAGTATTGCTTTGGATCAACTGCAGAGATTGAAGTTGGGTCATACTGCATTGACTTGTATGCATGCTCGAGCTTTTTGCTAATATCATAGTCTTGCAGTATGTCTATGATACCAAAAAATAGGACAACTTCGTATAGCATCCCAGTTGGTTCTCCAACCAGTTGAGCTTCACCATTTCTTCTGACTGTCTTTTCAACCCTTGCTGGCATGTTTATACCTAATTTAACGGAAGCCCATCTGCACAAAACATTCAAAATGAATGAGAAAGGCAAAGTTATGGTGTTTGGAGTCAAGATAACAATAAGGGCCAAGCTGTTGAAACTACTTAATCCAACATCCTGTATGGAAGCAACAAGCAACAGTTAACATACAGGTAAACCTTAATCATGTCCCCTCTTTCAGCTCAGCAATGCATCGTTTTATTTGATTTCATGGAACTATTTGTTATGTCTACTGATTTCGTATATAGTTCATAAATCATGGATTCAAAATGTAAAAATTGGTTTACTGATAGAACATATTAAACAATCAGCTATCACTTAGCGTCAGACAGAATTTATTTAACAATCATTTATTTAACATTTATGCAAGAACATTAACTTTAAAGAATGAATTTTAGCTGAATGCTTAAGATTTATTTTACCGAGTGGGATCGATGAAAAGCTGATCCAAATCCACTCTGGAAAGGCGTGGAGCTCCTGATTCACTTTCATCTCCAATTCCTAAAGATAAAGAGAAGAGACCGTTTCGTTTATTTGGCAAGCATTTATTCTAAAATTACAAATAGCAGTAAATTTAAATATGACGATAAATAACCTGTAGGAGTTCTAAGTCCGGTGGGAGTCCGAAGTCCGGTGGGAGTGGGAATTCCGGTGGGAGTCCGAACTCCAGAAGTACGAGGAGGTGTTGGGGCTTCCCTGTATGAAGCTTCTCGAAAGTGAAGACCAACCAAAAGACTGTAATCCATTATTCTCTCCTGTTCAAGGAAGTCACAATCTCTGTCCACTTGCCTGCATGAAGAGGCACTTCAAGATACTGATATAAACAATAGAAAAAAATGCATTCAAACATTACTTTCGACAAACACCAGCATTTATCTTTCAAGTTAAATAAAACTGCATACCATATACTGATGGAATAGACTGAAGATATTGCAAAGAAGCAACTGAGGCATTTAATCCTAGCACCTCACATCTACTGTGGAAAAAAAGTGGAAGGCAGAAAATAATATAATAAAGCAAACGCAGAACTAAGAATGAGACATCATTTTCACCTGCAAAACTCTTGGAACCAAGATTTCTGCAACCGAAATATGTAATTGAGATCAAGGTCTTTGAGGGTTGTTGTTGGATCAATTTCTGACTCAGGTTTAGAAGTTATGCGACCGTGGGAAGAACCTTTCAAGTCAAAGCGCCGATGAATAGAAAACTCAGAACAAAACAGATTCCCCATAATGACAAATCGCACCTAGTCCACATGAAGATTGATTTCATTAAGATTCAGGAGTTAGATAAACCTTTCTACCCAAAATTGGAGTCGTATGCCCTTCACATTACCTTCTTCTGATTTGGCCCAGTTAATTTTACACAATGAAGTCCATAAAATTTCGTTACTAGCGTGTTCTCAAATGCCCGAACATGATTATAGTAGGCTGGCAGCATCCTCAAGAGGACCTGTAATTACATTTGTCAGAGAAGGCAATACATAAGAATCCTTGCAGCAAGGAATCGTGCAGAAAAAATGGAGAGTGCCTTCTGAAATTGTTGACAAAATGAGATATTGCAGTGAACTACTTAATCATGAAGGGCAAAGTCATTATCCACCAACTATCATAGAAGAAATGGAACTGGAACTTAAAGCTTATTTACCTCAAATTCAAAAAAAGAAAACAAAGTGAAAAATGATGATACTAACTTTTACTTCTGCCTTCTTTATTGTTTTGATCATGTAGCGATCATCATTTGTCAGGTAAAAAAAGCTTCCACTCTTTCCTGGGGATGAGAGCTCCCTAAGAGCATCATTCCCACATATTGATAGCATGTAATCTGCTGCATCCACATTGAACAATTTCCTAAGAGTCCTGAAAATAGGATCATTGAGAACTGTCAGCCCTTATTTATGTCAACTGAAGAAGGACTGATGATGCTAAGAGATAAGCATGCCAGGCTAGGGCAGTCTGCTACCCAATGAAACACACCGTGAATGACAAACAGATACATGCAGGAGTAATTGAAATCATTTTTCAGAGTCTAATTAGCCCTAGCATTAAACTAGTCTCACTGACAAATTACAATTCCTGCTAAAAGACGTTTGGCTTGGTCCTTGTGTAAAAAGAACATGTTTCAAGCTCTGACCTGAAAACTACAGGGCAGTAATCCTTCCATTTGAACTCAGTAGACTGGTGAGGTGGAGTGTACTTGGATCCCTCTGATGGAAATTTAGTCCAAACTTTTTCTTTGGGATCAAATGCCGAAGACTTAAGATCAAGAGATATAGCTGGTGCAGGCCGTCCCACCGAATGTCTGCCCAATCACATGTGTTTTATCAGGAGATTGGATGACATACTGATTGCCACCAACTGGGAGTTGGGAGCATATATAGAAACCAAGAGTTACGTAAAAGATAACAATTTCCATCACACATAAATTGAGGCAGGATAGAGTAGGAAAAGAGCATTTGTGGACAATTAGAAACAGAACAATTTACTAGCACAAATTAGCTATCAAGAATACAAGTTTGTGAAACCCTAAACTAGATGCCAAACCAAAAAAGATAATGAATATAATACCAACAGAATAAATGCATTAGTTTTGGCATATATAGAAGAAAACATTTGGACTTTGAATAAGCATCCTACCAAATAGATAAAGCCAATGCTTGCTAGGGCAGAGCAATAAGAAAGGAACAGAGTAAACAAAGAAGCATTTACCAAATCCCAAGTACCTTATTCCCAACTGCAGATTGAGCATGAGTTCATAATTCTTATGCCCTTTTGATATTGTTTCCCCTTGCTTCTTCACAGGCTGTGATCTCAATTTAGATATTTTCGGATCCAATTCTTCAACCTGAAGATTTCCAAACCCTTCGTCTACATCCCTCAAATCCCCATCACCACCACCACTGCTAACATCATAGCCATCCATTGAAGAAGCCACGCTATAATTACTCAGCCTCCCATCCACTGATATCCTCTTTAGCCTTCCTTCGTTACCACTCCCTTTCATTGGCTTTAAGTTCCCTTGATCAAGAACCCCAGGCCAATTCAACATCTTCTGCGATGGCAAAATTGACATCTTTTCACAAGTAGAAACCTTGCAATCATTCAAATCCGAAAACACCTCTTGAGGATCCCAATCTAGATTCCCTGACGAAGACCCAGATGGATAAAAAGTCCCATTTTGCTCTTTAGGATCTTTACTCCAAAACCCGACATAAAAACTTCCATCTGACCACCTTAAACTCCCATTTCCTTTAGGCAACCCATCTTGCCAAAACCCATCATACCTATTCCCATTGGTCCAAATCATAGTTCCATTACCATTCATCAAGCCATTCTTCCATTGGCCAATATAATTATTCGAACTCTTCCATTGGTACCTTCCATGTCCATCTTGTGACCCTCTTCTCCAATCACCATCATATTGATCTCCATTAGCATAACTCTGTGTACCATGTCCATGTTTCAAATTCATAACCCAATAACCTCTATAAGTATCACCTGAAGAACCTGTATAAGTCCCTCTACCGTCCATGTAACCCCCCTTGAAATCACCCTCATAAGTAGCACCAGAAGGCCAACTAAATTTACCTTTTCCCATTGTCTTGCCTTTATACCATTCACCAAGATACATACAACCATCAGTCCAAAGATACTTTCCATGTCCATGAGGGAGGTTGTCAAGCCATTGGCCTGTGTAGAAATCGCCATTAGAAAGGACCTTTTCTGCATGGTGTACAGTTTCTTTACAAGGAGGATCATCGTCATCTACATGAGCTACTGCTGCTGACATCATGGTGAGAAATACACTGCTGTTTTTCTTCTTCTTTGTTGCTTGTGATTTCCTAACTTTTGCTTCCCAGGCCTTTACAATGCCAATGCTCTCTTTGCTCATTTCTCTCTTTCTACCAACAAAGAATCAACCTTTGTGGTCTTCCCCTCTCTCTTCTCCTTCTCCCATCTTTCATTGTTGTTGTTGCATACTAGTTTTTAAGAACAAAAGCTGCATTTTTGCAGCAAACCAATAAAAGGGGAGAGTTGGGAGGGAACCAACAAAACAAAGACAAAGACAACAAGCTGTATTTGTTTTGTTTTGTTCTCTTTCTTGAGATTGTGTGTTGTGTTTTTCTGTTTCCTGTTTTTTGTTTTGCCGTAATGGTTTTGTGAAATGGGTTGTCTCTAGTTTTTGCCAAAAAAAAAAAAATGTATAGAGTGTTGCTGTTGGATTGAAGGGGAAAGCAAAAGGAGAAGTTGGTGACCAATGCTGGCCTTTTGTTTCTTTTACTTCTTTTTCTTTTTTTTCTTTTTTTCTCTTTTTGGGTGATTCGTTTTTTTTCCCCTTTTGTTTGGGCAAGATTCAACAAGAACAAGTTTCTGTGATTCCGGATTTATCTCCTAAAAGAACTAAAATACCAAACAATTAGAGGAAAGAGAGGAATGGTGGTGATGATGTGAATTCCATTTTTAGTGTTAGTTTAAAAAATGATCATGTTTTTATCTTTACAATTTCAAAGTAATGACTCTGCAATTGTATCCTTGTATTCCTATCCAATTTCTTTTATGCCACACCATCCTATTTTTGGAACTTGATTCAGCCACAACATACATGTTTTTATCTTTAATTATCTCCAGTTTATTAGCTGTTTTTTTATTTCTGTTTATGCTGCATCTTATGGTTAATAGCTAACCGATCTTATAAAAAATTTACAACAATAAAAATCATCTCGAAATATGATCATATATCAAATTAATCGATAATCTATAAAATATTTAAAAATTAAAATAAAATATGATACTTTATCAAATTAAAATCAATTACAAATATCGTGACTTCAATATACATGTTTTTATCTTTAGTTACCCCCAATTTGTTGGCTATTTTTTATGTCTATTTATACTAAGATTAATAGCTAACCAATCTTATACAAAATTTGCCACAATAAAAATCATCTCGAAATATTATCATATATCAAATTACTCAATTATCTATAAAACACTTAAAAGTTAGATAAAACGTAATATTTTTTCAAATTAAAATCAATTATAGATAACGTCATTTTAATATTTAATAAGATCATGAAACATTTTTTATTTGATATGAAGGTTCCATAAAGAAGGGAATTTAATTTCTTATTTGTGATTTCTTTTATAGGGTTTTGACAAGTGAAAATGATCAAGAAATAACAAGGGCATGTAGAGGAAAGAACCAAGTATAGGGGTGAGAAATGTGAAATGTTGAAGAAAAAAGGGGACATCCGGAAATAGGTAAGTAATAGTAATGGGAAAAGATTGGGTGTGTCTTAATGGGCAACATTAACTATCGAACTCCGCGTCCTGTGCTCTACGTCGTGCGGCCTGCTTTCCTTCCTTGGGACGAGGTCAAACACAAGCCCTAAATCCATGGGACCAAAGGTGGCACTTGTCCTTTTTAAGACAAAAGTCACTATTAATTACTCGATGATGATGTCTCGTAAAAAAGCTAATCTCAAACTATGTACATTCTTTTCTCTTTGCTGTTTCCCAGGTGGAAAATGCAGTGCCCCCTTTTACTTTTCTTTGTTAACCATTGGAATTTCCGGTTATTCATTAAAATATCATTTATTTATTATTTTGTTTATTCCCTGTAATTTTAAGAATATCCATGTCCAGGAAGTTGTATGGATTCCATATAGTTTTAAATAGAGTTGTATAATTAGCCTAACAATTAAGAATAAGGCTGAAAATAATAATTAGAATGAAAATAAATTATGGAATCTCTCTAAAAAGAAACGAATCAGGACAAACAACGTAGGACAAATAACTACTCAAAGATGTGATTTAACAGTAAAAAAAAATTATTTTCATTTTAATCAAAACTAAAATTTATGGATGACTAATTATAATTATATTATTAGATTTAAATTGATTTAGCATAAGAAACAGTCTAATAATCAATTAAATATTAGATGTGTTTTGGTATTAATTTAAGTTGAAAGACAATTAATTTAGTCTCAGTTGATAAAAAACTCTCAAAAATCACCATTAAAAATATATAAAATATAATATTTAATATATTCTTACAATGTTTATTATAAGTTTGTTTTTTCGTGTGTATAATCAAACAAATGGTAAGGTAAACGTTTAAGTCGTAAAATTTTGATTCACTTACAAGTTTGAAATATATATATATATATATATATATATATATAATCCCCATATGGAAATATAAGAAAATTAATCGTAATATCTTTTGCCTTAATTTAAGTGAAAATTATAAGAATAAAATTCAACAATCAAATTGCAAGCTATCGATGGGATTTTTCTGATTCGCAGCAAAAGATCTTTTTCAAAAACCTAACCGATTCATATCCCTATTCTCCAGTTTTTCAACCTGATCCACTCCAATTATAGTTACAAAATTGGCAATATGTTTCTTTTCTTTCTTTCTTTCTTTTATTTTTGGGAAAAATGGTACAATGCTGGTTTTCCTATAGTTCCAATGAAGCCACGTATTTGCTAGTCCATCGTGAGATTTTGCAGCCATTTGGAGGAATCATCAAGGACTTGGGTGTTCTTGGTTGGTGAGAAGAAAAGTTCATCCAAATTTGGTAAGCAGACGTATGGACGAATGGGCAGACACGAGCTTGTGGTGTAAACATAAATGTTGGCAACTGTTATTGATGGAGATCACACCTCCATCCAAATTATGCTGCTCGTAAGTTTGATGTGCCCCATGTTAAATGGGTTGTCTCCTACTCGGGGGGCAGCTGTCAAAGTTAAATTGCCTTTTTGTCTTCTCCTAGCTGATGGACCACATCCAATTAGTACGGAAACGACAAATAATTTTATCACTAACTCAATAATAATATCTAATCAAGAATAGTCTCTCTCTCTCTCTCTCTTTTAACTTTTCGTGCATAATAAAATATTAAAAAAGTGATTAACTGACGTGTCATATCAATAATATTTTTTATATTTTTTAAAAATATTTGTTTTTATGATTGTATTTTAATAATTTTTTTTACAAAATAGACTTTGATTAAAAGTATTTTAAAAAATATATTAATAAAAATTTTGATGAGTCAAAAATTTTAAGAGAGGTATAAATAGAAAGGTGGATAATTTATTTAGAATAAAAAAAAATATTGAAATGTGATCTAATAATAAAAAAAAAATTATCTAAATTTGATCAAAACTAAAATTTAATTTCTATTATTACTAAATAATTAATCATAACTATTTTTTAAACGTATTAAATTTAAGTTGATTTAGTTTAAAAACTAATCGATTAAAAGTTTGACATAATTTAACGTTAGATTTATTCAATGAATTTAGTCTTAATTTATATAAAAATTTATCCAAAAATACTATTTATATTTTAAAAAAATACTACCTAGATATCCACTTGTCGCTGTCTTGTTGTACATTATCCGTATAGGCTTAACCAATTCTTTAACTTTTTGTGGTCCTTGTTTAATGAGTTTAGAAGATCGAAGTCATTAACAATGTGATTTTATAAGACTAATCCGAGGTTGATGTTACCTTATTTTGCTGTTGTCCCCCTTCTCGTATGTAATACGTTTTCATAGTCAGTTTTCCAAAGTCCAAACTTTTCATGTGCTGACCAATAATAGTATTTTAACTTTCAGAAGTACAAAACCAGCCGTCGAGTGCTGAGAAATATCATGACAGAAAAATGGGATTCAACTTGTGCTTCCCATGCCTTGGCCCACCAATTCAGCAACATTGGTCTTGTGCAATGTTTGGGTTTGGTGAAAAACTTTTCACGTAGAAGAAATTCGGGCGAAAATTATCATTTGGGATAATTATCCAAATTCTTTTTCTTTCATTTGATTTGAAATTTTCTCTCTATTCATCTCCTTTCTTCTTCGATCAAACAATTTGGATAATCTGAATTTTTAATTCACTATTCCATTATTTTTATCTAAAATAATACATACAAATATTACACTTAACTAGCTAAAATTATGTCAAAGGAAAGATTTGACTAGCCTAAGTCCAAAAAAAATCACAAACTCATTAGTTTAAATATTTATAAATAAAAAAATAAAATATATATAATTTAGATAGTTCGGATAACCTTTTTGTATATATATTACCCAAAAAACCTTTCGGACAATTACCTATTTTCCAAAAGTTTTTAAAATTTATTATTCAAATTGGTTCACATAATCTAAGTAATTCTTTTCTTTAACAATGCTCACCCTAATATTTAGATATACCAAGTATCCACACGTAGATGATAGACCAACCAGCTCACTCGGAATTATATTTATGCCCTTAGAATTTCTCATCACAAAAAAAGAAAAGTGTGATCTCCGTAAATTAAAGGATGATAATGGGTCAAATATAAAACAAGTATCGATTTGGTTAACCTAATAGGTATCGAAGGATAAAATTTTATAATACACAAGGAGTAAATAGTACTATGTACAATAGTTACTCCATTGATCCACTTTAAAGAGAGAGATAGACACGTTAAATTACATCCGGACCCATCAAAAGTGATAAAAAGATTTTCACGTTGGCTCGAATTTTTTTTAATTTTCTCTCTCCTGTTTCTTTTTTTACGTCTATCTTCTTCTTTAGAATGAGTCTATAGAGTAATTACCGTACATGCCACTAGTTACTCCATACATAATAGTTACTCATTGTGTATTATAAAATTTTTCGGTATTGAAATGGATAAAGATAAAAAAATACATACCCACCGATGTGATTTCGGGGTATGGATACTCACTCTTTATCTTATTAATACATACTAATTTATTTAATTTTTTTTTATTAACATCCACGAATCTAATTACATAAAATTTAAAAATTAAAGATTAAAATATTTAAAAAAAACTTTGAGGACTAAAAAAATTATAAATAAATGATCAAAATGAAAAAAAAATTTAAAGATAAAAATTATAAATACTAAAATAAATATTTTTGACGAATTAAATTTAATGAATATTTAATAGATATTAAATAGGGGAATGAACTAGTATAAGCGAGGCATGGACATGATAAAAATTCATATAATGATTTTTTAATAAATAATAGATAGGATAAAAAATTAAATTAATGAATCAGTAACCATTCATTGTCATCCTTATATCTAATGTAAACGTTTTTTTTTTTTTCATCAGAAAACTCGTGGATTTTAAGCTACACGATGAAGAGAGTGTTCTTTTACTGTATAATAACTAGATAAATTAGAATTATTAGTACTTGAACTTAGTTTACCGAAAAAAACTAACGGTCTACAACCGCTAAACTAAACTATATGTGCTTATATGTTAATGTAAATATATTTGACCGAGGGCGTATAAAGTTACTTTTTTATTGGGTTATTTCTTAAGCACTCGCATTAGTTGATGGTAATCTTTAGGTCAAACCGGCTAAAGTTGGAAAATGTGTCCAACCATGTTTCTTCGGACACCCAATTCACGGGATTCGAGTTTCACGTTTCACGTCATACTCAAAATCTTTAGCATAGGATTCGTGCATGAATGGGCATGCATGTTCAGCCATTTTTGGTCAACATAAGACAGAAGTGACTGGATCATGTGAAATGTATCAAAGGAAGTTGTCGTTGCTGTATTTTTCGCTAGTGTAAATAGATATAAACCTCTCCATGTTTATAAGATTTTCTGATATTCAGTAGACAAAATTGTCAGATACTAGGAAAGTTTCAATGTTTTGTTAACTTCATTCCTAGTATTATGGGACTTGTATTTATTTTCTTTTTCAAAACAACAAATTGGTTTTGGAATCGTAACTGTATAATAATGATTAAATAGTATAAATATGAAATAATTAATTAACTTACTATGAAATAAGAAATTAATTATTTTGATACAATAAATAAAAATATATAATATTTTATAACTTGAACACATTATAATTATAATTTTTTAGCACCTTCAAGTAACCAAGAAATTGTCTAAATTTATATAATTGAAGTGATTGGGAAAATTGAAATTCATCGATTCTGTGGTTATATGGGCTGGGGTAAGCTCGGCCCGCTATGAAAGCCAGAGATACGAACCTGTGGCATCAAAAGCCCAGGAGCCCAATAATTTTTTCTCTTCGTAAAATTATAATCCTGCTGTCAAGAATAAATTATAAATTAGCCTCTTTAATTTTGAAAAAAAATTAATTAGTTTTATTTATTTTAAAAACTAAGTATTCATTCTTTTTCTCCATTTTATACTCTTTTCTAAATTGTTTTAATTTTTATTTAAAAAATAAAAAAATATATAAAAAATAAATAGATATTATGGAAATATTGATGAGAACATAAGATTTTTTTAAAAAATAAAATACTATTAGATTAAATATGATCAATACTGATAAAAGAACTAAATAATTAGTTTTTAAAATAAATAAAGCTAATTAATTTGTTTTTCAAAATTAGAGAGGTTAATTTATAATTTACTCTTTTCCAATACCACATACCTCAAAAAGGATTAAGTAAATTATAATTAGTCTTTCTATTTCTTTAAAACAAATTAATTAATCTTATTTTTTTAAAAAATAATTATCTAATTTTTTATCAATATTGATCATGCATAATTTATCATATGAACGTACTTTTACTCTTGACATCTCTATTTATTTTGTTTGTTTCTCAAGAAAAAAGAGGGAAAAGCAAGGAAATTTTAATTTTTTTCTTGAATTTATTCTCTTTTTTTTTCAAACATTTACGTACGAATTAATTTATCTAATATTTAAAATATAGTCTGGCTGCTAATAACATGTAATAAACCGAATTAATTAAGAGTCAAATTAAGATAATAATTTTTTTTTTTTTAAGAAATTAAAACAGCAAGCAATACTCGGAAGAAATCAGAGACCAGCCCATCCTGGTAAGATCCAAACAACGCAACTATCATACTTTGTTTCCATATGCCTTTGCTGCTTCTACGAACTTATCATTCGGAACATAAGTGTGTATTATTACTGTTCCTGGGAAGGAATAAGGGTAAAAAAGACATCTCTCAAGTTAAAGCACCTGTATGTCGCTCTGCCGACTATGTTTAGTTACGTAGCATTTGATTATTTATGATAGGGAACTAGTGGATATGAAAAAGAAAGTGATTACGACGGGTCTAATGTCAATCTCAGTCACCACGAACACAACGTCCAGATCCTAAAGCTGGTTTATAAAACCAAAATTAAAAAAAAAAAAAAAACATTGATTGATTCTATTTCTTATTCCTACAATCATTACTTAGCATATCTAATTCCAATATTCTTTTTCTTCTTCTTCTTCTTTTTTTTCCCTAAAGCAAGGAAATTTTATTTTTTTTCTTGAGTTTACACTTTTTTTCAAACATTTAATTTTTAAGCTTTTTTTCATTTGTTTTATTTTTTCCCCGTGGTAATTTTTTATCAGATGTTACTTTTGATTAAACAATAATAAAAAAAGGAAACATTAAGAAAATTTAGAGAACATAGGACTAAAAAATAAAAAATAAAAAATAAAAGAGCTATATAGAAAATGTGAAGAGTAGAAGGACATTTCATGTTATTAATCCTAATTTAATATTATTTTATTTTATAAAAAGTCATTTTTTCTTATTAATATATTCATTTTTTTATTTTTTATAATTAAAAAATAAAATAAATTGAAAAATAACGAAAATATTAAGTTATAAAAAATTGAAAAGATAAAAACTAGATAATTAATTTTTTAAACTAGATGGACTAATTAATTCATTCTCAAAACTAAAGGTACTGATTTATAATTTAGTCAAAAGGATTTGATCCGTTAAGATAAAAAGCACCCTCCGTCACACCAAGGATCAGGACGAAACGCAGCACGAGTGAGAGGGTGGGGTTTTCGAAGCCAAAGAGAGTGGCGATTCGAGGATCATAAGGTATGATGAAAGCACAATTTCAACGAAAAAGAACCAATGCCCTAACTCTCTGACAATCAGAGTTTTCAGTTACGTTCGATATGGAAACTTGCTCACTTCTCAGTAACTCAGAATCCTTATTGCCATTCATTGTAAGAATATTATAAGAAAGAAACTCAGGTCCAAAAGCCTACAGAATCTGACATCACACTGACCACTGATAGCCCCATTGTTTCAGACTCCAGGCGGCGCAACTGCTTCTACTCTAGTGGAGATTGAGTGGAATTGAATAAAGAAACATGAAAAAGGCCGAAATTTTGGGTCAAAAGAAGATGAAGGAGCTAAATAAATGCATGCTACCAATATTTGGCGGTGAATCTACTAGCCTTTTCATTCATTCGAGATCTGATTGACTGACTGACTGATTTTCTGCTATTTACTGCCTTGAAAAAAGTTGGTAGAGTCGAGATTTTTTTCTTTTTCAAGTTTCAAGGATCAAGATATTGTTGTATAGATTTTCATGTTGGCTGATAAGATTGAAAATTCATTTTTTTTAAATGCTTCGTTTATAAAATGAAAAACTATTTTGAGACATTGTTTATAAAATAAAAAACTATTTTGAAACATTTATGAGTAAGATATAAACAATCAAGTGAGACTCAGAATAGGATAAAATAAAAACAATTAAGCGAGATTTGGAAGCACGTTACTAAAGTTAAGAATAAGATTAAAAATTATATATTTTTTTAAATGTTTCATTTGAAAAAGTGAATTAACATTTTGTGATGCTTTTCAATAAACCTAGACAATAAGCGAGAGTTAAGAAATACGTTATTATAATTGAGCAAATTTGTAGCTATCCATGCTTGTTTTGTTTTTCATTTTATTTTATTTTACTGAAAGAAATCTTTCAGTTAAACTTGCTTACTTTTAGTAAATAAATATGAAAATTTTCTTATTTTTATTGTTTTTAATGGATCTAAATATAATTTTTTTATATATTTATCTCTCTTAAAAAATAAATATATGAAATAATTATGGTAGATGTGGCTAATTACTATATAAGTATTATAAACGATTGTACTTTTGATATAAACGATTAGCCCAATTGAACCTTTCAAGACTGTTTTTGAAGAAACTGGGCTTGATCACTCATGTTGCATCACAAGAAGAGTATGGAATTATTCGCAAAAGTAACGGGCTTCAACTCCCACAATGTTTCATTCTTTATTGGACATTACGATGGGCCCATGAAAGGCATAAAAGACAACAGATCCATATCCAAATGCAAAATGCAGCTTCACAAACGAAAGAAAACAGCGAAAAGCATGTTCCCGTGGACGGAACGATTCTCGTGGCACAGAGCCTGAATCAGGGCATGTCAAACATTAATTTCCGCATTTGTTGCCTTGGAGTCTCAAGGTAAAAGTTCGCAAGGCTAAAAGGACTTTCTTCAACCTCTTCTTTGCTTGTTCATCAATCAGGTTGCCTTGGGTATCAAACTTTGTAGGAGGCTTAAATGCGTCAAGGAAAAACTCAGGCTTGTTAACGAAATGAAGATCCACATCGACTCCAATTTGGCGAAGGTGAAGCTGTCCTCGTGCACCGCCCATTGCTCCTGAAACACTTATGACTGCGGCAGGTTTATCGGCCCAAACATTTGGGGCTCTAGAGCCCCAGTCTATTGCATTCTTCAAGGGTGCTAACATGTCATGAAGGGAGAAATAAATATATAGAATTTGAATTCATGATTGTAGGGGTAAAATAAAGCCTTCTTTATATAATAGTTTTGAGTATTTTTAATTCCATCTATTATATTTTTAAATAATTATTTGGCTTGAATTTAAATTTTTAACTAAATAATTTTTAAAAAGGAGAAAGATTAATGAAAATATGATACCAGAGACTGAATAATTGAACTCAGGAGATGAAAAAAGAATGCAATCAGATTCAAGAATTTTCTGTCGAAAATCTTCAACAACTGGTGGAAAACTTCCAGCCCCGTAACGAAGTTTTTGGTGCAAAATTTCAACATCTAAGGAAGTATTGTCTTCGTCTCCTTCAAGATCAAAGTTTTCCATTGGCAACTGCGAAATGTCGAGTTGCTCAATTTCCATGCCAATTATCGACTCCTTGGTCAACTCAATTGCTACAATGATGAACCATCAAATCCAAAGTTATAAGAGAAAAATTCACACCATTTTAATCAACTATGTTAACCATATATATCCAATCTAAGGCATCAAGCAATTAAAATTGTTTTCATACATTGAACCAAAAACATTCATATAATAATTTTTTAAATATAAAATAATTAAATAACTTAATTTGTTTTTATACAATATTTTGAGTCTCTAATATATTTTTAATTGTATTTATTGTGATTTTGAATAATATTTCACCCTTCAATTTATACTTCCGATCAATTTTAAAGGCCACCACAAAAAACGTATAGACAGATTAAAAACTTAATCTATTAAATAAAAACAAATTAAGCTATTAATCTAAATAAAATACTATGAAAAGTATGGTAATTACCAGCTCGAATGAGGCCACTACTGTAGGAAGCTTTACGAAGGGATCCGCTGATAGCTATAACTTTGACCACAGATTTTTCTTGCCCCATCGCCATTTGTTTTTTACCTGCGCAAATTGATCTGATTTCCTCTCTTTGCGTACAAGCTAGTAATGAGTATTTCTTTTTCTTTGGCTCGCTGTGTTTTAGAAAGCAAGCATACACACAAGATATATATATAGGTCGAGGCACGAAGAACTAATCACAAGAACTTCTTTGCATGCATTATTGGATGGAAGCAAAGTCAAAATCGATTGTTACTATTATAATCCTCTAATGGGATTTTGAATACATTAATTGTATTATTGTTGATCTAATATGTTGTTAATTAGCTAGTGTTTTTAATAGCGTCGGCTTAATTTGTCTTCTAATCAGGACAAATGCATCATAAGAAAATGGAATTTTGAGTGGTAGGGCATAGTCCATTAGAGTTGGTATGTTCTAGAGGAGTTTATTGGTTTATGTTTTGTCGATTTTAATTGTCTTCTGTTTTTTGGTTCATTGAATGGTTTGTTGGAATAGAAGTAGGTTGGGGTTACTAAAATTAAAATTTATTTTATTAAAAGAAATTATCTAGTATATAAGTACAATCTTATTTATAAATAACCAATGTTGTCTAAACAAGTATCATTTTTTTCCAAAAAGTCATCTCTTTTGATTTTTTACATGACTTAAAAAGTTATTGGTTGTTATTCCATATGAATATTTTTTGTTTATATTTTTTCAAAATATTTTTTTAATTAAAAATATTAGTTATCAAATTTAGTCCGACGCAATATATGGAATCGATATTAACTTAAGAAAAAAATATATTAAAAAAATTAAAATTATAAATTAAAAAAATATCATTAAGTTAAGTAATGATCAAATTTAAAATAATTATAAAAAAATAACATATTAATGAAAGTAATTTACTTCTAAAATTTCACCATTCAATAAAATTTCTATAAGAATAAATATATTTCATGCAACAAAGGTGTTTGTATGTATAAAGAGAAAGTATAAAAAATATTGATTTTTTGGTTAATGAAGAGTTGGAAATGAAAGAAAAAATTGAATTTTCTTATCGATCAGGCACATTTTAAGAAAATACGTTATTTAAAATTTTAATCTAATAAATATTTTAAGAAATATATAAACAGAAACGAGTACGAGAACTTTGTGAAAGAAAACCGTTATTTTAAAATCCAACATGGCGTGCCCTGAAAGTAAAAGCTTGTTTACCAATCAAACTTTGCAGGCGGCTGGAATGCAAAAACTCAGGGTTGTTTATCATTCAGGAGGCTTTTTTTTTTTAAAAAAAAATCATTTTATAACCAAATGAAGATAATATTTTTTTTTAAAAAAAAAGAAGAGCAAAAGTCCTTATTTTATCATTATGTTTGTGTCAATTTTTCGACCGTGCCCTTATGTATAAGGATGAAATTGAATAACGAAAAACTATAAATTTGGTTCCATCAAATATCCATATGAGAAATCAGACATTCCGAAAACCAATTTTTACGTGTGTGGTGAAGGTGATGATTCAAGCATTCATAATTTTTTTTTTTAAAAAAAAAAGAAGAAGAAAGCAAAAATGAATGGGAGGAACTAAATCAGTAACGTGTGCAGTGACGTGGCATAATGATATAATTTTATTATTCTTGATTTTTTGCCGTCTTTGGGATCATAATCGAGTATCGTTCTTTTGTTATTTAATAATGTGGACCTGTCTTCAGTCGCAGAAAGAAATTAATAGAATTAGTTTGCGGATAAAAAGAAGAGACACAGAGTTTTTGTCTCATGGTCACGGGCACGGAATTATGAGTGTGGTTGAGGGTGTCACTCTCAACTTTTGAAAGATGTTATATGTAAATAGCTCAATCTATTCTTAAATAAATAATTGTGCAAGTATTCGATATGCTTTTGTATTTGTAATTATATTTTATATAGTGTAAAATCTTCAATATAACCTTCAATCAGGTTTTTCATTCAAATTAATACTTTTCGCTCTAAAATTATCCTTGAAAGGTTGTATGAATTCTCTATCATCGCACTGTACTTCAGCTATCAAAGATTAGACCCAAATGAACATTTCAAAAATATATATAGGTCGTGATATAAAAAAAAAAAAAAAAAAAAGTAAAAGAGCTACAGAAGATGAAGATCCAGAATGACCCCAGTTTGGTGAAGATGAAGCTGTCCTCGTGCACCGCCGATTCCTTCTGAAGCACTTATGATTGCAGCAGGTTTATCAGGCCAAACATTTGGACCATGATGATTGATGATGATCAAAAAAACAATCAAAAGGGACACATTATGAAAATTTAGAGAGGACGTGATTAAAAAAAAAAAAAAGCTACATTTAGAAAATTTGAAGAGTAGAAGAATATTTCATATTATTAATCCTAATTTAATATTATTTTATTTTATAAAATGTCATTTTTTCATTAATTTTTTCATATTTTTTATTTTTTATAATTAAAAAAATTAAAATAAATTGAAAAATAAAGAAAATGATTAAGTTATAAAAGAATTTAAAAATATAAAAACTAGATAATTAATTTTTTAAACAAAATGGACTAATTAATTCATTGTCAAAACTAAAGGTACTAATTTATAATTTACTCAAAAGGATTTGATCCATAAAGATAAGAAGCACACTCTGTCACGCCAGGGATCAAGACAAAACTCAGCAAGAGTGAGGCGGTGAGGCTTTCGAAGCCAAACAGAGTGGGGATTCGAGGATCGTAAGGTATGATGAAAGCACAGTTTACCACTGTTGCGCCGCCTCGAGTCTGAAACAATGGGGCTATCAGTAGTCAGTGTGATGGCAGATTTCTTTTTTTTTTCCTTTTTTCAGTTTCAAGGATCTAGATATTATTGTATAGGTTTCCACCGGATGTTTTTACATATCCTATCGTTGAATAAAATATATAAAATTATTTAATAATTTATTTTACTGTATAAATATATAAAAATATATAAAACTAAAAGTGAAAAAAATATTTTAAATGTTTTAATATAATTTAAAATTAAATGAACAAAAATTTTAAAAAAAATAACAAATTAAAATAAGAAATTTTAAATAATAAAAATAATAAACAAAAAATATTAAAACAAAATGGGATCAAATTATAATACAATTAAAGTTCGAAAAATAAAAAAATATATATTGTATAAAAAATTTGAGAACCATATAATTTTAAATTAATTGGATGAGAAAATAATGAATAATATTAAAATAAACGAAAACTGTTATTAAATGTAATTTTAAATTAATTGGATCAGAATTGAAAAAAATGACAAATTAAAGTTATAAATTTAAAATAATAAAAATAATAAAAAAATATTAAAACAAATGGGCTAAATCACAATACAATTAAAATTTTAAATTTAGAAAAAAATTGTATAGAAAATTTGAGGACCATATAATTTTGAAGTAATTGGATGAGAATTTAAAAGAAAAATGACAGATTAAAGTAGCAAATTTGAAATAATAAAAATAATTATGAAAAAATAATAAAATAAAATACAATCAAATCACAATACAATTAAAGTTTGAAATTGAAAAAATAAAAGTATAAAATACTCGTGCTACGGTGCGATAAAACAACCGTTGCATATGTAAAATTAACTATTTGTATGATTTAATGTGAGCAGAAATTTTATTTCGGTGATTGATGTAAAAGGAATTTATATATTGATGGAAATCGTTTAATTTATCAATATTTATCAATAAAATATTTAATTATATTAACATGAAAATTTGTATTTAAATAATTATATATCTAACTTATTTTATTAAAAATAAATTTTAAAATATAAATAAAAAAATAATTGATATTATATGTGTAGATCTAAAATTAATTTCTAACAAAATTAATGATACACATGCATACATATATATAATAGCTATATTGTATGAAACATATTGAAGTTAACATATCAAAATAAAAGCTATAATAAAATTAATTTCTATAAATTCTGAGTAGTTTTGAGCAATTTGTAGCTATCCATGCTTATTTTGTTTTTCATTTTATTTTATTTTACTGAAAGAAATCTTTCAGTTAAGCATGCTTGTGTAAAACGAACTATTAATGGTAAGGCCCAAAGAAACCCATCTACTACTACTGTAAAGTTGTAGGACTTTGCTATCATCGCATTGTACTTTAGCTATAAACTATTAGCCCAATTGAACCTTTCAAGATATATATATATATATTGAAGAAGAAATTGGGCTTGATCACCCATGTTGTACCACAAGAAGAGTGTGGAATGATTCGTAAAAGTAATGTTTCATTCTTTATTGGACATTACTATGGGCCCATGATAAGGCATAAAAAACAACAGATCCATATCCAAATGCAAAATGCAGCCTCACAAACGAAAGAAAACAGAAAAAAGCAAAAGGACTTTCAAAAAAAGCACTGTTCCACACCTCTAGTCTTGTTCAAAACACATACTATGTTTGCATGCATACACGTGGCGCCTTGGTTAGTGATATACATTATTATTATAATATTTAGTAGAGGTAGATACCATATTCTGCTTAATTAGAGCTTTTACATACCTTGGAAAAGAGGAATAAGACCAAAAGGGTCCCACCAAATCCAACTTTTAAAATACCTTAATGTTGCCACCGCTTGAATCAGGGCATGTCAAACCTTAATTTTCGCATTTGCTGCCTTTGAGTCTCAAAGTAAAAGTTTGCAAGGCTAAAAGGAGTTCCTTCAACCTCTCCTTTGCTTGTTCATCAATCAGGTTGCCTTGGCTATCGAACTTCGTAGGAGGCTTAAATGCGTTCAGGAAGAACTCAGGCTTGTTAGTGAAATGAAGATCCACATGGACCCCAATTTGGCGAAGATGAAGCTGCCCTCGTGCACCACCTATTCCTCCCGAAACACTTATGACTGGGGCAGGTTTATCAGCCCAAACATTTGGGGCTCTAGAGGCCCAGTCTAATGCATTCTTCATGGGTGCTGACATGTCATGAAAGGAGAAATAAATGCATAGAATTTGAATTCTTGATTGTGGGGGTAAACTAAAGCCTTCTTTGTATGATAGTTTCTGTATTTAACTTACATCTATTATATTTTTAAATATTATTTAGCTTGAATTTAAATTTTTAACGAAATGATTTTTAAAAAGAAAAAAGATTAATGAAAAAAACGATACCAGAAACTGAATAATTGAACTCAGGAGATGAAAAAAGAATGCAACCAGATTCAAGAATTTTCATGCAAATCAGATTCAAGAATTTTCTGTCGGAAATCTTCGACAGCTAGTGGAAAACTTCCAGTACCATTATGAAGTTTTTGATGGAAAGTTTCAACATCTATGGAAGTATTGTCTTCTTCTCCTTCGAGATCGAAGTTTTCCATTAACAATTACAAAATATCTAGGTGCTCAATTTCCATGCCAATTATCGACTCTTTGGTCAGCTCAATTGCTATAATGATCAACCATCAATCCAAAGTTACATGAGAAAAATTCACACCATTTTAATCAACTTTATTAACCATATATATCCAATCTAGGGCATTAAACAATTAAAATTGTTTTCATACAGTGAACCAAAAACATCCTTATAATAATTTTTTAAATATAAAATAATCAAATAGCTTAATTTGTTTTTATATAACAGTATGAGTCTCTAACATATTTTTATATTTTTAATTATATTTATTGTCACTCTAAATAATATTTCATTCTTCATTTTGTATTTTCGATCAATTTTAAAGACCATGACAAAGTTTTTGACTAAAATACCCTTGAATGAAATGAAAAAAAGAAGAAGCACAACTCGTGTGAACTTAAATGATATTTTTTTTAATTAATCGTGGGTATTTTTGTTAAAAATTTGCCTATACTCTAAAAAAAAATGATTGAAATAATATATTAAAGTTTAAATATTATTCAGAAATATAATATATGCAATTAGAAACGTATATATAGATTAAAAACCATTTTTTAAAACGTTGACCACAGATTTTTTTTGCCCTATCACAATTTTTTTCTTTCCTGCGCAAACTGATCTAATTTCCTCTCTTTGTGGACAAGCCAGATGCGTATTTCTTTTTCTTTGGCTTTAATTGTCTAAGTTTTTTTTTTATTATTATTCATTGGATGGTGTATTGAACTTAAGACAACACAATAAAGATTAATCAGAATTATTAAAATTCCAATTTATTTTACTGAAACAAAACCATTATTTGAAAATCAAACATGGCGGAGCCTGAATGTCACATAATAATTTCATCATTTGCAGCCTTTGAGACGCAAAGTAAATGCTTGCAAGGCCAAAAGCACATCCTTCAAACTCTCTTTTGCTATTTGTCGAAGATGAAACCGTCCTCGTGCACCACCCATTCCTCCTGAAGAACTTATGATTGCAGCAGCTTTATCAGCGCAAACGTTTGGGGGTCTAGAGGCCCAGTCTATTGCATTCTTGATAGGTGCTGGTACATCATGAAGGGGAGAGAGAAATATAGTGGTAGCAAACTAGGAATTAGTTAAAAAATAAAAAATAAAAAGAATTTCTCATGTTTACTTCATTTGCCAAATGTAAGGAATTAATAGAGTACCGGTGACTGAATAATTATGCTCCGGCGAGGCAAAAAGAATGCTATTAGCTTCAAGAATTTTTCTGCCGAAAAGCTTCAACTGCTGGTGGGAAACTTCCGGCACCTATAACAAGTTTTTGCAGATATGTTTCAACATCTGATGGAAAATTTTCTTCATTTCCCTCGAGGTCAACATTTTGCATTGGTAGTTCTGATATGTCTATGTGCTCAATTTCCATGCCAGTTGCGAACTCCTTGGTTTGCTCCATCGCTGCAATAATGAACCATGTAGAATGAGATTTTACAACCGTTAAGTTGTCAGTACGACGGTTTCAGTTGCTCATATTATAAGTAAAAACAATATCTTTTTTATTTATAGCCACTTATTTAAAAACTCTAATAAAAAATTGCAATACAATCATGGAATATGTATAATTGTTAAATCATATAAATCTTTATATTACGTAATTGTTATTGTTTTTCTATTCTATTTTCTTGTTTTATTCGTTTTTTTTTAACAACGACATTACGAACTCTCATTGAGGTAAATGGATCGAGCTTAGCTTAGATCCCAAGGACCATTAAGAATGCTTAGCCCAAAAAGGGAGCTCTTAAAGAGCCTGAGACTGTAGAAATAGAGCTGGGTCCATGCAGAATAACAGCACTGGAGACAAGTAGCATCAAATTTTGTATGCATGCATGACCGTAGAAATTGAGTGCAAAGAAGGAAGTACCAGCTCGAATGAGGCCTTCATTATATGAAGCTTTGCGAAGAGATCCACTAGGAGCTGCAACTTTGATCACAGAATTTTCTGCCTCCCTCGCCATTTTTGCCTGCACAAGATCTGTTTCTCCTTTGCATTATTGGACAGAAGCAAACTCAACACCAATTGTCAACAGTATAATTCTCTAACTTTAATGGATATATATATATATATATATATATTTTTGTTTTTTAACATTGTCCCTTTTTGGCATCATTGTCGGTTGCCTCTCATAAACTTGGCCAATGTTCATGGTCTAATTGGCATGTGGTATTTTCCTTAGAAAAAAAAAAAACTCGGATTTTTTTTTTTGGGGGGTAGAGTTTGAATCATTTAATACCCAAACGAAGATATTTTTTATTTTTTTAAAAAAAATAGTAGCAAAATTCCTTATTTTATCATTGTGTTTGTGTCAGTAATTCAATTGTACCCTTGTGTTATAGACTTTCAATATAAGGATGAACTTGAATAACAAAAAAGTATAAATTTGGTTCCATCAAATATCCATATAAGAAATTAGAATATCAAAAAAAATTTACCATGAAAAATTTGAAGGACTAGATTCCTGCCTTGAAAGTTAGAATATCAAAATTCTATGTTAGAATATCAAAATTCTATTGTCTCCCAATTTGATTCGTACCATGAAAAGGTAAAAAAAAAATCAGTTTTCGTTTACCATTACTTCCCATAAAATAATTGTGCTCTGTAAACATGCCATGAACAATAATGAAAAAAATTGACTTCTCCATAACATAAGCTGGATCAACCTATTACGTGTGTGGTGAAGGTTATGATTCAAGCTTATTTTTTATTTAAGAAAAAAAGAAAGCAAAGATGAATGAGAGGAACTAAATTACTGACGTATGTAATGAGGTGGCATAGTGATTTAATTTTGTTATTCTTGATTTTATGCCGTCTTTGGGATCATAATTGAGTATTGTTCTTATGTTATTTTAATTATGTGGACTTGTCTTCCCATATAAGCTAAAGTCGCAGAAAGAAATAGAATTAATTAATTTGCTGATAAAAAGAAGAGAAATAGAATTTTTGTCTTATGGTCGTCAGTGTGCATTGAGGGCACGGAACTCTATGAGTGTGGTTGAGGGTGTCACTCAAATTTTGAAAGATGTTATACTTATGGATAAATGTTTCAATCTATTCTTAAATAGTTAATTAGGCAAGTATTCATTATTCCTTGTATTTTTAATTATGATTATTGTGTCTTCGTATAGTATCAAATTCTTCAATATGATATTTAATTAAAATTTTTGACTCAAATTGATACTTTTCATTCAATAATTGTCCGTGAATAATATGAGAATATAATAGAAAAGTTTCTCAAAATTGCTCAAAATATTTTAAGAGATAAAAAGTTTAAAAATTACTCAATCGTTAAATTTTTTTTTTAAAATAAATTTAAATTTTTTTAAAAAAGAAAATTACATTTTTGTATAGCTCAATGGTAGTTATTGAATGAAAATATAATCAAGTCAATTTACATAGAAAATTTTAATAGAATGACATATTGAAGAATTAGATATTGTATAGAAATGTAATAAATATTATTGAAAATATAAAATAAATTGAAAATTTAACCAATTATATAAAAATAAATTGAGTCAATTACTCTATATTTAGTCCTTTAACATATCCGTGTGTGTTGATTCATTGTATTTAGAGAAGAATTGCACAAGAAAAATTTATCTAGAGTATTAAAATTAAAAATTAGATGTACATAAATATACAAATAGATTGATTATATATTGTTAAAAAATATTATGTATTTCGTATCTGGAATACTTTTGTGATGGGACTAAAGGTGTAATTGAAATATGCATCCGATTAATTTTGTTTCATCGTGGCATGGAAACTCCATTGCAAATAAACATTACATTCCTAGACGTGCATTTTGAATTTGATTTTCTTGTTTTTTTTTTTTGTTTTTTTAGGTTTGTAATATGTTATAACATACATGGGTCTGAGAGGAAAGAATGACAGAACAAGAAGAAAATAAACTAAAAAGAAATGAAAAAGTAAGTTTTTTCTTATTTTGCTTTGTCGTCAAGGGTAAAATCGAAACATTCATAAAACGGAAGGGGGACTTTGAGAACATTGGTGAATCTATAAGGACAAAAAGTTAGTTTACCCTGCCTTTATCCTTTGTCGGTTTTGAATCTCCAAGAAAAAAAGAGCCATGCAAGTCTCAAGAATTGTTGTCAAATTTAAACTTCAAAGTTCACCTTAACTTGCAAAGGTGAAAATGAAGATTTAGTCGAACCCGTTTTGCCTGTGAGCTAGAGGTGACCGTGACTGGGCATATTGTGGAGGATTGAGTGGAAGAAAAAAAAATCATTAAGGAGGAGATTTGTGTAACCAAAAAGATGGAGAAGGAAGGAGAGAGAGACAACAAGCTAGCTAGCATTGTCGGCAGCTTAATTTTTTTGCGGTTTTCTTTTCGTTTTTTGGTGGCATTTTCTGAAGCTAATTAAAGCATCATCAAAGGAGAAACTCCAAGTGCCGGGGGTGGGGTTGGTGGTGGTGGTGGTGGTGGTGGGGAACCGCTATAAATGTATTGGTTTTGTCTCAATTGCGTCCTTGTATTAGTTTTTGCACTAATGCCATCCCTGAACTCTTTATTTATAATTTATCTTATCCCCCTTCTGTGCTTCCTACAACTACAGTTAAAGACCGTCGCTAACAATGGTTAACGAAAAAAACCTTATTAGTGCATAACACGAACTAATTCAAGACCTTACCTGGAACAAAATTTGCTTATCCGGTTAGTGGCATTGATGACGGCAAGAGTATGATCTCAGAAGGGCAGATGCCATTAAAAATGCCTCTCTGTGGTGAAGAAAGCATCTCTAGAGATCATTCATTTCATTTTCTAAGCTCTTATTGCACAATGTCTCTCCTCTTCATATGGATGCAAGTTCGCATCAGATGAGTTGCCAAGTGAAAATTTCATTAAATAAGGTGGTCCAAAATGTTCCCAAGAATAAAGTCTTTTTTGCAACTTTAATCTGTTAAATGGACATAGTATTGTGGTCCTGGGTCACCCAGTGAATTAATTCTCCATAAAAAAAAATAATAATAACATAAAATAAAATAAAAATTCCTATATTCATAGGGAAGATGGCTACAGAGCAATTACCATTTCCCCAATATGAAAAGGATGAGCTTGCTCCCTGAGAAATGTATGTTGTTAGCCTGTGGCATCTTGCACAAGTAATCCCAAAAAAGTCCTCAGAGACTAGGACCTCTCCCTATGATACTTTGTTCGGAGCATCTTATCAGATTTAGCACTAGAATTCCTCCGGTGATAATCTTCTTATCGGTTAAGTATCATTATGCTGCTTATTCTTTCTTTACATATTCGTGAAAGCTTCTACATTTGAATCGGACAAGCCATAAGAGCTTAGGAATCAAGGGTGTTTAATCATCTCAACAAAACTGGGTTATTTAATGCTCTTAGACCAAAGAAATGAACACAATAGCTAGTACAGAACACTGAGAAACTGAAAGTTTTGAACATTATATTAGCACTATGATTGGAGGCCACTAAGAGGAATGAAATGCAATTAAAGTCTGAGTTCCAAATGCAACATTACACATAGAATAAAGGACCAAATAGGTGAAAATCCAACATGACAAAGCTCTAATGCCACATTAATTTAGCACTTACCTTGGAGTCGCAATGTGAATGCAAGCAAACTTAAAAGAACTTCCTTTATTCTATCCTTAGACGCTGGATCAATCAAGTTGCCATCGCTATCAAATTTTGCAGGAGGTGTAAATGCATTCAAGTAAAACTCAGGCTTGTTAATGAAATGGAGGTCCAGATAAACTCCAATTTGGCGAAGATGGTATTGTGCTCTCCCACCACCAAAACTTCCTCCAGCACTTACAATGGCAGCAGCTTTGTCAGCCCAACAGTTTGGTGGTCTGGATGCCCAGTCAATTGCATTCTTCAAAGGTCCTAGCAAAGGGGAGGAAAAGGTAAGAGTTAGTAGGAAATCCTAATTGTCTGAGTAAGATTCAATCATTCAAATCGAGTTTCCTAGTCTAAAACAAAGCACCTTACCAGTTCAATTAGCTGGACCATACAAACTTGTGTTTATTCATTGGCTACTTAACATTGTACATTTCAAACATTTTGGTAACTTTTGCCATGAATGCAAGATCAAGAGAGTTTCATGAAGAAAATTTGCTGAAGAGTTTCTTAAGAGCTCATTTGCAGGTAAATGGCAATTTAACTCTTTTTACCAGAATCTGCAGGCAAGTTTCAAGATATTGATATAGAGGCTGTGTTTGTCAAAATGTAAACAACATGAAAACCAAATTTCTGAACTTTTCTCAAGTCTCTTTCTTTTTCATGGCTATTCCCAGTGCTAGGAAACCTTCCTAATTTTCTACCTCAGCTCTTGCCGTTTAAAACTCATGACAAGGTTTCAGAACTGACAAAATTCAATTTTCTAAAATTATTTTTCTGCGACATTATGCCAGCTCTGGAGTGATTATTTCTTAACGATAATATAAACACATTATCTTCTTCTACTAAAGCCCAAAAACTATATTAACCTCCACAAAATGAAGAAACCACAGTAACACTCTAAATAAACAGGTATGGAAGCTACCATTGTAAACCACAATTGAATCTACGGAAGCATTAGCTTATAAACACATCCTCGATTTATGCTATATTTTATTGACTTGACTCTTTTCATATCATGATTCAAAGATTTAAAATCGGTGGAAAAGAGGAAAAGACAAACACAATTATAATTTTTTTCTGCATCAATCTATTTTTGGGGTAAATTCAGTAAAGTTCCTTTCTCATTCAAAGCTTCATTAACTAGTCTATTAAACTAATCATTCGTTCAAAAGACTAAATAATTATTTTTTGAAACATGAGATACTAATTAATTCGTTTCTCGAAAGTAGACTAATTTATAATTTACTCGGTTAAATAAAGCTTAAAAAACCAGAATTTTGCACTTGAGTGTCTCTAGTACCCAATAAACATAAAGCTAATTGGCATCAAGCCCGAGTTGATACCTAAGTCCCACTGTACCCACTTGCAATCTCAACCTGTTATTCCTCTTCAAAGAAAGAAAAATTGGCATTCTGTAAACTCCACTTTATGCGTTTTCCAATGATAATGATTACTCAAACAGTTAATTAAAACTATTTTATGCACGCAGATTTAAGTCCACTCATTTTTCAATAAAATTATAAACAAATACTGTTTACTTAGAGTTAAGAGAGAAGGGATCCGTACCGGTGACGGAATAATTGTACTCAGGCGAGGCAAAAAGAACACTGTCAGCTTGAAGAATCTTCTGACGGAAAGCTTCAACAACAGGTGGAAACGTGCCGTCGACTTCAAGATCGGTATTTAACATAGGCAGTGGTGAAATATCCACGTACTCAATTTCCATGCCATTCAGTACTGACTCCTTACTCAACTGGATTGCTAAGAAAAACAAAAACAAAAACAAAAACCCACCTCAAAAATCAAGCCAAGAATCCAAATTTGTCTATTTAGAATGACAGGCGTGGATAGAGAGAAAGCTGGGGTTGGTTTAATTACCAGAACGAAGGAGGCCACGGTTGAAGGAACCTTTACGAAGAGAACCACAAAGAGCTGCGACTTTGATCACTGATTTTGCTGCCACTGCTTCCATCTCTCTCTTTTTGATTTTTGGCTCGGATTTTTAATAGTAACTTAATCTTCGCAAGAGTTGTTTTTGAAGAAGAGGGGAACAGATGATAAGATGGTGTCCTCGGATTCGGTTCTCACTGCTATTTGATCTAGGAAAAGTTGCAATCGTGCCACTTACAAGATTTTCGGCATGAATGGTTCATGCGTGGTCGAGTAAATTATAAGCTAGTCTCTCTAGCTGTCAGAATTAAGGATAATTATATCATAAGTTCACCAACTTAATGTCTTTTCAATTGATTATATAGATTTTAATACTTTTTTTTTTCATTTCAATAAGTTAATTCTTTTTCCCCAAATTCTGAAAAATAATTGATCCCAAAAAAATAATGAATTATTTCTTCATATGCTGTTTTCATCCAATCGGTGGTTATGGAAAAGACTTGCAGTGAGATAGAAATAAAACATTTGTATTGAGAATACATACGTTCAAGGCTGCATCTCAGCAGTATCGTTCACGACCAGAAATCCCATACTGAAGAAAAGTTTGACTTTAAATTCCTTAAAAAATCAATGGCTCATGACAAGTGCCATGATGTAGGGTAGGACAGTAGCACATGAAACTCGTTAAGAAAATAAAAAATTATTATTTAGTGCTTATGTTTATACTGTATTATAATGTAGTCCCTTTGATTTTAAAAATGGACTAATTTTTTTTTAAATGGTATTTTTTTATGGTATAAATCAAACAAATACATAAGTATTTGTATGGCACAATGATAACAAAAACTAAAAAGAAAATTACAACTTGATATTTATTAAAAAAAATTGGACAAAACCATTTTACGATAATAACAAATAATGATATTCGATATAAAAAAAAAAATCTTTTAATAAACGTTATTAAATCTCGTTGAAACTATGTAATGAGGATACTGAACATTATAAATTAACAGGAAACCGGACCTTATTATTAAATCTCTTAGGTTGAAGATCTCAACCATCCTATGCTAGCAAAAAATATCAATTTCTTTCAACCGGTAAGAAGCATCTATTACATCTCAATAAATAAGCACCAAAACCTTATTTTGAGGATAAAACATCATAATAAAATAAGAATTTAACTTGCAGATCTGATTTGTTAACACGTTAAAAAAAACAAAATAAAGAAATTGAAGAAAGAAGAGAAAAGAGGAGAATAATGAAGATGGAAGGACTGCTGTCGGTGAAAAAATCATTGCAACAACTAGGGTTTTTTTTTTTTTTTTCTCTCTCTCTGAGAGAACAAAGAGAAGAGAGAGAGAGAGCAGGTTCTGCGATTGCAAACACATAATTTCAATATGGGCCTTTTCAAATTAGAAGGACTAATTAATTATTTTGCAAAAAAGCCAGGGATTAGATAATAACCTACTTTCGAAGAAAGGAAAAGAAAAATGAGCCGGGCCAGGACTAGTTAATGGACACAGGATTAATAGAATGTTACACTTGAAAAGGCCAGACAGCCCAAATACTCTGGAAACTCCCTGGATAATAGATCAATCTGGCATCCAAGATGGAGGCAGGCCTTCTCAAAAGAGAAAAAGAAAATAAAAAAGGAAAGAAGATTTGACAATTCTTTTCGTAACCTGTATGATAAATGGTGTAAGATTTTTTCATGTGATTATTTAACATGAAATTGACACAAACTTGAGAAGGTAAAAAATTCACACGTGAATATGATTATTTAATTATCAATTTTTTGCTTGTTATTTTTTTACGAATGTATCAGGTTGGTTATAATGTTTAGCTCATAACGTGATTGGATAGAAATCTAATCTTAAAAATTGACCTAACAATATCATGATTGTGACAAAAAATAAAAAAAATTGACCTATAGTTGACATTGTGAAATTAAATAGCATTAATTATTTTATTCTTTCCCATTTAAATTTTAAGCAAGTTATCCAGAATACATTCACATCAATACAACTTTATTTTTATAACATAATAATAATAATAATAATAATATCTATCTCTTTTCTAGGAAAAAAAAAACATCACATTAATTATCACCGGACAAGATATCTCTTTATATACGTAATACAAGTTTTTGTCTTAATGCTAAAAATATTTTCAACCTAATTTTCATGTATAAAAATAATGTTTCTTGACATGAGAAGTTATTACACGAATCTAGTTTGCCACTTAAAATTATAAACCAAACTAATATGATTTTTACACATCACTAAATTCGTCCACGTTATTTTTTTGATGAACGCATAATTAATTATTTTATTTCATAATTATGACTCTATTATTAAATACAAAAAGATCTATATAATTTGGTTTAAATGTGATTTACTTGATAGATTATTCTGAAAATTTAATTATTTATAATAGTTTATTAGTTTGATCCATAATCTTATACGGTAAATTAAAATTTGTTAATAGACATTTCGTCGAATAACTGGTGTTCAGTCCTTCCAAAAGCTACTGCACTGTTTTCTTTATATTTACGATGTAAACATCCTAACTTTGAACAGAAGAGCTGGCACCTACAATAGGCTGCTGTAATCCTCCAGTCACATTCTCTGTATCATCCTCCATTAACAAATTACGAATCTCATCCCAACTTCTTCCAATTGCTTGACCCACTATATCTGGTGCTTGTGATGCTTCTCCTCTGGTCTCACGTGCATCAACAATAAGCTCCTCCACAGTGATACTTGTGTCAATATGCATCATTTCTCCAGCCATGTTCTCAACGAGATTTCCTGCTTCTGCACATGAAGAAGCTCTCCCTTCTCCCACTCCTTGCTCAGTGCCCTGGACTGCTATTTGCATCCTTCTTGCATCTCCGGCCAAATTGTAAACTTCATTGATTTCTTCTTGTGGACAAGATGCAATGGCATCATCATTAACATTGCTGGAACTTGCCAAGCTTTTATGTCTTTTGTTGCCACTACGAAATAGCTAAAAAGGCTGCTTCGTGAATGTCTTTAGTCACCTGACAACAAATGGCAACACCATGGCGTTTCTCTCCTGATAAATGCCATTTGATCCTCGAAATGGAAGCATCCTTCGCAAATAGATGCCCATAAAACTTACACTTCGTACTACAATCATTCATCTCTTCAACATCATTCTAAAAATCTATATCTAGTATTTCTTTTTTCAAGGGAAATCAGTTTTGCCAACTATTAATGATCGAATTCATTACAAATTCTACAACTTAATTGGCCATTAATTTTAATGTTAGGCCCTTTTTATTTGCAAGAATCAAACAATATATATACTTGCAGAAAACAAAATGGTAAAAACAAACCTGACCACCGGAAGATGTACGTTGAACTCCAGATGATTTGATTCGATTAGAAAAGAAAGAAGCAGAGGAGCACGGCCAAGTCAATGACCAGCAAACTTCCTGCTACTGTGTGAGATAGAAATAAATAGTAGTTTTGATCGATAGCGAAATGAACCTGTAATGGATAGTGATAGTATTCATTATAGCATATCCAGATGAAGGGAATGAAAGAAGAGAAAAACTGAAGTCTTTGGGGCCATTTTCATCCGAGTCATTGAAAATCATGCAAATTTAAAACAAGAAATTTTGCAGTAATAGTTTACCTGGCATACAGGACAAGATATCCTGCAAATTATTTGATTGAATCTGAATAAGAAGCAAAGAAAAAATGGGGAAGGTGCAAATCTTGTGAGGGAAAGGAACCGATTGATACAAAGCAGAAGCAGCAATGATTTAGAATAGGAATGCATTCAAAGTGGAATGATTGAAACACAATTTCAAGAACTTTGAATTCACCCTCCAAGAAGGTTTCTTAGAAAACGTCAACTGCTTCTGACACCAAATAAAAAATGCAAGTATCTTTATCTTTAGAGTGTAGTTGATCATTATTCAAAGACTTCGACAGATGTCATCTATTATTTAATCTCTTAGTGGAAAAAATCAAATAATAAATGTGAAAAAAAAATGAAAAATGAGAAATAATAAGGACATAAAGTATAATTTACCAGCGAGATATAACGAATACGTGGAAGTGAAATATTTACGGGCTCAGTTGGGCCATCAATTATGTTCAAAACTCCAATGGGCCTAACAACCTAATATTGTAAGTTTTATTAGGCCTTGGTTTAATAGGCTTCTTGCTATCATAGAACAAGCCCATGTCCATTAACTTCTTAGTTTTCTCATCATTGCAGTATATCCATAATTATATATTAAAAAACACGCAGTTGCTTACTATGTTAATGAAATTCTTTAATTTTTTTTATTAATTCCTAAAAAATAAATGAATCCAATTTTCATTATTTTTCTATATAAAAACGCTAAATTTACTTTTTAAAAAAAGCTAATATAATAATATATTATTATATGAAAATGAAGATTTGCTAGCTCAGCTTAATATTGATAAAAAATAGACTAATTGGTTCGATAATATTCCCTACTGTGCGGTGAAATTTGGATATAAAAACACATAACTTCAATATAGGCTTTTCAAACTAAGGGATTAATTAATTTTTTTTTTGAAAAAAACCCTGGGATTGGATGATAACCTACTTTCGAAGAAAGGGAAAGAAAAATGAGCCGGGCCAAGACCAGAGTTAGTGGGCAATCTTCACAAAATAGGATTAATGGTATGTTACAGGTGAAAAGGCCAGACAGGCCTTATCAAAAGAGGAGAAGAAAAGAAAAAGGAAAGAAGATTTGACAATTCTTTTCCCAACCTGTCTGATAAATGGTGTAAGATAGGTTCACGTGATTATTTAACAAGAAATTGACACAAACTTGAGAAGGAAAAAATATTCACGTGAACGTGATTATTTAATTATCATTTTTTCTTATGAATGTACTGCTAGTTTGATTATAATGCTTAGTTTATGGCGTGATTGGATAGAAATTGATCTAAAACATCATGATTGTGACAAGAAATAAAAAAAATAAATCCAATATTACTGCCGAATTAATAATCCATATCATTAATATTTCTCTGGACATTTAAATAAAATTATGTTAAGTTCTTTTGTAACGTAGGACAAATTTAATTTGTCTTTAGATATGTAATTTGAAAGGATTCTAGATTTTTATTTAAGGATTGTCATAATTTTTTGATTTTTTATTTTATTTTATTGACTTTCTATGTCGAGTATCATTAAGCTTTCTAATTTTTTTAGATGGAATTTAATAAACAAAAATCGAGGTATTTTCAAGTGCTTTTCTACAATTATAATTGTATTTTGTTTTGATGATTTTTTAAAATTAACAAACCCTATTATCTCGCTTTCGGCTGCAATATTCAGCAAGGACGAGTTTTTTAGATGGGATTTTTTTATCTTGCTATTGTTAATTAATAACTTTTCTCAAAAAAATTGTTAATTAATAACTATTATGGTAGGTTTAAATAATTTAAAACGAAGGCTTTTGAAACCTAAGGAAAACCGAACCCCATAACGAAGAAGAATTATCTCATATTATGTATCTCAAAACCCAAAAATTGAATCCTCTCCTTTTTGTTTATTAAATCATTAAATAAAAAAAATATAAAGTTACTTTAAAAATAAGATTTTAGGGATGGATTCAGGTAAGAGTATTTTGATTTTCTGAATCTCAAGGTTTATATTAGTTTATTCTTCTTCTTCTTCTTTTTTTCTTTTATATTTGCACGAAGATATAAATTAAGGTTTCAAAAGGAAATGATTGTTATTGTCATGTTTTCAAAGCGCATTAGCTATTATCTCTTTCTCACATGAAAGATATAGAAATTTATTTGACTTTCTATGTGTTATGTTTGACAAACTAATTAAATTAATTGTTTGATGATGATGGTTTTATCAACCAATAGAATCCACTCATCCAATGATAAATTTTTTTTCATAAAAGATTTTAAGATAAAATTAGCTTTTGTTTTTTTTTACAAAAAAGAATATATATTTGAATTAATTTTAAAAAAATTAAGCTTTTTATCATAACATAAAAAGATCCTTTATATATAATAAGAAATGATATTTTTGTGGTCCTTCTTCTAAATTAGAAGGTAAATCCATCACCAACTAGGCTAATTAACCCTCCAACATAATCTACCTATAGTTGACATTGGAAAATTAAATAGCATTAATAATCTATTCTTTCACATTTATATTTTAAGCAAGTCATCCAGCTAACTTTGTTTTGGTAACAAATTAACAATAATAATATCTCTTTCCAAAAAAAAAAAAAATAAAAAATAAAAAAAAATACATATATATATATATATATATATATATATATATATATATAATTTTCGACCCACTTTTCATATATAAAAACCATGTTTATGGACGATAGAATTTATTATAAGAATTTAGTTCATCACTTATCCACTAAATCAATATAATTTTTACACGTCATTAAATTTGTTCATGTTATTTTATTTTATAATTATGACTCTACGGTTTACATTCTAAATATAATTTATTTAATCAATTATATCGATAAATTTAATTATTCATGATAGTTTTATTAATTTGATCCATATAATCACACCAAACTCGTATAATAATTTTATGGATTGACAGTTAGATTTTAATCCGCGCCATCCATACAACTTTATTTTGGTTATAAAATCATGCAAACCATTTTAAGAAAACACAACAAAATTGTCCCATCATCAATTTATTTGACCGGTGGGTGTCCTTTCCCTTACAAACAAAAGTTTTGATACAAGAAAATAGGTGTGTGTGTGTATATATATAAAATTCTGTTTCTGCCTATGGATCAAAGCTGCTGGTATTTCGCTGCTACAAAAAAGACATGACAGATACTGAAAGCAGGAAACAGCATTTCTCTCACACAAGCATCGAATCTCTCTGTTAACATCAGGATAGATCGTACGTTACTCTCTCTCAATATCATTGTCCGTAGACATTACATAATTATCCACTTGTGAATTCTTAGATTGATAGTTTTGTCTTTTCATGATAAATATAATAACGATCATATCTCTGCTTTATGCTCTATTCAGCAACAAGACACCTTCGTGGGTTCTTTATTTCTTTTTTAATCATTTCTTTAATATACACATATTGCTTTAATAAACCCTTTTTCCGCTTTGTGTTTTTTCATTGTCTGTGATGTGTTCTTCTGTTTTTTTTTTTCCCCTCTGTTTTTTTTTCCAGTGCCCCTTTGGCTTCTTAGGGTGCAATTCAAACATTTGTTTGTTTAACTGGATTGAATTTTCATGATTTTTTTGTTTGTGTGTTGGCTGGGAATTGGATGACCCTTTAATCTTTTGTTTCAAGGACTTATTGAATTGTGAGTGGTTTTGTTTATTTTTGTCCGTCTCTGGGCTACTGTGAATCTTTTGACTTGATTTGACATAAGGAGGTTGATTTTAGCTTTATGTGCCTATCCACATTGCTGTTCAGAGTTGAGTTTTTGTGGGTTTTTTCTAAATATTGTTGAAAAGTTGTATTCTGGTAGAAAACAGGGTCAGTTTGCATTGAAGTGTTGCACTGGAGGAGTTTAATGCGTATACGGAATGAATTTGATGAGATCATATGCTCTTTTTTTGGTTTGGTCCTTTATATCTCAACATGCATTTTCTTTTCTTTTCTTTTTTTTCTGGAATTTTCATTGATCAATGGTATTTGATTTTGCTCTGAATTTGAAGCCACATTATGTTGTAAACTGGTTGGCTGGAATAAGGTTTCAAGGTCTGAACGTGTTTGGTTTGATATATGTAATTTATAAGCAATTCAAAGGTCTTGATGATTAGCCGTGATCCTTGTATCCTTAAATTGGTGATGATTTAAACTAATCTTTATTCATAATTCTTATGCAGGTTAACTGCTTGAGATTAAATTTGTTTAGATTTTTCCCAAGAGAAAATCTGAAGTTGTATTGTGTAAAATAAAGTTTCAACATATATATCCTGTTATGGTATGGATCTGGTAAGATTTTAAAAACATAGGTGTTAGACTTGGACAGTTGATTTGTTACTGGTTTGTGGAATCTGTGATATTGGTTTGATCATCATCAATATTCGGAGAAAGACGATGGGACGGGCTTCGCCATTAGTTTTAACTCTATTGGCTTTTGGCTTTTTTTTTGCCACATACAATATGGTTACCATGATAATGCACAATAGATCTATTGGGAAATGGGTTCATGACGATTCGGATGGTGAGATATTTTTCGATCCAGTTATTGAAATGCCTGAAGATGTGAAGAAACCAAAGAATGCAAAAATGCCCTTCCATGTTGCCTTAACAGCAACTGATGCTCCTTACAGCAAATGGCAGTGTCGCATTATGTACTACTGGTATAAGAAAAAGAAAGACCTGCTGGGGTCGGAGATGGGAAGTTTTACACGGATTTTGCACTCTGGAAAACCTGACAACTTGATGGATGAGATCCCCACATTCGTGGTTGATCCTCTTCCAGCAGGTCTTGATCGGGTGAGTTTCCTGTGCTTCTTTTTCATTGTGGATATGGCCTGCATCTGTTACTTCTAGCTTCTTCTATGGTATGCATCTTGTTCTTGAGAATCAAACATCTTAGCAGTGAATAATCTAAACAAAAAAGGTGTTTGTTTTTCGGTTTTCCTTATTTGAAACACACCATATTCTCATGTGCAAAATTCAGAATACAGGGTCAGGTATCCTTTAGGGACATGCTGACAATTATAAAGTCTGGAGGGAAAGAAATGTAAGGGAGCTTGTTTAAATGCATGTTTTTTTCTTAATTAGAGTTATTTTGCCTGCATGTTTAAGAGACGTGCAAGTTGTCCTGTTGGAAGTTAGAATTGGTTCAGATTGCTGGCATTCTGCAATTGTTTCACTATTTGATGGAAGGCAGAACATGAACAGAGTATTTGGCATAAGGAATTTTAATGGTTTATAGCATGTAATTGACTGTAGACTTGATTCATTTGTAATTCAGGACTTGTACAATGGTTAAGAATTTTGTTATGAATAGAAGAAGATTGTGCACATAGAACTTTTTTGGTCGTCAAATCCTGTTAATGAATACATCTCATTTGGCATGTCTTATGAGTATGTCTGCGGTTACTTTCTCTATGAATAATTTCTAGAAGTGAGATAACCATATTTTAATATACACAAGAAGATTACTACCTAGCTCATCTTATTTGAGGACTTGAGTTTAACCTCTGTTCAGCTCATTGAGTTGGCTTCATAAGTCAAAGATTAAGATGTCGTCAAATTAAATGATTTGCTTGTTTATAAAGTACTTATGTTGAATTGCACCATTCTGCATCTTACTCCCCTTGTGAATGCTATCATTTGATTTTGATTTTTTCATTGTTTGTATTGATTTTGATACTCTTCCCTTTTTACTCAAATCTATCTTTTCAATAGTTGTGACATGGCTTTCCATTCTGCAAACCAGGGTTACATTGTCCTAAATAGACCATGGGCCTTTGTTCAGTGGCTGGAAAAGGCTACAATTGAGGAAGAGTGAGCCTTTCAGATTTCTTGATCTTGACTTTTCATGCATGTACCTCCATGGTATCGTAACGGTTGTGAAATGCTATCTGTGCAGATATATATTAATGGCAGAGCCTGATCACATATTTGTAGATCCCCTTCCAAATTTAGCACGTGGAGGATTGCCAGCTGCTTTTCCTTTTTTCTACATCAAACCTGCTGAAAATGAAAATATCATAAGGAAGTATTATCCGGAGGGGAAGGGTCCTGTGACAAATGTTGATCCAATAGGCAACTCTCCTGTAATTATCAAGAAGGTGCTAACTCTCGAGATGCCATATCTCTTCATATCGAACTTGCCTTTGATCTATTGTGCACTGAGTAGTTACTGCAATAGTTGTGCTGATATTCCTTTTTTCTGTTTAAATATTAACAATATTACAATTTTTTGCGTGCATGTTGAAAGTAAATTTGTAGTTCTGGTTGTTGCAACTCTCTATATATTGTGGTAGTAACATATTGTTTCTATTGGATGAAAAATTAGTTTTGTACCAAAACTTTATGATTTTCAGGAATTGCTAGAAAAGATTGCTCCTACTTGGATGAATGTTTCCTTAAAAATGAAAAATGACCAGGAGACTGATAAAGCTTTTGGATGGGTACTAGAAATGTAAGTGCACAGTTTAAGTCATTATCTACTTTGTTTCAACTCTCAACTAACATGTTTTTCACTCTCCTGTTTTTGGTTCCTGAACTAAGGTACGCATATGCTGTGGCATCAGCTTTACATGATGTGCAGCACATTCTTCGGAAAGACTTTATGCTGCAGGTTCGATCGTAATCTTCCATAGCTCTTTGTGCTGAAGTTAATTTCCAGTTCTAGTAGCTTCAGTTGGATTTTAGATGCAATGTTGATTTTTGTGTATTAAGCAGTTTGTAAGACTCTGAAATGTTCTTTCTGCAGCCCCCATGGGATGTGGCAATGGATAAAACTTTTATCATTCATTATACTTATGGATGTGACTACAACTTGAAGGTAAAATTAAACAATATCCTATGTAAGAATAATTTTTATTCCAATCATGACCTTATGCTGCAAATTTTTGGTATTCCATTTAAATTTATGAATCCCACCATCTTGTATTTTAATCTTTTTCACCCTCTCCACCATCATTATCAGTATTATCTTGTCAGCCTGTTAGTTATCTGAGGTTATATAATCTTCAGGGCGAGCTAACATATGGAAAAATTGGAGAGTGGCGATTTGATAAAAGATCATATCTACGTGGACCTCCACCAAGAAATCTCCCCTTGCCCCCTCCAGGGGTTCCAGAAAGTGTGGTACGTTTGAGGCAATATTTTCGCAGTGCTTTTGCTCTATTTTGCTCTAGTGGGTTTGGAAAAGATAAATCACAAACTATGGCCAAGTTAAGATTTAATCAGGCCTGACAACTGGGCTAGAAGAATTGAACTGGTTTCCACTATCTTTATTTTTTTTCCCCTAGCCTATTGGCTGTTGTGAATCTTGTGATCACTATCAGCTGGTTTTGATGGGTCAGAGTCATATTCATGTTGCAGCATATAGAAGCATGAATTTATGTAGTTATTACCCTCATGCATGTTGTGGAGTTCGGTTGACTAGAAATAACTTGTCAGTAGGAACTCCATTTCACGCACCAGAGATAACAAAGAATTAAACAAGCCAACCTCACAGATTACTAATAACTCTTACTCTGTCTCTTCGTTTTGATGTGTTCTTTTGCCTATCATTTCTGCAGGTTACCCTTGTAAAGATGGTCAATGAAGCTACTGCTAACCTTCCTAATTGGAATACAGAATAAGCATCTGCCGTGATCAAGTTGAAAAGCCCCATATATGCTTTGTGTGGAGATGGGAAGTTCTGATCCAAAGCCATGTAGAAATTTTGATGTGTTGAAACCTCAGGGTAATTATTATTTCTAGTTAAGGAATTGAAGCATACAAATGAAAATTAAGAAGGTTATATAGTTAGGATTACAGATTATTTAGGCAACCACAATACGTTCTTTTCTTTTTCAACACAATCTCAGATTAGGAGTGAGATCAAAATGTACTCTTTAACATAACTTTCTCTATTGACCGAGAGGCAAATATGACAGTAGTATTTGGCTATGCATTCAATCATTGCTCTTTGATTAGTGATGCTTTACCATTTTCTGCGTATATGGTCAATCTCCTGACATAACTCTTTGGTTTATTTCTTTGATTCTATAATGGATTTTTCTTTGAAATTATATACGGTTCACTATTATCTCTTCAGGCGAGGGAAAACTATCACCATAGCCAGTACAGTAGCAAAGATTGTTTACCAGTATCATTCAGATGTTAGCATCTATGATTCCGTGTGTATAAAAATTGAAATCTGAACGGAAAAGGTCCCATATTTCTTTGATACCAACCACTGACAGAAAACGGAGCTATTCTTGTCATAGTTGTTCAACCCGATTGCCAACTGGTACAGCAAAGTGTTCATGTCACTGGATCATTAAGTTAACCCATGCGGTGGTGATCGTTAGGTTTTTCAGTTTGATTTTTGGTTTGATTTTTAGTTAATTGAACCTATAAAAATAAAAACCGAACCCAAACCTAATTAATAGTTGGTGTTCATATTTAAAAACCAATATTATTTTAAATAATTTAAATAGAGCAAAAATATCACCAACCGATCATATATTTATGATAATACGAAGATATTGACTTTTTTGTTATTTTAAAAGATTAAAAAAAAATCAATTTTAGTTTAAACCGAATTAAAAAATTTCAAAACCCAATAAAATTTGGTTGGTTTTTTTCCTCCTAATTTTGAGTTAAAAACTTAAACCAAACCGGAATTTATGTTTCGGTTCGGATCACTACATGCTCTATTGGATTAACAATGATTTTTTTATTTTAAAGAAAAAAATCAAGAGTCCAATTTTTCATTTGATCCGATTAGGTTTGGATTGAATCAACTGGATTGACAGTATCCGATTCAATGAAAATCGTGATCCAACCAGATATCTATTTTTATTGGAAGGGTATATTTTTTATTAAAAATAGTTTATAATATTTAAATTAAATTTTTTTAAAAATAGAAGCTTGATAGTTCATGGTGTTTTGGGGCAATTTAGCCCCACAGATTGTCGCAGCAAGTGGAGGGCACTTAGCTGACGGGCCAAGCCCGCGTAGGCAGCTCGTTTTTTTCTATTACTATTTTGCGCCTAAGAGAAGCAAATGGAAGGTAGACCTAAATCATAATCTAATCTTGCCCATCAAAAGAAGGTAAACCATAAATTGTGGGCTCCACCACTTGAATGTGTTTTGATTAACGAGGCCTACATCAGGCCCATATCTGACAAACACAACCCTCAAGCCATGAGAAACTTCCATTTAGCCATGTAGGCTGTGGTCCCTTTAGATGTTTCCAGTTAGTGGACTGGTGGGCCAGGCCTAGCTCTAGCCCATTTTCTCGGTCAACAGGGTTGTTTGCTTTTCTAATTTTTAGTAGTTCTTGAAATGATGAATGCACCACCACAAAATGTTGCTCATTTTTTAGGGTCTTTTCTATTCTTTGCCCATAACCAACCATACTGCATTACTAAAGAAATTCTCGACCACGAAATGTTTCGTAGCATCTCTTTCATGGGATATTCAAAATCTAAAATGGAATTATTTTGAGAAATAATTAAAGAATGATTAATAAATTATATTTATAGGATACTTCCATACTTTTTGTAGTGTTTGTAGGTCAATTAATGATCATTTCCCATGCAAAAATTAGTTAATTATTTTTCTATATTAGAGCCTCTTATCTCATAATTTGTCCACCAGCACCCTTCTTTTTGTACTTATTTGGTAATAAAAGCCTACAAACTTTTTTTATTTATTTTTATTTTAATTCAGGTAGAAATGAATACCCATTTATATATAATGTCGATTGTAGACAAAATCTATAAAAATAATTCAAATAAAAATTGTTTCCATTTAATAATTATACAAAAAAATTAAGAAATGCGTCTAATCCACATGATTTAAATAAATCCTTTACTACCAAATAAAATTTTATACAAAATTTACACATTTGATTAAACCAGTTCATAAACCGAGTGTCAAGTGAACTGGTTTTTAAATTAATTTTTTGTCAATATACAAAATTTGAATTCTAAAATTACATGTATCGAGAAGAGTTAAAGTTTATTTTTTTTATTATAAAAATAATTAATTTTATTTTTAACATGAGATTATATATATATATATATAATTTTGTGCGTTTAATAATTGTTGTCTGATCCACGGGACTCAAACAAATCCTTAACTACTTGGTACATAGGTTCATAAAATAATCAATATTTTTTTAATTAAATGCCAAAAATCCGAGTGCAAAAGTTGATAAGTGAAGTTGGAATTGCCATGATCAAGTATGGTGATTGAAAAGTTATTAACAAAGGAGAGAAGCACCCACCTTTTTTCTGCTTCTTTTTTGAATGTCTTTCTTTCTTTCTTTAAAAAACTAGATCAATCAAAAACAAATCCTAGATTTCCATTAATTAATCTTCTTCCTTGGCAACATATTGAAGCTCAAGGTGACGTAAAAATGCATAAACAAGGCACATGAAAGCGTGTGAGTTTGTGTCGGCCAAAGAAGAGAAAACCCATCACCACCACTCATATGCAATCACCTCACGTGACACTACTCCACTCCAGCCTGTGTATCCTAATTATTTATTTTAGCATCCAACAAAATGTCAGCATTGAATAATGGGACAAAGAGTGAAAAATGATCAAGCCTGCAGAAAGTTCCTGCAGGGAGTTTTGCTATTTTTTGCATCAGTCACGAGCACAGACTCTCTCCTTTCCCTTTACAGTTTTTTTCTTACTTTCTTTCTTACTTTTGCAGTAGATTTTTCACTTCTTTGAAGTAACTAAGATGTTAAGTTACTGCCAAAGCACAGATTCAGTTGCTTCTTTCCCCAATTTTCTTGGAACTTCACCACTAGCTAGCCTATTACCCTTCATCCATGAGTTTTTGTATTTTATTTTATTTACACTGAAATGATATTTTATGATGTAATTTATAATGTGTTGATCGATATTAAATTCATCTTTCTAATCAGATAAAATAAAGCTATTTATTTATCGATTTTTTTTTGCTTTAGTTTTAAACCAACATATGAAAAATGGTTTTTTTTTTTTTCCTTAAAATTTTGGATTAATAGCCTCACATATCATTATATAATAATTCAATTTTCTAATTTATTTCTAAAAAAAAATGCTTCTAATTTGTTTTTATAATTTGAGCTAGTTTCTAATTTATTTTTTTATTTAAAATTTTGGACAAAATTAAGCTAAATTAAACGTACATTTGATTTGATAAAATTATTTTTATTATTTGATACAAGTGATTTATATCTACTAATATGAAGATTAATTTTTAAAAATTGGCTAGAAATTTTGAATAAAAGAATAGATTAGAAACAAACTCAAACTATAAAAAATATATTGGACACAATTTTTTTTAAAGACAAATTAAAAATTAGTATGTTATATAAGGATACGTGAAGGTATTAACCCTTAAAATTTTAATAAAGATAAAAAAAAAAAATCAAGTGGGATTAATTGTCAAAGTTAGTTCTTCACAAGCTAATATTTCGTAGGAAATTAAATTAAGTTGGATTAGTATATAAGCTTGGATTGTGTCAGCATTGATTTGGCTTGTGAATTCAAGGAAGCAAAATGCAGTTTATTTTTGTAGAGTCAAAGCATCTTGCGATTTAATTATCATTAATTCATGAATATGGATGCTTTGACTCGGCTGCCTTCTGTTGCCTCACCGTAAACCGGGAGGCCGCAACCGTTTTTCTAGACTTTGAATCAATTAGTTTACAATTATCCAAAAACACAATCCATTCAAAGCATTTTTCTAAAAGTCAATGACTGCTAATGACTTGATCGTAGAAAATGAGATCACATAGCTCAACAATTGATCACATTTATGAATCAATCTATGAATTGATAAATAAATTAACAACTTTGTAAATCTACAAGGTCAAAATTTGTCGTCTAAACTTATTATCCAATTCGTCAAAAATAAAATGTTTGTATTTTTATTTTCATCCAATTGAATGCAATTTGTCAAAATTGAAAATTTATCTTAATCAATTGAGAAATTTCTCTCACTAATTAAGTCATTGTCATTAATTTTATTTTCAATCCTTTTAATATCATCTGTCACCGTCATCTTCTTTATCGAGTAAATATCTTTTTTGATTTAACAAATTATATTCAATTGGTTGAAATCTAAAATTCAGAAACTCGATTGATTGGAATGATAATAGAGGGACTCTTTTGACGAATCCACCAAACCTTAGGATGTAAATAATGAGTTTTGCCAAATTGTATCTAGTTGGAAAATTAAAATGGCTTGAATTCTATGATTTTTCAATGATGGATTCAAGCATCCACCATGAATTCTGCTAATTAGTTTTTGAGTACTCAAGATTGATTAATTGCGTTAATTAGAGCATGTAAACTTGTGCAATTCCAACTGGACCACTAAGGATCGATCAAGAAGTTGTCGGTGAGATTCATATTTCTGAGATTAAATGATAAGATAATGTAGGTGCCAGCGACAAGGTCATAAGTTTCTTCACGAGAATGTGTATTGTTCAACTTTCACGTGTTGTTCTACTTTCTCACTCTGATTATTCGAAGGTATAAAGCTATGTTACTTTTTCGTGATCCATCTCATCACTTTCCTCCATCAAAAATTCCTAGTTTCATCTCATGAACCATAGGGAGTTTTGATTCACATCTCTTTTATTATATTTCATCCATTTTTTTGTGAGCTGTACAAGTTTTTTTTTTTTTTTTTTAATAAATGTCAACATATCTTCAAATTTTGGTTTAAAAATGTAAGAAAAATTAACCTCCATAAATATTATAATAAAAACAATATTATAAAACTATCATGAAAAAGAAAAGGTATCTCTGTAACTGGCTTCTTCAGTGCCCAGATATCTCAACTAAACAACACGTTAAGGGCAAGCCCTAGTTCAAGTTATCACTCAAAAGCAAAATTGCTGGATCATGGAAAGACAATGCCGAAACCTCCTGTTTCTGACAATGCTGAAACCTGCTGGAAGTCCACGCTATGTCTCAGAAAACGTTAAATTCAACTGAATTCAAAGAATTTTTATATCCCTCAATAATATATATATTTCTTGTTTTTATATAATTTTAGGATAAAAATTTTCTTCAAATTATATATTGTGATACCGAGTTCTAAATTGGGTGGTTAAATATTTATAAGTTTTAATATAACAACTTAATCAAAAAAAAAAAAAATTAACGGTAAGGTATCGATTAAATTTAAATTAAAAACACTCATGACGGTTTTTTATTTTTCATATGCTCAAACTATATTAGACCGCTAAATGCTAGTTATTGGTTTTTTGGTAATTGCAAAAATAATTAATCCTATTCAAAATAAGAGTGATAAAATTTATTTATTTTTAATAAATATCAATATAGAATTCGAACCTATACATGGACAAAATAACAACATGTTGTTATTTAATTTAATCAACCTGAATTCACATACCCAAGCAGTGAGTCATGATCATAGGGCCACCGACAATTACAGTAGCAGTACAGGACTACTTTTTATGGGGTTAATGAGTTCATCTACTTTACGCTCCCATCCTTAAATAATTACTTAAGGATTAGATTTATAGAACCATTTGAGCAACAGGAATAAAATTATCCAATGTTTAAGAGCACATATAGATATTTTTTATTTTTTTATTCTACTCACAGGCAGTCACATGCAATTGCACCTATCCTGCATGAGATTCATGTCAATTTCTAGTGGACAGAAGACCAGGGAATGCATGGTTTGACTCAACAGAGCTGAGAATGACTGAACTAGTAAGTAGATGGGGCATTGTTTTCCCTCCTTACTTTTATCATCCCCAGGCGGCAAGCAAGAAATTTTTCACATTCAATGAGAAGAAAGAAACAAGAACTCCCCATGAATGAACATCATGCTCTGCTCAAAGCAAAATCTGCCCATGTCCATGTCCATTTTTTGTTTTAAAAACGTATGTCCGATGCATTTTGTTTTATTATTATTGATTATATCTCAAATAAATTAATATAGATCTCGCTTCTCTTTGAAAAATCAGAACCTAGAACGAAATAGTATGGTTTTGATTGCTAAATTGCCCTATAACTATTCTTGTTAATTTCCATGCTTTTCTATCATTGACGGTCAATCCTAGACTTATAATAATAATTTACTGGTCTAAAGTGCGATTATGAAAATATCAATATTTTATTTTGGTTTGATTTAGGAAATATTTATGGATGGCCTGCATTATCTTACCCTAACTTTACTTTTCACTAGTGGAAAGTTGGGGAAAGTACTGCATTACCTAATTACAGATAATGCTACTGTAGTGTGATAGCTCGTATATGTGAAGTGGGTCCTAATTCACATTAAGTTACCATTTTTTTTATATATATATTGATAAGTAGTTGAATATTTTTGGATTAGATTTTATATTAATAGAAACTAAATTTATTATTTTTTGGGCTAAATCGACGTTAGAACCCTCTTGATCTTCAATCCATCAAACTCTTTCTTAGAAGACCAAATGACAAGCTTAATCTTTATTAGCATGTTATTTCAGTGTCATAATCTTTAGACTATAGCTAAGAAAGAAAGCATGTTCCTGCTACTGCTAAAGCATAATGTGGGTCGAGATTCCCAGGCAGAGCCCGCCACATCAAGGCAATAAAAGTGACAGTTTCTTCATCATTTGGTGAGGTTATGATTAATTACATAACAGTACAAAAAAAAAAATGACAAGCCCTAGAAATGTCCAAGCACGACAAAACCCTGTATCCATGATAAAACAAAGCATTCATGCTTCGACAGAGGTTAAAATGGTACAAAGAAACTAAAAAGTTATCAGGGAAAAAAAGAAGAAGAAGAAACAAACAAAAAATTAACTTTGCAAATCTCTTGGTTTATCATGCTGTAATGTCCATTAATCAAACTTTTAGTGAAATTGCATGTGACTGATCTTGGGAGTGATGTGTTTTAATACTATTAAGTATATTATGATCAAACAATCTGGCAAAGAATCCAATGTGCAAAACTAATCAAACAAATTAACTAAAGCACTTTCTATTTTTTACCATGTCAAATTCTCCTATCAAACAAGGTAGGTGCCTAGATATGGTGGTTGTAGAGATCAGTTGCATTGTTTGTTTCCTTATTTGACATTTCTCCCTCTCGGCAAATAATTATGAATGCAGGAGTTTCACTGATGTAAAAATCTTGAAGAAAACTGGGAAAAGTGTAACGCAGAGAAAGCTGCAGGTAATTGTAAAGTTTTGAGGGAAACCGTTAACCTAATGTCTTTTCAAGGGACTTTTGTGTATTATTACAGTAAAGGTGCATAAAAAATCCCAACATTTTGGCTTTTTGCAAGCTAGACTCCTAACTTTCGCCTATGCATCCTCCCCCTCTAATCATCATTAGTGCAGTACTAAACCATCTACTGGGAGGTCCTTCTGTTTCATAACAAAAATACGGGCAATTAAGAGCTCAAAAAGCTACCTTTTTCTTCCCTCATGGACCAATATGGAGCTGGCTAGCTCCTTCGTTTGTTTTTATTACATGGCATGCAGCATTTGATTAGGGCACAAACAAACGAGAAGAGTGTGAATTGTCATGAACAAACAAAATTATTTGCCGATCGAAGTATTTCTTGAAATATGTGTTCATCTCTTTAGCCATAATGTGCCCCATAAGCTAGCTTTTTTGTTCACATCATATGGATATTTAACTATATATTTGCCTTTAAAGTGCATCCCAAATCATTCCAAATCTATCTCTAAGTTCTAAAATAAAATATATAAGAAAAAAGAAAAGATATTTTATCTAGCTGGGTAGGAAATGGACAAGGGCAGGAGAGGTCCAGCCTACAAGATGAAATGGAATACAGTCTGTTAGCATTATTTCTACATCTACATGACACCCCACTTGACTTGAAATTGCCCTTCTCCATCTATATATACCACACATTACCTCTCAGTCCCTAAATCCTCAAAGCTCTTTCACTTTCACAACCATGAAAGCCTACCTCTTCTCTCTAGCTTTCCTCTTCTTGTCCTTGGCCCAAGGGCTCAACACGAAAGGCCAAGGCACAACCGTCAAAGTCTTCCATGTCTACAGTCCACAGTCCCCATTTAGGCCCTCGAAGCCAATCTCATGGGAGGAGAGTGTGCTCCAAATGCTGGCCGAAGACCAAGCTAGGCTTCAATTTTTGTCAAGTTTAGTGGCCAAAAGATCTTGGGTGCCACTTGCTTCAGGCAGGCAGATTTTACAGAGCCCAAATTACATTGTTAAGGCAAAGGTGGGGACTCCAGCTCAGACATTGCTCTTGGCTGTGGATACTAGCAATGATGCTGCTTGGATTCCTTGCAATGGCTGTGTTGGGTGTTCCTCTACTGTGTTTAACTCTGTTAAGTCCACTACCTTCAAAACCCTTGGTTGTGGAGCTCCTCAATGCAAACAGGTAACGTTAACTGAAATACGTGACCATTTTTTTTTCTTCATAAAGAAACAACACTATATGTTTCATTAGGACAGGAACTACAAATCTTAGATTTTGTGTTAGGAGTAAAATTCCTTCCTCCCTTTTTAATCATTTTAGTTTATTAGCAAGTAAATTTATCAAATCACTTAAATAGTGCTATTTTAGTACCATACTGTAGGAAAACATTTGGGGCAAAATGGAGATGACACGTTATTTATTTCTTGATAAGTAGAAAAGCTTGGAAATGATATTTGACAGGATCCTCCCTGTCAAAAGTTCACGGGTCAAAAAAAAAAAAAAAAAAAACTAAGAAAGCTACTTTCCAAAATGAGAGATCATTACCATTCATCACAATATCACATGATTACATATGAATATGCTAACTTAAATGCATGTAAATTTGCAGGTACCGAACCCCACTTGCGGTGGCAGCACTTGCACATGGAACACTACTTACGGCAGCTCCACCATTTTATCAAACCTTACACAGGACACAATTGCTCTATCCACTGATCCTGTCCCTAACTACGCTTTTGGTTGCATCCAGAAAGCCACAGGGAGCTCAGTGCCACCTCAAGGACTTTTGGGCTTGGGGAGAGGTCCTTTGTCATTTCTGTCTCAAACCGAAAACCTATATCAATCTACTTTCTCGTATTGCTTACCTAGCTTTAAGACTCTCAACTTTTCTGGGACATTGAGGCTTGGGCCAGCCGGTCAGCCTCTGAGAATCAAGACCACACCATTGCTCAAAAACCCCAGGAGATCATCATTATACTATGTGAACTTGATTGGAATTAGAGTTGGTAGAAAAATTGTTGATATTCCTGCCAGTGCTTTGGCATTCAATCCAACAACTGGTGCTGGGACCATCTTTGATTCAGGTAATACTTCACTCATCAATTATTTTTTCCTTCGTTTATTATTGAACATTCCTTGTCTTGTTGTCCCTTTTGGCATATGAATCTTTTAGTGTATTCGGTAGATCATGATACAAGGCCATAAAAAGACGTCTCTTTAATTTGTTAGTTTAATTAGCTAGAATAACAATCAGCTAAACCCAATTGGTAAAGAGCAGCATGTTATGAAGATCTGGCCTAGAGGTTTGTTTTTGGCACATTGTGTTTTCCAGCTTTCAGATCCGACCAGGTCCAATTAAACTGTATTTGGTCCTCCATCGTCAAATATGGACAAAAAAATAGTGACTAGGACACAACATTACTCAAAAGATCTCCCTGATAATTCTGATGTGGGCCAAAGAGTACAACCCAATGACCAAAAATGCTTCTTGCTTCCCATTCCATACCGTATAGTACTGAAAAAACAATCAAAATTTCAAAATTTCTCATGGCTGTTTTGATGTGATCATAACTGAACCAATTTACACTGAAATACTGAGAAATATAATGTTTTCAGAATTTTTAACTAGTATTTTGTTAGGATGATAATTGAAGTTTGCTTTTTGTTTCGTTTCAGGCACGGTTTTCACCAGACTGGTTGCCCCGGCCTACACCGCCGTCCGTGATGAGTTCAGAAGGAGAGTCGGCAATGCACCCGTGTCATCCCTAGGCGGGTTCGACACGTGTTACTCAGGACCAATTGTAGCACCCACCGTAACGTTTATGTTCTCAGGCATGAACGTAACGTTGCCACCAGACAACCTACTGATCCGCAGCACTGCCGGTAGCACCACTTGCTTGGCCATGGCTGGTGCCCCTGACAACGTGAATTCGGTGCTGAACGTGATAGCCAGCATGCAGCAACAAAACCATAGGATTCTTTTTGATGTGCCCAAATCAAGGCTTGGCGTGGCTCGTGAGCAATGTTCTTGATTTTGCTAGCTTTTTTTTCTTGGATGTGTCTTGTGGTGTTAAGGTGTCTTTGCTTGATGGGATATTTGGCATTATTTCTAGTACTTGTCACTAACTGAAAAGGAGAGAGAATCTAAGGTAGCAAGAGATAAAATTGATGCCATAAGCTTTTGTACTTCTTGTCACGGGTTTTCTGTATGGGTGTTCGTCTTTTTTTAAAAAAGCTTGATGATAAGTCCTTTTGGCAATTAGGTTTTTTTTTTTTTAAGAGCTTTTGGAAAATTCTAACAAGGTTTTGAAAACCATTTGGAAATCAAAAGTCAGAACCTACAAATAAATTTTTTGGATTTTTAAGTTTTATATAAAAACATTTTAATATCATAAATTACCAAGCATTTTTTTTTATAATTATAACAACTACAGCTACAGCCATAGTTTTTTACAAGCGGACACGATATAAATCAGAAGGTTGTATCGCGGGTTGCCTGCAGAGTGTTTCAAGACTTTCTCTGTAACAAAAAGGAAAAATGTTCTTCTGGGCACTATCAATAAAGAGCTGTTCGATTTCATGTTTCCTTAAGCATTGTTTGGAATTTCAAGTTAGTGTCCAAAAAGAAAAGGCTTTAAAAACTTTGACAGGCTTGGATGTTTGGATGCTACACGTGAGAAATGTGAGTGTATTGTCTTAGCATGGCAAGAAAAAGAAAAATGCAATAGGAAAAAAGAAGGTTCGGTCGTCTCTTGAGTCTGGATCAGTTTCTGAGCCTGTTCTAGTTTATGCTAGACTAGACAGTTTTATTTAATGATCTTTCTGAGACTTCTGTCCTTTTTATTGTCGGTCCAAGTTCATTTTAAAGTGAAATTCATTTTCCATTCTCTTGAAAAAAAAGGAATAAAAGGTATTTTGGTTCACATTTTACGGAGAGGTATTCAAGAAACTGTCGGTTCAAACTTCAATTTGAGAGGGAAGCCCCCAGATTTGTTCTTCTGCTAAACGAGCTTTAGCTTGAACCGACCAAAACCCGTATGTCCACAATGAACAGGCCCATTTGGCAATCCAAATATGAGCTAACATGGGTAGATTGCTTCTACTTGCAAGTTTTCTCCAGGCTTGCAGAAGCCCACTGCCAATTTTAAGGAACTAAAATGTAAACCCTACCACCCAACATGATTGGTGTTAAACAAGTCATCTTGATTTTAAGTTTTTATATTTACAGATTTTTCTTTTTAAATAATTAGTTTTATTTTATGTGTCAGATTGAATAGGGAGAGATTAGTCTGGGATTTTAAATTTGAGATATCCTGAAAGATAAAAAAAAAAAAATTAAAACCTACGTCCAAGGCTCCAGCTTCCTGCCCTAACTAGTTGACCTTTCTACTTACCCTTACAAACTTTGCAAGCTAAAAACATCATGTAGCATGTTGCTTCCACTATAAAAATTCTACTTTTTCCACCTTCGTCCTCTACACGTACATTGGAAATTGAGATTCAATTTTAGATTGCTGTACCCTCCGTTTAAATGACTTCATTCTAAATACATGAAATGATCAAATTGGGAAATCCTAGTGCTTGCCTTGTTTGTAAAATATTCCCTTACAACTGAAAGAAAGAAAAAAAAAAAAAAACCTTGCTAAGCATCACTCAATTTTTTGGTTAGGCAAATTAGCTAGAAATCAATTCCTCTTTGTTATTAACACTATTAGCTATGATTGTTGTGATTATTACTGGAAATGATCAATGGCATGGATTATGTGGTGTAAGCTATGCATGACACGTCTGCAAATTCGTGCTGACCATTTTAGTATCGAAAAGTCAATATATTTATTGTTATATTAATAAACATGCTGACAATCAATAAGTTGTTGGCCGACAATAAACAAACTTATCCAAAAAATTTACCTCAATTCGAATACTAGGGTTAAATTGTCTTGACAGAAGTTAAGTTTTATATTTTTGTTCCGTACTGTCGTATTTTTAATGTAAAATAAGAATATATTTATAAATTTATGATATAGTTTTTAATTTATTGATGTGTTATGATTCGACATTCTAATATTATGGACAAAAACTATCATGGCATTGTTTTGTAAATCTTAGGAATGAATAAATATACTGCATTTAAATATGAAAGACCTCACAATATGATTGAAAATAATTTAATCTCACCGTGTGAATGCCTAGCTAGTTAAAGATACCTTCATTATTAAAATAATTTTTAGAACACTCGCCCTTATATATATAATGTTTTCTTTTAAGAATTCTTTCATATTTATTCCTCATTTCTTGAAATGACAATCTGATAAAATTCTTCGTATTTCTTCTTCCTTAATCCTAGTGATTATTTATGTATAAATATAAAAGTTTCCCAAAGTGGCTGCAAATGACGGCGAAAAACCGCAAAACAGCGTCACCAACACAAACTGAGAAAATGAGTGGGGTTTTTTGACCATATGAAGCCGGTTTGGTGGCTTAGTTTCCTTTGACAAACCAACCAACTTAGAAAGGTCTGCTCTTCTTTCCTTTTCAAACTCCCTCTCTAATCTTGTCTGCTTCCGTAACCGCACATCCACAAACCTCAAAAACTCCTGTTCAAGATCAAGCTGTGTCCGAAACACAATCCTCTAACATGGAGGTGAAGCGCAGGACAGCGCGTTTGCTAGTCAAAAAACTAGGTTCTGTATCTGAGCTAACACGGTCAGAAGCCTTAGCTGAAATTCGCTTAATGACCAAAAACGACGCCGAATCACGTCCGATATTCGCGGAAGCTGGTGCGATCCCGTATCTAGCTGAAACCCTATACTCTTCTTGTCACGACTCACAGGATAACGCAGCTGCAACTCTTTTGAACCTATCTATATCTTCACGCGCCCCCTTGATGTCTACGCGCGGTCTTCTTGATGCAATCTCTCATGTCCTCGGCCATCATGCGACCGATTCTTCACCCTTCGCTGTCCAATCATCTGCTGCAACTTTGTACAGCCTTCTTGTTGACGATTCTTACCGACCCATTATTGGGAGTAAGCGTGATATAGTTTATTCGTTGATTGAAATAATCAAGAGGCATAATTCGCCGCCGAGGTCTATAAAAGATGCGCTGAAAGCCCTTTTTGGGATTGCTTTGTTTCCGTTGAATCGGGCGAGTTTGATTGATTTAGGGGCGACGGCGGCATTGTTTTCGTTGGTTTTGAAGGATGGGAGAGTGGGGGTTGTGGAGGATGCGACGGCGGTGATTGCACAAATAGCAGGTTGTGAGGAGAGTGAGAGAGAATTTTGGAAGGTTTCGGGGGTTAGGGTTTTGGTGGATTTGTTGGATGTTGGGACGGGTTCGAGCTCGAGGATTAAGGAGAATGCGGTGGGGGCGTTGTTGAATTTGGTGAGGTGTGGAGGGGGAGGAGTGGTGAAGGAAGTGAAGGAAATTGGGGCGGGCGCGGTGGAGGGGATTAGGGATGTGGTGGAGAATGGGACCGCGAAAGGTAAGAGCAAAGGACTTGCATTGTTGAAAGTTGTTGAGGGTGGAGCAAAGGAATGGGTTTGAATCTCTTACTTGAGCTTTGATCTTTATGAACTAATGGTTTCTTCGATTGTATTTTTAGTTAGCTTTTTATATATTTGTTTGTTGTTCTTTATAGATGAAATATGTGTAAACTAGGTGTTGAATTATAGAGATACATAACAAAATGGAATGATAGTGGAAGAGAATGTTGTTCTCTATTGAGATTATATTTTAGTGTGAATTGTCTAACAATCAACTTCAATAATGAGAAGGAAAAAAGTTTTTCTTGTTTGTATGGTTCTGTTCATTTCTCATCTGGGATTGCAGACTTCTTTTTCTGCTTTTCTTTCTTATTTGCAAATCTTGATCGACGATGAACTATGATGTTTCGTTAACGACATTGGGTTCTCTGTCCTATAAACCCTCGAACACATGCTTCTTTAAATAAGCAATTTGAACAGTCATTTCTTTTTATTTCTTTGCGCCAGTGTATGCAGCATTTGAACTTCTTCTATATGTATTAGTATATAGCGCAGTCGATTGAAGAATCAGAAGTTTCAGAAATTTAGATGCTAGAATCCCCTTCAACTTGCAGTTTATGGGGGGAATTTTTCGCAGTCTGCTATATTGTAGGAACTTATGGTCACATTTGCATGCCATTGACACTGGAGTAAGTCATAGCTGCTGTTGGGCCATGAACTCGAGTAAGCCAATCCTCTCTCCTGTAAATTTGACTATGATTTACCGAGTGTCCAGCAATTGGATATGCTGGAAATTAATTTTGTCTATGTGAATGTAACGAACTAAAAGCTTATGCATTTATGCTGGTAAGCAGATTAAGACTGAAATGCCTTTGATAGGTAAGTCACTGCAAGGTCCAGCTGCTTGGGAAACCTCCTTCAAACTGCAACAATTGTAAGCTTCACTACTTTGCCAACTTTCCCTTTATACTATGATTGGATGGTTTTACTTTGATGGGAAGGTTAACATAATGATCATATATTGTTGCTTTTGGTGTTGGATGAGGCATGTGTCACTAACAAATGCTTTGGGGATGCAAAATGGTCACCCATTTGCTTTTTCTGTGTGTTAGTAATGACTTCTTTTTACCTGTTAAGTCATCATGCAAATTGATTTTGAAAAAATTTCTTGCTGCTGAAAACATTCAAGCACTGAGGGTTTTTGGGACCAATTCTTTGATGTCCTTTTCGTTGTACCAATAACAGCTGAATTTTGGGCTGTATGTAGATCAAGGGGTTGCGCTAGTAAATACTCAAATAACATGCCATTATCTTGCTATCCCTATCCTGAGCATTCAATGGTGCATGGAGAAAGTCAATAGAGAGCACTTTGAGAGTTGGCAAAACAAACCATCGCTGTGGTTCACTAAATGCTTGGAAGGATAAAGTTCTTCTAGAGTCGTTGTACAGGAAGTTATGAGGTCGCATTCCACTAGTAATTGTTTGCTTGCTGTGGAACGCAAATAACAAAATGGCGTTAAATGGAGTGGACCCTTTCTCTAACCTTTTTGCTAGATAAGTGGATTAGCTCTGCTTGCTTTTCTAAGTGGAGGGGATATATTTGAAAGGGAAAATTTTATGCTATTGTCACCCAAACCCATGAACAGGTTTTCCGTGATGCAAACGGCACGGCACAAGACGAGACTTTTTCATGAAATATAGGTATGGATATCGTCTAAAATATGAGGGAAGTTGTCTTGTCTAACTCTAATTTATTGATTCTACTAAATAGAAACCCAAATTCTCTGTTTCTAGCTGAAAATATTAATCACCTATACTAATTGTACCTAATTCCAAATTTGTTTTTCTCAGTATAAGCAATGAAGCATAGGGAAGAGTCATGCCAGAAAAATTTCCTTATTCGTGAACTGGGTTGGCTGTTTTATGTGTAATTTGTTGTTATATGTGACACTGATCCGTGCTTATAAGATGATATGGTGATGACAAGGTATATAGGCCCTCAGCTCTTTTATATGTGCTGTTGTTGGTAAGATTTTGTTTGTATGCGAAGCATTTTCTCGCTTGAAAAGAAGAAAGGAAACAAAGACAGCTGCAATTGCATCACTCACATTCATCAAATCAATGCAAAAAAAGATGCTGTCACGGTGAGACTTTGTTTGTCTTCTTATCAGCGCAAATATTGTCACCATATATGGATTAAATAACGTTGTATCCAAGATTTTGTCATCATTGTGGATTCAGTGACTCGAATGGGTAGCATGGTGGGAAGATATCATTTCGTTTTTATGGATGTGATTTTAGTCGAGGTTCCTAAGTTGGCAAGCACCTGTCATGGGTAGGGCTTGCCTACACTACCTAGATCTTGAGATGTTCGAAGGAGTTCAGGACTAGAATCCATCGCTTTCAAGAGCTCTGGAATTTGAATCTCAATATCCTCATTTTAGGATAATAGAATCTATACAGCTCTCAAGTTTGAATCTCTATATGCAACGAGAAAAAGAATTTGATTGTAGTTATATAAATAAATGATTTATGAAAACATCAAGCTCTGGTATTTCATGACAGACAAGGTTGGCATATGAGAAGGAAATTTGAGTCCTGTTAAGTTTGTCAAAAAAGAACCCGAAAACCGGTGAACGAAAACTTCCTTTTGGTGAATGTTGATTACCGTAAGCCGATCAATAGACCAAACTGGTCTCAGCAGCAACAGCATCAGCAACAATAAACTTGTCTGTGCTACATTCAAGAGGAATTTGTTTTCTTTCTTTCCCTTTTTTCTTCGTTTCCTTTTGGAAATAATACTTCTTTGAATGAGGAAAAAGCAAGCAGAATGTATAAAACTTGTTCTTAGGTAAAACCACTGTGTGGAATTAATGAAGTAGATTCCATTTACGCCATTTATGCTTGTGCACAGACACTCTTACATGGGTGTGTTAATAACTTGTAATTTCCAAGCATTTTGAGGTGAATCAATGTGGAATGAGTGTTTGAAAAGGGAAAAAGAAAAAAAAAAAACTGTTCTTCAATAGTGCTTTTTTTTTTTAAAAAAAAAAAAAGGATGAACGCTTGGTTTCTATCTGGCATGGGTGGTTGATGCTTTCTATTTTGTGAAATTGATTCCTGAAATTTCATTCGTCAGTTTCAGAAAGGTCGTTGCAAGACAAATGCTTTATTCTTGGTTGCAGGAAAACAAATTATGCTTGAATCTTACTGTTCTTAAACAGTGCTTGCTTAAGCATGTGAATCGTCCCATATTCGTTTATCTATTCCATTTTGACCAGAATTCATCTTGGTGGGGGCTGCATTTTAGCTGGATGCACAATAACTTGAAAGCTACCTTATTAATCTTTCATGGCAGATGTTTTGTCAACTTTCTTTATCCAAAATATGTTTTTTGTTTTCTTTATAAAATATTCTTTTAGAACACTCTGAAAGCAATTTCACTATATATATATATATATATATATATATATATATATATATGTTGAGCAGCAAAGGCGTATCTGAAGTTAATTGTAAATTAATCCATCTAGTTTTAGTCTATTTATTTCTAAAATTTTTTGTAATTTAATTTTTTTCGTTCTTTTTCAATGTATTTAGGCTTTTTGCTTAAAAAATGCAAAGAAAAAAGTAAAGAGAAAATATGGAAGAATCGGCAAGGAAAAAAAATATTTTCTGAAATAAAATAATATTAAATTAAATTCGTTCAACAAGAGTTGAGAGATTAGTTGTTTTTTTCAAAACTAAAAGGACTGATTTATAATTTACTCAGCACATCTGGGCTAAGCAGGGGGCGGAACTACTCTTTGGGATAAGGGGGGCATGGCAATCCAAAAATCTTAGAAACCTTACATTTCAATCCTATAGTTTGAAAAGTTTTTAAATTATACCCTTCCAATTAAGGGTTATTTCATAGAAAGTACACATTTTGCACCCCAAAAATTCACGTATTATCATCTTTATGGCTCTTGTTTTATTTTTATTTTTTATTTACAAATTTAACTAAAACATTTTAGTTCGGCTCTAAACCACTAGTCTAACCTAATCCACCCCAAAGATTATAACATGCTAGCTGCTTAACCAACACCAAAACTTGCGACATTGTCTTTGATTTATTACTTGTTAGTAGGCAATCTCAATCCATTTTTTTTTTCACATTTTAAGAAATCTATTATTATTCCTATGACAAGAAAATAACTCATGACGGTGATAGCGGTCTCTTGCAATAAAAGATTTCGAGTTTAAATTCAAACAGATTAATTTTGCTAAGAGCTTTACAAAGGAAGAAAACAAAAAAAGAAAAAAAAAAAAAACCCTTTGGAAATGATTGTTGCCTGCTGACACAATTGTGTAGCTTGTTAGCCTCCTAAATTTTGTGAAGGAGGTAGTGGAAATGGCCATTTGTGAAATTATTCCATTGTATAAATTTGTATGCTCCATCAGAGAGCACAAAGGTGATGTAACTATCATGATTGCTTGGTCCAGTATTTGCTAGGACTTATTCCAATATTGCCAAAGCCTTAAAGCCTATCATCCCACTACGAGACTGTCTTGAAAAGTTACCCAATAAACTGCCACTCACCTTTCCCCTTTTTCAACGGCTTTTGAAATGCTTGCAATTTGCAAATGCCATTATCAACTTTTTTATCCTGTTCATGATTCTTCCTTTGAAACCTTTTGTTTGAATCTTAGTTGATTATATATCGGACCCGGATTGAATTTTACAAACTCTGTAAAAATATTACCTTTTTCTTTCTATAATCGAGTTTTTTTTCTCTTTATTTGAAATGGTATGGTTTAGAATGGGGATAATTCTCTTTCATTCTTAACTCAGATTAAAATGTGATCAAATTCCTTATATCAATCTGTTCCATGTAGGAGTGGCCAAGTTTAAAATACATTATTAAAAATATAAAAAGCAAAGCAGTAACAAGTAGCTGGAATAGCTCAGTTGGCTAGAGCGTGTGGCTGTTAACCACAAGGTCGGAGGTTCAAGCCCTCCTTCTAGCGATATTTGTTGGTTTTTTTCCCCTCGGCAAAGATGCTACACACTCCCACCTTATACGTTGTTTTTTTGTTAAGTCAAATTATGCTTCAATGAACGTATATGTAAAAACACATTACTTTCTCCATTATTTTTAAAAAAAATATATTTTTTTACGATATTAAACATGTTTTATTCATATCAGTGTGGTATATTTAAAAAACTTCTAATTTATACCAATCTTCTTAAAAATGAAATATATTAAATACATATATATAGATATAAACACATTATTTTTTCTATGATTCTCTTAAACATAAAAATTAATTTCTTTTTTTTTTTTTTTCTGATTGACGTAAATGATGCACTCTTCAAGTCGAATATAATGTATCTAGAGAAATTCAATAATTTTTTCTAGATATTGGTTCTAAAATTTAACTATAAAAAATAAAGAAACAGAACAAAATGTCTCAATTATCAAGTAAATCTCTTGAAGTTCTTTAATCACTGGTTGAAATATAGCACATTTTATCATGTCTAAAAATGATCAAAAGTTTGAGCTAATTCTAGGTTTTTTTTTTATACATAGAAAAATAGTAACAAAAAAACTGAAGAAAAATGGGCCCATTTTCCTATTTTAACATATTGTTATGCTTATCGTTCAACAGCAATATCAGACAACATTGAAGGAGCAGTCCAATCTTCCTTCCCCAATCCTCAAGGCATGAATTAGAAACCTTGACGGTACTCACACGCTTCTGTTTTGGGCATGTTCCACTAACCATCCTTGACCACTGTGCAAATTGAAATTTAGCAAATATCTTCCACAGACCATATCTCTTTACATTTTAGGTTAGATGTCCTTTTTTATGCTTTTCATGGCTAGGTCACAAGTTTATATGAGCTAGATTTAAGCACTACACAACAATACATTAATTTCTTTTGCAGAACCAAAGCAGACAATATCACATCATCACAAATTTGGAAAGTTATGGCAGTACGATGGCATGCATTTTAAATTTTAATTAAGCTGTATGTTAATCCATTTTTCTAGTTTAATAAAAAGTAAACTATCCAAATTGAAATCAAAAGATTTATGAGAATTTTATATTTCATGGTCTAATTTGAAATCCAGATCCTAATGACTAAAGAGAAAGTACACTTTTTTTTAATAAATATTGTTAATCTCTTCATATTAATAGCATATTGTGTTATTTCGATTGTTTATTATGTCTTAAAATATCTATATTCGACGGTATGATAATATGCATTTTAAATTTTAAATCTTACAATTAGATATTTAAATGCATCATTAATCAGTTTTTCTAGTTTGATAAAAAGTAAATTATCCAAATCGAAATCAAAAGATTTATGAGAATTTTATATTTCATAGTCTAATTAAAGAGAAAGTACACTTCTTTTTGACAAATATGTCAATCTCTTTGGACTGATAGCATCTTTTATTATTTCAATAATTTATTTTGCCTTAAAGTATCCATGTTCGGCAGCTTGATGTCATGCAATTTAAATTTTAAGTCTTGCAATTAGATATTTAGATTTATCGTTAATCAATTTCCTTGATTTGATAAAAAAAAAAAAAAAACTATCCATATCAAAATCAAAGGATTTATGAAAATTTTATTTTTTATAGTCTAATTTAAAACTCAGATTCTAATAATAAAACAGAGAATAAATTATTTTAATAAACATCAATTCCTTCATATTCCTTCAAATTGGTAGCATGTTGTATTGTTTCGATCATTTGTTTTGTCTTGAAGCATCCACATGCGACATTGAACAATAATATAAACACTTCAATTATATTAAAAAATGATTTTTATATATATATAAAATAAGCAAATTTAACATGCACTCGTGTGGGCTATGAAATCTGAGTCTAAGACAACATAGATATGGCATGCATTAGTAGTTATACCAACATTTTGGATAAACTAATTACTATTTATATATATATATATATTCTCAATTGTACATGAAATTGTTAAAAATATAGCAGAAGAATACATGTAAATAGGGATGAAGTTAATTATAGGTGAACGTAAAGTTTTGATGAAGGGTCTAAATCCTCCACCGAGCTCATCAAAAAGTTATTCAATCAACAATTATTTAGCAAATCTTGCATATAATCACATATTTAGTAAGAATATGACAACATAACCACTACTTAACTAATTAACCATCTCGATGTGGAACATTGTGATTGGCAAAGCATAATTAGCCCTTCAAACCAGAATAATAAGGACATCGAATCCAAAAGGGCTTTTGAACAAAACCATTGCCCCCTAATATTTCAATTAATATTATATATAAATACCTACTCTATTGGGTGATGAACCCACCAATGCTTTCTTCTAAAGGCACAAAAAGGCAAAAAGCAAGGCTAAAAAGGAGAAGAGATGATTCAAAAGGGCAGGCTAGCTACAAGGTCAAGTGACCGTAGCATATTTGCTATGCTAGTGGTGGTGGAGAAAAAAAAAATGATGGTGGTGGTGATTGGGAGAATTGGTGAAGATTAAGATAGAGTGGGTGACAGTCCCACGTGACTGTCCCACCACCACCACCACCCCCTTCTCTCTTGCCAGCCAGTGGGTTTCTTGGTTGGCTTCATATCAACGCTAACAGCCAAAATAACCCAACCACAACAATGGAACCAAAATGCCCACGAATAAGATAACACCATCCTCAAAAAAAGGGTGAAGAAAAATTGAAAAGGTTAAGAGGTTAGTATCATTAACTCATTTGACAAAGTGAACCACTTTCTTGGATGTAGTATTGCCTTGGCCACTAAAATTTAACCCTACAATGCTAGTGGTTCTTTCTCTTCCCTTGGTTGGCCACTCATAGTATTACTACTATCCTTTCATTTTCTTTTCCCTCCTCTAATGCTAGTGGTCATCATCACCTCTCTATCTCTCACTCCCTCTTTCTTTACTGTCATGTCATGTTCTTGAACTTGCGTGAAGCAATGAAGGGTTATTATGCTCGTATTGTTAGTCGCTAAACAAAAAGGTGAAAATTTTGTTTAGCATGGAGAGAGATGGATAAAGAAACTAGCCAAGAAAGCCCATCTCTTCTCCCTAACAATACCACAACCGTCAAGGAAGAATCTCCAAGAAAACTACTTGGAGGAATTGGTGCTGCTGGTGCTGTTGTTACTGGCACTGGTGGTGGTGGTGGCAGCGGCGGTGACAGATTAAAAAGAGATGAGTGGAGTGAAGGAGCTGTTTCAACCTTACTTGAGGCCTATGAAAGTAAATGGATACTTAGAAACCGAGCCAAGCTTAAAGGGCATGACTGGGAAGATGTTGCACGCCATGTATCGTCGCGTGCAAATTGTACCAAGTCTCCGAAGACACAAACACAATGCAAGAACAAGATTGAGTCCATGAAGAAAAGGTATAGATCAGAATCTGCCACTGCAGATGCCTCCTCTTGGCCTCTTTATCCACGACTTGATCTTTTGTTACGTGGAAATAGTACTCAACCACCACAAATACTACCACAACAACATCAACAACCATCAATTCCAGCTTCTGCTAATCCTCCTTTGATGTTGTTAATGGAGCCTCCCTTGGCGGTGCCACAACCGCCACAACCACCTATGGCTCCTCCTCCTCCTCCTCAAGTTATTGTGACTACTGCTCAAAACTCACATGGGTCTAATGGCGTTGATAGGGGGGCAAAGGTCAGCCAACATATTAATCCCTTTTCTTGTGATTCTCTTTAATGCAATTTAATTATCCTTAATCAATATTGAATTTCTTTGAAAAAAAAAACTCTTGATCAACCAATTAAATTTCAGTTTTCTTACATTTGGATTTATGATTGATCCCCATGATTGTCTCTTAGGTATGGTTCAAGGAGGAATGACTTCTGCAAAATGTTGTTGATAAAATTTATGCTGTCATGTAAAAAATTAAATTTCTAAGTTTCAATAATTAGTTTGGAGTTTAGACCACTTCATTTTGTGAGAAAATAATGTTAATTTTACTAGAAAGTTTTTTCCCAAAATCTTTTTTCCACATTAATGGATGTGATTATTAGCCAAAAAATTCAATTCCTGCATCTTAATTATGGGGCTATGGAAATTAAATTAGCTTTTATAAGCTCATAATTAATTAAATTCTTGTTATCAGGAAGATGGAGTGGAGACCAAACTATCAGATCATGTCTCAGACAAGAATGCCATGGACACGGATAGCAGCACTCCGGCCTTGTATAGTGACAAGGAGAAATTAAGGTCCAAGAAACTGAAGATGAAAATGGAAAAAAGAAAGAGGAGAAAAAGAGAAGAATGGGAGATGTCTGATAGCATCCGGTGGCTAGCAGAAGTAATGGTAAGGTCAGAACAAGCAAGAATGGACACCATGAGAGAACTAGAGAAAATGAGAATAGAAGCTGAGGCTAAAAGAGGTGAAATGGACCTGAAAAGAACTGAGATCATAGCCAATACTCAATTGGAGATTGCCAAGCTCTTTGCTGGTGTTGGTAAAGGAGTTGATTCTTCCTTGAGAATTGGAAGAAATTGATCAGTGGATTAATAGTGGCATTGAAGTTAATTATATATATATATATATATGATCATATTGATGATTGTGTATGTATAGACCTGTAATATGCATGGATTAATTAACACTGAAAAAAGAAGAGAATAGAAGATGTGGTAGGTGAAAATAATTATTAAAAAAAAGGTGAGGGAGATTTAATATTTTAACTTGTATTAGGGTAGCTAATAATTAGTAGTAATTAGCCATAGAGATGTGGTAGGTAAAAATAATGTCCCTACCTCATTGTAATGTTCTCTTTTATTGAACAATGCAGGTTTTATGCCGTATCGTCAGCTAATAATATACGTCAATCAAAATTAACTTTTTAAAAATAATTTTAACAATATATTAAAAAAATTTAATAAATTTTATTTTAAAAAAGTTTACCGGACTGGGCAAATAGGAATCTATTTTTTTTTTTTTTTTAAATCTCCTAAGCTTTGGAATTGGTCTCGTTTCAAAATTTCAAATTAAAATATCCCGCTTAGCCAATACGTTTTATGGACTTCACCTATAATTAAGAATGGCAAAATAACCCGACCCGAGGTCGCCTCACCCCGATCAATGCGGGGATTTCCCGCATTGATTGAGGAACGAGGCGGGGTGCCTCGCCCCGTAATTTTTTTGGATGGGGATGGGATTTGCCCACCCCGCCTCGTTTTGCTCCGTCAACGGTGACTTATAGTAAGTTAGTAAGTTACTTAGGGTTAGCTAATGGCTGCTACGGAAAACCTTACATGTCTCGGATTCTCAATCTCAGCCTCTATTTCAAAGTTCGAGTCTTGATTCTTCGGACTTACATCTCCACTCTCCGGATCTCCGGTCATCACCGATCACCACTTCACTAGAGTCCAGCTTGTCCGGTCGTGCTAGACACCGAAGTTTGAAGGTACATTTCGTCTTCCACCATCCAAACGACCACCATTTCGCCAACCGACCAAATAATTTATAGGCTAATCCGCTAATTGCTTCTTAATTATTTTTCTTTTCCCCTCAAAGCATGGTTATTGGATGGATAAAGAGTTATATGGAACTCGTTGCGGTTGCATTAGCATGAAAGTATAAAATGAGTATTGAGTTTTTATTTATTTTATTGATGACAATTTTCTTGATTCATGGTGGTTAAATTTAGGGAAGCGACATAAATAGAATAATTCCTAAATCTTCGTTTCTCGCTTTTGTTTAGTATTGAAACTTGATGTGGTATGGGAAATTTTTGAAAGGATTTCAGCTAAGCATGAAAAAAGAATGTTGATTTTTTCCAGAACCGATCTAATTAACTATAGTTTCTATTATTCTCTAGCATGTGGATTGATAATTTTGCCTTGTTATTTGTTGAGGTCGTTAGTTCAATCAAACTATGATTTCTTTCTACCGAGTTTTCCGAACTTGATTTTATATGTGGAAAAGTCGAAATGTGATGATTTTTAACAAAGAATATCATTATTTTATATGTCCTTGTAATTCACTGCAAGTCCATGCTTCCTAGATGGTCGGATTCCGCATTTAAGCAGAGGCTTTCCATGACTTCTAGTTGACGGAATGACAAGAGATCCATTTACTTGTACCGAACTAATTTATCCAGATCGGCCCTTAAATGACTCATGCATTCGACTTGGTTTGGAGGCCTATATTAATGATGTGGATGTAATTTACATTCTTAGGACCAAATGAAAATATGACCATGCATAATGAATTATTTCTCTCTAGTTTTTGGATGTTACGGTTAATACAAGGAGGCATGATTGCATGAGACCTCGGTTTATATATGTATACATTCAAATTATTCTAGATTTCATTTTTTCTTACACACACACACACACATATATACTCCGGATGAGGGTCTACAATATGCGTGTCGGCACGCAATACGTCACGGCCATGACTTATGAGGAAAAGAAAAGCTCACGGCCATGACCAATTAGTCATGGGCGTGACCTTTCGCAATGCTTGTTTCACACGGGCGTGACCTTCCTTAAGTCACGATAGTGACTTGGCTCACATGGGCATGACAATTGATTTCCTATTCTTCAAGATTACGGGTGAAGTTTGTAGAGTTTTAACGAATGAAAAACGAAGATTGTGCGGATTTTTAGCGAATTTAATTTCGGGAAATAAGGGCTATAAATAGAAAACGAAGTAGAGTTTTGGGATATTCGGCCACTCGTGCAAATATGAATCATTCTCTCTATCAGGAAACTCTAAAAAAAAAACTTGGAGATTTTCCAACAACAAGATTGTTTTTAGCCATTGAAGACGAATGATAGAGAATGGGCAAGGATTCGTGTTTAAGCCGAATGGAGACCAACCTCGACTGAAGTAGAGATAACCCGGATTACTTCTAATTCTCTCGATTTTATTGCTTTCAATTCTTGATTATGAAAACATGGAATTTATTTCGATTAAATCGGTAGACATTCATCTTTCAATTATGAGTTAAATTACTGTCTTGAGAATTAATGGATCCTGTTATTGAATATGTTTAATTAAATTGATTATTTAGTTGTTCTTGTATTTAGTTCTGTGATTTTGAAACTATTTACATATGAGTGTTTGGGTAACTATTAAGATCCAACTATATATTTCTCATGTCATTCTCTCTCAAGTATAACTCGTATAAGATATTAAGATCCAAGTGTTCAAATATTTTTCTTTTGTTTGACGATCTGGAATTTAAACTATTATATATTTTTAGAAAATGACAAGCCATGGAGATGGAGGTAGCTCCCATCACTCTACAAACTCTACACCAATACATTTGGATTCCACTCCATCGATTCCAGTCTACCGAATCAATTTCATCTCCACAACTTGTTACGGGTGAACTTCAAAGCGATTCCGATCTCCCTAATAGAAAGTAATTTAGTGCTTGTGTGGAACTATTTCACAAAGAAAATTATGAATGGTGAAGAAAAGACAGAATGCAATTATTGCACGAGTAACTTGGAGGCAAGTCAAGAAATGGTACTAAACATTTGCATGATCGCTTTAAGAGATGTCCAAGGAGAAGAATTACGGACATAAGACGAAGGTTTTGACTTCTAACTTAGTGAGTGATGCAATTTCTCTTATTTTTGATCAAGAGATAGGAAGAAATGAGCTTGTTTCTATGATCATATTGCATGAATACCCACTCTCTATGATTGATCATATCGGCTTCAAGAAGTTTACAAGTAATCTTCAACCATTATTCCGATGTGCAAGTAGAAATACGGTGAAAAGTGATGCCTTCAAGATATATGACAATGAGAGAGCTAAAATGAGGAGACTTTTCAAAAAACTTGAAAGTAGAGTTGCCATCACTACTGATTTATGGACGACGAGCAATAAAAAAAAGGTTCATGGCCGTTATAGCTCATTACATTGATAGTTCTCGGACATTACGATGCCGCCTATTGAGGTACTCTTTATTTCTTCTTAACTTAATGATATTTGTTTAATTGTTTTAGTTTAATGCTTCTAATTTATAACTAATTTATATCTTACTTTAGGTTTATGTATGTTCCTTGTCCACATACAAGCATTATCCTTGCAACTCGCTTTGGTTGATTATTTGATGGATTAGAATGTTGAAGGAAATTATCCACTATTACATTATATAATTGTTCCACCAATGATTCCATAGTTGAGTATGTGAGGGACAAATTACAATCTAAAGATTTATTGAATTCTGGTTCTTTATTGCATATGCGATGTTGTGCTTATATCATTAACTTAATAGTGAAAGATGGGTTAGATGTCATTAAGGATGGGGTTGAACAAATTAGAGATAGTGTAGCATTTTGGATAGCAACTCTTAAAAGAGTTGAAAAGTTTGAGGAAAGTCGCTAACTTTCTTCTCATTCCTATCACGAAGAAATTGGTTTTAAATTGTCCAACTAGATGGAATTCTACTTATTTAATGCTTGAAATTGCTTTATTATATAAGGATTGTTTCTCTAGGTTGAAGCGTCGCGAACCTTATTATAAGGTTGCGCCTATTGATAGTGATTGGGAATTCGCAAAGGAAATGTGTGGGAGATTAAAATCTTTTATAGTGTTACTCGAATTGTTTTCGGGAACTCGATACCCTACGTCAAATATGTTTTTTACTAAAATTTATGAAATCAAGGTTGCATTGACTCAATGGCTCACTTGTCCAAATCAAATGGTTAGTGAAATGACGGAAAGTATGTTAGTCAAGTTCAATAAGTATTAAAGTGTGATTCATGAAATAATGGGAGTAGTCATGAGTTTTAGATCCTAGGTACAAAATGGATTCACTGGATTTTTATTTTGAAAAAGTTTATGAGAGTGAGGCTATGGTTTAAATTGAGAATATAAGGAAACTTTGTTATGGTTTGTTGGTCGATTACCAAGAAAATAGGAATGTGGATGTAGGATGTGGTAGCTCAGTTGTGGTTAATTCTTCAACAGTTTATGATGATATGGAATCCGAGTTTGACTTGTATGTTTCAAGAAAAAAGGCCAAGGTTACTTTTGTCAAGACAGAGCTAGACTACTACTTAGATGAGGTAGATGAGGGTGTTATTCCAAGAACCAAAGATTTTGATATTCTAGTATGATGGAAAGTAAATGGAGTGAAGTACCCTACTTTGATACCAATTGCTAAGGATGTCTTGGCAATCCCTGTGTCAACCGTTGCTTCGGAATCGGCTTTTAGTGCTAGCGGCATGCTAGGAAGTCCACATCGAAGTAGACTTCATCCAAAGACGGTGGAAGCATTAATGTGTGCTCAAAATTGGTTGTGGACAACTGAAAATAAAAGTAATGCACTAAAACTCTACATATGAATTTGATTTTTTTTATTAATTTCTTAAAAATTTTATATATCTTATTTATGTTTATTATATTTGTTTCTAGGTGGAACTTCATTTGTTTCGGATGGTTATTGTACTACGTATGAGAAGTATCCAAAAGAAGATGAAGGTATAAAATAATATGTTAAAGTTTAAATGACAACATTAAAAAATTTTATAATGACTAATTCACTTTTAATTTTAATGAATGTAGGATCTACGGTAATCGACGATTATGTTGAACTCCAATGTAATGAGTGAGTCTTGATGATCTTTGAGTAGTAACATGCAATGATTTATTTCTTTAATTGTATTTGTGATATTTTTTCAATTTAATTAAGTATGTTATTTATTCGGTTGAAAATGATTTAATATATTATGAATTGTATTGTAATTTGTGATAATTAAGTATGTGCTTGGAACATGTTTTTTCATTGTTTCTCTTTGAGTTTCGGTGATTTGATCTCTTGCTTGGGAAACAAAATTATGCAAATTGTGTATGCTCATTATAAAATCTATCAAAACGGGGTAAAATGAGGCCCCGTTTGCCCCGCGGGGATGGCGATCCCCACCCCGCCCCGCGCCATTGCCATCCCTACCTATAATGGTTAGTATGAAGGTAAATTACTTGCTTAAAATCTAATGAAAAAAAAAGCCTTTACTTTTTGGTTCTTATTTTTTAGGATATATTTAATTTGCTATTTTTTAATGAAAATTCTCATCAAATTAATTTTTTATTATTTTTATGTTATTTTATTTGTTATAAATATAATTTATTTTTCTTTATGTATGAATTTTGAATAATTTTTTTTAAATAAATAGATAATTAATTAATTAAAAAATAAAATCTATGTTTTTTATTTTCTTATTCTTTATATAATCAAAATTTATCTAAATCAATTTTATAGTTATTTTTATTACAGTCTATTAACTTCAATATATTGCTCACATTTTAATTTTCTATTTATTTACATTGCATATTTTGATCCTCTTAATATAATAACGATGTATATAAAACAATTTAGGATTAATGGTTTTATTATAAATTAATTATGTATCTACACACATAACACCAACCATTTGCTATTTTTTTTTCAATATTCTAAAATTAATTTCTTTCAAATAAAATATTTAAAATAATATTTTAGAAAAACCACCAAACAATTCAAAAACATTTTTTATACTAATATTATTGATTATTTTTAAATAAGTATACATAAATTAAATGTACATATTTTCAAAAAGTTAATCTTCTCATCATCATAATTTTTATACAAATTTTTATACCGATAATTTTTTATTTCTTCGATGCAATCTAATGAAAAAAAAATTGAGATGTTTTTAAAATTTTATATTATTTTTTATTTAGATTATGATAGGTTTTTATTTAAAAATGAATACATAAGGAAGAACAAATTGTGCTTTTTCACTTGCAAAAATTATGAAAAAATAAAAAAGAATAAATTAAATACAAAATTTTGATTAAAAATTATGAAATTAATTTTAGAATGCTAAAAAAATTAATAGTAAATGGTTTGTGTTATATATGTCGATGAATAGTTAATTTTTAATATATATATATATATATATATATCATGATCTTACTAAGTACGAAGAATAAATTAAAAAATATTTTTTAAAAAAAGTTAAATTGTAAGGAATATATTGAAGTTAGTAGATTGTAATAAAAATAATTACAAAATTAATTTTGATATATTTTGATTATATAAAAAATAAGTAAATAAAAACCGTGAATTCTAATTTTTAATCAATTATTTATTTAAAAAAATTTATTCAAAAATTCTTATATAGAAATAAAATTACATAAAAAAGAAGAATAAAAAATTATTTCATGAGAATGTTTTATAAAAAATGATAAATTAAAGAGATTAATTTTAAACAATAAGTATGAAATTAAATGAAATTTTTTCTTTTGTCTTTAATCTTATATATTTTAGTTGATCGATAGAATAATATAAATGATTAAACTAAAATAAATACATATATTTTTTTTATTTGCAACATAGTGCGGTAAGCTGATTAATATATATCAATACTTCAAATAGAAGTATATATAGCTAGATATGGATTTATAAGAGAGATATGTCGTCCAAATTTAGAATATCTAATTGACCACCTCACCTATTCTCTTTACACCCCATTTTCAGTCTAAACTCTAAAGGACGTACGGGTTATTGACTTTGGTATTACAAATCTATTTTTGTCCCTCCCTCTATGTATGTTGGTTGAGTAGGAAATGTTGTATGGATAGGTTTACAAAAGAACAAGCAGAAACCCTCTCAATTTCTCAAAATTAATCCACCAAAACGGTAATTCTTCTCAAATATCATTCCACTCACGTACATTTTTTTTCAAAAAGAAATAAAAAACATGTTTTTTTATATAAATATTCCAAAATTTATTTCTTTTACCATCAAATTTTAACTAGATAATTATCGAAATGATACATTCAAAAGAAAATTTCTCCTTGCAATTTTTCTGTAACTTCTAACTTAAAATGATAAAATCTAATTGCCACCTCAATCACTATATAGCAAATCTAAATTTAAAACATAACAAATGCCTTAATACAACTAATTAAATTTGGGATTAATAAAAAAAAAAACCTCATTAAAAAAGATCATGGATTCGATATTTCTATTTTTAAAGCATTTGAATTTAAAAAAACGTTTCATTACAAAAAAAAAAAAAAAAAAAAGTAATATCTTATTTTTGTAATAGCAGTCAATTCAGTCCATTGTAATTTCATAACACCTAACAGTTGATGTGAGGTGCAGGATCCAGTGTATGGGCAAAAAAAAATAAAAAAAAAACTATATTAAATTTAGTTCTCTCAAATCTTGAAAACAAGCTTGTCCTCAATTCCTAGAAACCCTGGGAGAAACAGGCTCGAAGCCCACCATAGAAAAGGCCTACCCAAAAATAACTTCTGCTAGATGGTGGACACAAGGCCATTCCTCTGCAGGTTCAAGGAAATCCAATTCCCCAACGATGCACATACCATCAAGTATCCAAACAACTCCAAATCCAAATCTCTAAAATCCTGCAAAATTTCACTAAAACCCTTTAGCAAACTTTCTCCCTCTCTCTCACAAATGGCCTTGCTCCAAACTCACTCACTTCACGTAGGAACTCTTCCTTCCACCTTCAAATCACATTCTTCACTTCCTTTTTTTCATTTCCTCGTTCTTCTTTCAAAACCCATCAAGAAAGTTCTCTCTTTTCTACCACTAGCACAGCCAAGAACAGACCTTTTTCGCTCTCTACGCAACAAAGAAGACTGCTTTGCAGACCCCCTCAAGGAAAGCACATTAGACAAGACTATCTTGTGGTATATGCCCTTTAATTTTGCTTGATTTTCATTTTATGAATTCTAATCGTTTTTGTTTTGTGTTGTCTGTTTGTTTTTGAGCTAGTTCCCTGCTTGGTTTCTGAGAAAATGTGTGTGTTGGGGAGGGGGGGGGATGTAATTCTATGCATTCCGGGTTTCTGCTGTTTGAATTTTGAGTTTTGGCTTATATGTTATAATAAAAATTGGCAAAACGGTAAACGGAAACAAAGAGAGAATTGAAGATGTTGGTTTTTCGGGTGGCTTTATTTGCTTGTAGGATGTTGTTGAATTGTGTAAATCTGATGCATCTGTTGTTTAATTGTGGGGTGGGGGCAGAAAAAGTTGTCAGCCGAGGAGATACAGGAGCTAGTAAAGGGAGAAAGACAAGTGCCCCTTATAATTGATTTCTATGCAACATGGTGTGGACCCTGTGTTATGATGGCCCAAGAACTTGAAATGGTATGCCTCAATCTCTCTTTTGAAGTATTGGATGCTTTCTATTTCTGCTATCTTGCAATTTTTTTTTTTTTTAATTGTTTTGTACCCAATAGGCATGGTTTTCAATATTGGGATATGTTATGAGGTAGATATGGCTTTTGAATCTGTTTTCCCATTTGTGAAGATGAGAATTTATAGGTAATGTCTTGCAAGTCCTATGATAATGGCAAGCCCGATTAGCTTGAGACTAAGGCTTGGTTGAGTTGACTTGACTTTTGTAATACATATAGATTTAGATGGTGCCTTCCTTGCTGCCAAAGACACTGACTTTTGACATTGGATCGCATGTCATAACATCTGGTCAAATTTCATAGAGCATGACAGGATATCCAGTCTGTTTTTGGCTGGTTTTCCTTGAAATTCTGTCATGGTCCAGAAAAATTTGACCAGGTGCTACAACATTCGGTCAAGCAAAAGCGAAGCCTTTATGTATTTTTGAAACGGACTGAAGAAAAGTGCCGGTAAAGTTATAGAGCACTTGTGATGATCCTTCATAATTTTTTCTGTTAACAGTCAAATGGCATGGTGTTTCTTCATTACATCAATTACTTCAGGTGTCAATCACAATATTCTTAGCAAAGATTTGAATTGCTTGATTCTCTGATAGAAGAGATTAGGATGGAACATATCTGATTTGATGTGGATATTTGATTTGATTATTGTAGGCGATGTTGAGAGTCCTAAATTTATGTGTTGCTTAATTTGCATACAAACAATGAGTTGGCTAGGCAGGTGCTGACAAGATTTGCCACTGCTTATTTCTTAAATCTGGAGGGCATGTTGAAGAAAGGTCTTTGATGAATTTCGGGATTTAATGGTTAGAAGTTCACTTGCCAGGGATATGAGGACAAGATTGTATTAGACAGTTTTATCTAATCAAAGTTTTGGAAGTCCATAAACTTTTGTTAATGGTGTGTTACTATACTTGTTAAAGCTTGAAGATTCTTGTTTCCATTTCTGTTGAAGTGTTATTAAGTGGATTCACATGCTTTGAGCAAAATTCCATGGACTTCCAAAACTTTTCATTGATCAAGGCTTTTCTTATACTTTTCTTGCGCATATATCTACTTGTACAGAACTTGTAGCCCATGCATACAATCCAAACATTAGATGAAGAGAAACCATTTTCCATCATTTAGTTCAGAATAAGGAAAATGGTGGCAAATATTGTTAGACATCAAACTCTACAGTAAAGACTAGTAGTGGAGAGTAGTGGATCATGTAGTGTAAACATTGTTATTTGAGTAATGAAAGTAATATAGATACCTTCATTTGCATCAACTAAAGAAATTGATAAGATCTCCTGCACAGTCTGCTTTACAGTTGAGTTAGTTTGATGCAAAAGTAGACCCGTAGATGATGTTCATGTGCTGTTCCTTTTTCCTTTCGCTCGCTATGAAAATGACTTTTGATTGTTTGCTCTTTTATTGATGCAAAAGCAGCCCATTATTTGTGGATAGCAGCCCAGACTTTCTCTTTTGCTGTTAAATTGTTAAATCCATCAAAATGTTTTCTTCCTCCAAAAACTGAACTAATATCAGTGCCAGATTTGGTGGACTTTTACATGTATATTTCCGTCATAGTCAATTGGAGCTACTTTGTATGGCTTTCACTTTGATTGATGTAAGTTATGGAAGTGACAGAGGTGTGGCACTAGTTTTAGTTAATTGTATTCCCCTTTGCAGCTTGCTGTGGAATATGAGAGTAATGTAATGATTGTTAAGGTCGATACAGATGACGAGTATGAATTTGCACAAGACATGCAGGTACTTTTCAAACATCATTTTCTTCTACATTTCTTTGTTTTACCTAGATCACTCTCTGTTGCGTGCAAATATTTGTTTTCTAGATGTGTGGATTGATGTGGTCTTGTTAAATTATTTGAAGACACCAGTCTTTTTCTTTGCGATGTTTGAAAATAACATTTCTATTGCGATTCATGAAGCCATAACTTATCTTCTAGAGACTTGGTTTGTGCTCAGGTTCGAGGCTTGCCAACATTGTTTTTCATCAGTCCAGATCCGAATAAGGATGCGCTGCGGACCGAAGGGCTCGTCCCAATACAGATGATGCGAGATATCATTAACAATGAAATGTGAGAAAGAGGGACTGATCAGTCGCTGGAAAGCCAAGATTTTTGCTGTTAGTGGTAGTTGAACTATTCCAGGACCAGTTGCTCTTTCTAGCTGTGCTGCATGTAATTTATTTTCTTTTGTTGTAAGATTTTGCCGGGATATTTGCCCAAAATGAGATTCCCTGACCCTGATGGACAGTGAGGATGTATTTATGTACAAGTTTTTTCGCTTTGCTATATGGTGCCATTCAATTCTTCGTTTTTCATTTTTCCTTTTCGATAAACAACTTTTCCGGAGAAATTGGATTGTTTTCCATTGGTTGGTAGTGATGAACTTTTTTTCAATAATAACTTTGTGATTTAACGTGCATGAACTATAGGAAAATAGGAACTTTCAAATAAATTTATGCTGTTACACCAATAAAATATAAAGTCAGGAGATTATTACCAAAAATTAGTCCCTCTTTTTTTGAGAAATGAATTAATTAATCTTTTTAATTTTAAAAATTAATTATTTAATTTTTTTAATCAATGTTGATCAAGACTAATTTAATATTTTTTATTTTATAAAATGTATTTTTTTTATCAATCTTTTTTATATCTTAAAATAAAAAATCAAAATAAATTAAAAATAACAAAAATAATAAATAATTAGTTTTTAAACTAAAGAGACTAATATAATTTACTCAAGGTAGTAAGTAGACTGATAAGAAACTTTCAAATAAATCTATGTTGTTTCACCAATAAAATATATAAGGCAAGGAAATTCACCAAATAAATTTATATTATTTTTTTATATATATATATTTAGATGGTGTATTTTTTGAATTTTTTTATTACTTTTTAGTTTGATTAAAATCTTTAATTTTTTTAATATTTTTTCTTCAGATTTTCGATCCATTATAATATCATTTATAAAAAAATTTAAAAATAATTTTAATGATAAAAAATACAAAAAATTTAAAAATAAGAGAAAAAGACCAAAATGTCTCCACCTCCATTATTGGTCTTTTTGGTCCCCCATTAAAGATTTAACAACTAATGCCATTGCCTCCCTCACCATGCTCCCGTCTTCTTTGCTCTTCTTAGCACCCATATCACAAAGAATGTGGCATAATTCTACTATTCTTTTTTTAAAGAAAATTTCTTTGCTTTGGCAAATCATCACAGAGGCCTCCACTCAACTTGTCAATCTATGGGAACCACGGTATCAATTGAAGGGCATTCATTGTCACTTACGTACTACAAGGGTCCCATACTTCTGAAGACACCAACCTCTGTTTCAAAGTCTCATGCAACGGTCAAATTGGGTCATTGGAGGATTGCTTGTTGCAGTTCATTGTGTTATGGCTTCTTCAAGTCTTATTGTACTGTTGAAATTTATCAACCAAATGAAAATAGAAGCAGGAAATACTGAACTTTCAAACTCTTCGTAAGGAACTTGCAATCGAAACTGACCTATGGCATTTGCCGAAATGTACAATATCTTATCTTCTCCTTAGTTGAGTCATTTAACTAGAGAAATTAACAATAAATTGTTTAAATGGTGGACAATGACACGCTAGCAAACTCTCTTTCAAAAATATATACAACAAATTTCTACTAAAATGGTTTTTATTATATATGCATGCTTAAGTGGCCTTATCAAAGTGCAGTATCCCTAGCCAAAAGCCTACCCATCACGCACCAAAAATCCAGTTGGTCAAAAATGGCATCGATTCTAGCTATTGGCACCGCAAATCCACCAAACTGCTTCTACCAGGCTGACTATCCAGACTTCTACTTCCGAGTCACTAAAAGCGAGGACTTGACACAGTTAAAAGACAAGTTCAAACTTATATGTGAGTATATATGATGAGTCATTAACCATATTTAGAGTTAGCTTGTCTTCTGATGGGATTATTAGCCTCTTTCCATTGTATGATACTATATTTTCATAAAGAAAAATGTAAGTTAGAGACTCTGTGCAGCGATAGTAGTTACACTAACTGTCTGTTTGCCGTCTTAGTTAAAGGCAATTATAGTGGTCAAAGTGTTATTAGTAGACATGCATGCATGAAAAGTCATTAAGAATTGATAGAGCATTATTAACCAGCAAGGGAAGTGGTCTCGGTAAAAAAGTTGTATTGGTTTGATTAAAATCAAAGTTTAAGTCTCGATACTCATAATTATCTTTTAATGATATTGGACTTGAATTGATTTGGTTTAAAAGTCGACTCTTTAATCAACTAAAGATTAAATGTATTTTGACGTTGATTTAATTCAGAAAGTAGTAAACTTAATCTTAATTGATGATAAACCTAACTCGAAAATACCTTATTATCTGTAAATATAAAAAATTAAAATAAAATTGATAGAATATTCATTAATAGCTATATTTTTAGACATCCGTAATTTGGTTTATTGTTAAAAGAGTTATTTTGATTATTCAATTTTCACTATTTATAATTATTTTTTTAGTGATATCAAGCTTAGCTAATTTTATCTAAAAAATAGCTCTTTGATCAACTAAATGTTAAATATGTTTTGGTGCTGGTTTTGTTAAGAAAATAGTGAATTTAGTATTGATTGATGCTAAAATTGATCTAAAAATACCCTATTATAAAAAGAATATAAAAAAAAGTTGATATAGTAATAATTAATAGCTATATTTTCAGACATCCTGTGATCATATAACTTCCGTTTTGCTATGCTGTTTTACAGGTGAAAAATCGGAAATAAGGAAGCGCTACATGTATCTCTCCGAGGAAATTATCAAGAAGAACCCTACCATAGGCGCTTACGATACACCATCTCTGGATGCACGTCAAGAAATTCTGGTTACTGAGGTACCCAAGCTCGGCAAGGAAGCAGCATTGAAGGCCATTGAAGAATGGGGCCAGCCCAAATCAAAGATCACCCACCTTATATTTTGCACATCTTCAGGCATGCATATGCCTGGTGCAGATCATGAGCTTACTAAGCTACTCGGCCTTCAAACTTCTGTCAAAAGATTCATGATGTACCAACAAGGCTGCTACGCAGCAGCCCAAGCCCTCCGCCTTTCCAAGGACCTTGCCGAGAACAATCCCGGGGCTCGTGTTCTTGTCGTGTGTTCTGAAAACATGACTTTTTGTTTCCGTGCACCATCCGAAACCCACTTGGATGTTCTGGTGGGCTCTGCAATTTTCTCTGATGGTGCAGCAGCTGTAATTGTTGGGGCTGATCCTGATACAACTATTGAACGTCCATTATATCAGCTTGTATCAGCGGAACAGTGTATTGTTCCAAACTCGGAGGATGCCATAGTTTGTCCCGTACGTGAAATCGGCATGTCCTATTCCTTGAATAGAAGCGTGCCCAAAATTGTTGCAAAAGGAGCTGCACAATGCTTGGTTGAGACATTCGGTGCTCGATATGGAATTGAGGACTGGAACTCTTTATTTTACGTTGTCCATCCTGGAGGAGCAGGAGTTTTGAACAAGTTGGAAGAGCAACTTGGCTTGACCAAAGACAAATTAAGAGCAACTCGTCATGTGCTAACTGAATATGGAAACATGTGGAGTCCAAACGTGCTCTTTACACTCGATGAGATGAGGAGAAGATCTGCCAAGGAAGGAAAAGCCACCACAGGAGAAGGATTGGATTTGGGTGTGTTGTTTGGTTTTGGCCCTGGTGTTACTATCGAGACCATTGTGCTCCGTAGTTTTCCTACAGGTTGAACCGATTCTGCGCTATGTAGACTCGTCAACAATAATGGAAGCATCATGCATGATGTAAATAAATAAGTGGTGGGTGAAGGTTCTTTTATATATATATATATATATATAAAGTGTAAAAGACGTAATATTTCATGTTCCTGTGCAGTTTGTGATCAGTCTATCCATCTAGATCTATTTTATGTGTAAAAAAAAAAAAGCTAAGTTGTCTTTGGTTAAGGTTCTTTTATAGCAGTGTCTCTCTTTGGAGATTTACTTAGTATTGGTTTTGATTAGCATTGAAAATCTTGTAGATTAGGATTGTGACTGACACTCTAGTTATTAGGACTAAGACATATTCTCTGTAAATATGTGCTAGCTTTAAGTCTATTTTTCTGCTGCTTTAATTTATGTGTTCTTATGAAATATTGTATGTTGCAAGAATTAATATATATAATGATATTCTCTATATCTGTGTTTGTGATCTTTTAACAAATTACGTACATATTTTAATTTTTTTTTCGAGGATCTTCAAATTCATTCAGCCCAATGTAAGTATTTAACGCCTATCAATTTCCATACATTTCACAGGAAAAATATATGAATTTGAATCAAAAGTCAAAATTTCTTTATTCATGTTGCATTCATCTATGTAATCGAATTCTTTTTTTTTTCTTTTTTTAAATAGTGATTTATATATGAGTTCGAAAAGTGCTAAGACGATAACCATTCTTGAGTACAAATGGATTGAATGATAAAAATCAATAAGCATTCAAAATATCTAGTGGACAGACCACCAAATTAGCTTCTTCTTTTTGTTTTTTGTTTTTTTTTTTTTTTTTTTAAGTCAGAGGTATTTTGATGCCTATTTGTGAGTTAATTAAAATTGAGATTTTTTTTTCTAAATATGTTTACAAAAATAATTTCACACGGATACTAATTATAAGGTTTGAACTCGAAAATTAAATTTGAAAAAAAAACTTTTTGACTATCCAGAGTAGCTATTACTTCATGGGATTAGGGTTAAACTCCCTTAATTACATAAAGAAATTGCCTTTTTTCTTGTCTTTTTTTTTTTCTTTGAAGAAAAGTTGCCCATTTGTGGTTATCCAGTTCTACATCTTTGCATATATAAAACAAGAATGATCAAGGCAATTTGTTTTATATTTTGCTTGCAGGTAGAGGTTATATGCTTATTTTAGGTTAAACCATTGGTCACGTTTCTTAATATAATAATTTTAAAATATTTTATTATTATTATTTTAATTTAATATGATATAGTTTTAAATAATATCGTTAGGTTATATAACGATATTTATGTAATGGTTTTGAAATATTTCGTTATTATTATTTTAATATTATAATAAATTATTATTTATAATGACGATGGTGATTGTGTTTTGGATCTTTCTTTATTTAAAACTATAAATATGACTATTTTTTCAACGGATTCGTATGGCTGAAGCGGCGCTATACTTGGCCTCCCTTCTCCCTTTTAGCCTTGAAGGTGCTCTTAATTAATTAATCTAAGTATTGCAAAACAAAAAAATAAAAATTAAGATTAAAAATAAAATGACAAGAGCTCCCGTTGACTTTCAAAACCATTTAGATATCAAGCGATCCAACCGCTGTGAACCATGGAATCTGTGTTATGTAAATGTAGCAAACATCTGACCGTTGTTAATGCATTATTATTATTTTTATTATTTTGAATCTTTTTGCAATGCTTTTTGAAAGTGGCAAACAGGTTGGTTAGATGTGGAAAACATCTGACTGTTGATTACCTTGAGGTTATTTAGATGCATTAATTAATTTATTTTTAATATTTTTACATTTTAATCCTAAACTTTTGAAAGTTCAGAATTACACTCTTCAATTTTACATGTTTTTGTATCCAAAAATCACTTAAATTTTTATTTGCCTCTCCAATCTTAAATTTCTGGTTCTTTCCTTAATTGATAGGATTATTTTACATAGAGCTTCTATTTTGAGACACAAAAAAAATAATTTCATTATTACAATACAATGAAAATAGAACATAAATTGTACAAACTATTCCAAATCATTATCAGAAAGAATTAACTGACGATGAATTGTAAAGCATGGGTTTTTGTTTTCCCTTCCTGACATAAGTTTAATGACGAGAATTCCATAACATACTTAGAATTTAAAATAGAAGGGAGATTGTTTGTAAATTTTTTAAATACAGGGACTAAATTAAAATTTGGAATTGGCGTTGATGACGCTTGATTAAATATAAGCCGTGGGATGGATCTGTCTTCGGTAGATGTGGTCCGATCACTGGCGTGAAGTTTAAGCATTATATTTTATATTAATAAACTGGAGAAGTGAAACGTCAGTTCTTGTTCTTTGGTTCGTTTGCTTTCTATCTTCATCATCCGTCTTCTTTTTGCTCTAATCTGATTTTGTAGAAGAAGAAAATTATGGCTGGGGATCAGTTGCGAGAAGGATCGTTGCTTTCGGCTGTCATGTGTGTTTTGTTCGACCGGATGGCTTCTCCTGAGGTTTTATACTTCTTCAAGATCCGGAAACTCGAGGCCAGATTGCTTGTGAAGTTGAAGCAAAACATGATGTCTATTAATATGATCTCAGATGATGCAGCGGATAAGCAGATTAATGATTCTGATGTGAAAGATTGGGTTGAGGATTTGACAAATGTTACCTATGAAGCTCATAACGTGCTGGATGAGATTGCTTATGAATCTTTGCGGTCACAGATGGATGGTGGATATTCTTCGTGGAAGAAGGGGAAGAAAGAGATGGAAGAAAAGTTAGAAGAGATTGTTGAGAGGCTCGAGTATTTAGCAAAACAAAAGGATGCTCTTGGTCTCTTACGCGGTGTCAGAGTAGAGTCAAGATTACAGAGAAGATGCCCGACTACTTCTTTGGTGGATGATTCAAGTATATACGGGAGGGAGTATGATAAAGAAGCTATAATGAAGTTGTTGCTATCGGAGGATGCGAAGCTGGATGTGATCTCAATAGTGGGCATGGGAGGAATGGGTAAAACCACTCTTGCCCAGATAGTCTACAATGACAGCAGAGTAAGGGAATGGTTTGATCTCAATGCATGGGTTTTTGTGTCACAAGATTTTGAGCCTTTCAAGGTAACAGAAGACATTCTTATGCATTGGAGTCCAGGGAATTCTGATATCAAGAGTCTAGATCAGCTCCAACTACAGCTATGCGAGCAACTGATGGGGAAAAAATGTTTACTTGTTCTAGATGATGTTTGGGTCGAGAACTATATTGATTGGGTAGTCCTAACGGCACCTTTGAAATATGCAGCACGAGGAAGCAGGGTCATTGTTACAACACGCAATGAAACTGTAGCATTTGTCGTAGGCACAGTTTCACCATATTATCTAGAGAAATTAACTAATGATGAATGCTGGTTACTGTTTGCCAATCGCGCATTTGGCAATGAATATTCAAGTCCACATCCAGAGTTACAAGGGATTGGTAGAGAAATAGCAAGAAAGTGTGACGGTCTGCCTTTAGCTGCAAACTCACTGGGGAATCTTTTGCGTTCCACAAGAAGTGTTGAAGAATGGGAGAAGGTATGCAAGAGCGATGTATGGGATTTGCCAGCTGATAACATTCTTCCAGCTTTGAGATTGAGCTATGATTATCTCCCATCAGATTTAAAACAGTGCTTTGCTTATTGTGCCATATTTCCTAAGGATTATGAATTCAGTAAAGAGGAAGTGGTCCTGTTATGGATGGCAGAGGGTTTTCTAATCCATCGTAAAGGACATAATGGGATGGAAGAAACAGGAGATGCGTACTTTGATGACCTTGTATCAAGGGCCTTTTTTGTGGCGTCAAGTGGGTATCGTTCATGCTTCACCATGCATGGATTTGTGAATGATCTAGCTAAATTTGTTTCCGGAAAGTTTTGCTTTAGGTTAGATGGTAACAATTCATGCAAGGTTGCTGAAAGGGCTTGCCATTTGTCATATGCAAGAACTGAACATGACGCCTTTAACAAATTGAAGGGCATTAGTGATGCCAAGCATTTGCGAACCTTTTTGCCTCTTGGTTGGTCACAGTGGTGGCGGCACAAACGCATTGATAATCAGGTAACACATGATTTGTTGCCTCAACTCACTTGCTTGCGAGTATTATCTCTATCTCAGTATCGTAGTGTAACCGAGTTGCCTGATTCAATTGGCAATTTAAAGCACTTACGATACTTGAATCTCTCTGCTGCATCAATTACAACATTACCTGAAATTGTGGGTACTCTGTTCCATTTGCAAACCTTAATCTTGTATGAGTGTAGAGACTTTTCTGAACTGCCCAGCACAATTGGCAATTTGAAGCGTTTTCAACATCTGAATCTTCATGGAACGTCTATCAAAAGGTTACCTGAATCTATGAGTAGTTTGTACAATTTGCAAACTCTAATCTTAGGTCAGTGCAAAGATCTTGTTGAGCTGCCAACTTACCTAAGAAGTTTAAGCAATTTGTGTCGTCTTGATATTAGAGGAACAAAATTGCAAGGGATGCCACCAGAAATGGGAAAACTAAGAAAGCTAAAAAAATTGACGCATTTCATCGTGGAAAAACAGAGGGGGTCTAGCTTGAAAGAGTTGGGAGAACTTCAACGCCTACAAGGAGAGCTTTGTATTTGGAAACTTCAAAATGTTGTGGATGCTAGTGATGCCTTGGCAGCCAATTTGAAGGGTAAAGAGCACCTTAAGGAGTTGGAGTTCAGATGGAATGGCAATGCTAATGAGTCATTGCATGAAAAAGTCGTACTTGAGCACTTACAACCTCATAACAACATAGAATGTCTCTCAATTATTGGTTATGGGTCTGCAACATTTCCAGACTGGGTAGGAGACTCATCTTTCTCAAATATAGTTTCCTTGAAGCTCAATGGATGTAAAAGGTGCTCCAACTTACCTCCACTTGGGCAGTTAGCATCTCTAAGAAACCTCTCAATCACAGCATTTGGTGGAGTCGTGGCTATTGGTTCTGAATTCTATGGAAGTTGC